ATTTTATGTACCCTGTTGCAACCCCGTGGAATCCAGGTGGATTCGGAATTTACAAGAGAGAGAGAGAAAAACTAATCGGAATCTTCTTGCGAGTTCAGCAGACCAGCGCGTTCGGTATCTTCGGCCGATGGCGTCTTCGGGCGGTAGAGATAGTATTGCGAGATAATGACGGCGTCGAAACAGCAGCAGCCAAGACTTCCAGCCAACCAGGGGAGGTGTCTGGAAAAAGTGATAAAGTTTTAATTGAAGAAAAAATTTGAAATAACCTACCTCAACAAATACAACCAGCTGGTCGTAGCCATGAGCACAGAGATACCGTAGGTGAAGTTAGCAGCGACAATGATATAGAACATGGTCAATGAGAGACCTTCACATGATCTGTGCTGATAGTTCTTGATGATTTGAGGGATTCGGCCACCGAAATAGCAGAGAGCGGCGACGGATCCAATGAGGTATCCAAGCATATCAGTGTAAGAGGTGAAGATTGGCCACATCGTCAGAATTCCTTCGAGTGGAAGTCCTTTCTGATGGTTCAGCGACTCGAGGAAAGATCTCTGTAAAAACGGTTTAATAAGACATCGCGCATTGAAGTTAATTTTGTAGTTTGTACCTTGAACCGCGTAGACTCAACTGGAGATGCCGAATCCAACAAAACAAACGATCCGACGGAAGCTAAGGCGAGAACAGGAACGACGATAGTGTTAGAGCGTCCAGATGTTGTAGCAGGTCTGAAAGAATTGAAGAATAACATGAATCTAATAATTGCCTTCCTACCTATGATAAATCTTCATATAGTAACCGTATTGTGCCCATAGAATGAGATCTTGGAAGATGTAATAGACTCCGATGATCTTTTGAATCGGCTGCTGATTGGTGAGAATCGCTCCCAACATGTTACACGTGTCACCGACAAGCCAGAAGAAGAGGAATGCCAGCGAAAGGCCTTCACACTTTTTGGTCTTGTAGTTCTGCCACAGTTGGGGGAAGAGGGGGATCAACCAAAGAGCCAGTGAGATCAGTCCAATGATGAAGCCGAGGAGTTTGAGATCGGTGTCCACGCAATCGGTGAAGACGTTCTTGATCCATTGAATTCCTTGTGTGCAGTTGGCGTCCTCCTCGCCAAAATCGGCATAATCACTCAGACCGCCCGTCTTCATCTCGCCTGGAAAGTGGAGGTTTTAGAATGTGAAAAGGGACTTGAGAATTTTCGAATGGAGAATCGAAATTTAGAGAAAAAAAACTTTTTCAATTTTGCCACTACTTTGTCGAAATTGTAAGCTAACAAATGGGAAATAAGACAGAGCAATTGCTAGCAATTGAACAAGTAAACAATTGTTCAATGAAAAATCGGTACCTTCTGGAATAATAAGATGACTCATATTTTGTTATGATGGATTATTCAATTCTAGGCGAATATTTTTGAAAATGGTCGGAAATCTATTGGATACATTGATTTTGAATGGAGGATTGTACAATCGATTGTATCCATTGTTGGCTAGACACGGAACTTTTCCAGCTGACCAAACATGGCAGAAGGGTAAAAGTCATAAATTTTGAACTGTAAAAAAAGAGGAAAATGTGATTTTAGGTTTAAAAAGTCTAGAAAAAAGTGAAGACCGATCGATTAGTGCTGGAAACAACTGCCCCGGAAAGTGCATTATCATCTAGTTTTCTATGTGTGTGCGAGTTGAAGAGCGTGCGCTAGCACTAGAGCAAAGATGCGCCTGTTTCCACGAAAAATGGGGGTTTCGAGCTGATAATAAAAGACGATTTAGAACCAAAAGAGCACATAAAGTATTGAAATGGAGCTGATAACCATTCTCAAAAATAATTGAAAATTAGGAGAGAATAATTTAAGAATTTTCATTTCGGACTACAACAAGGGGAATGTAGCAGTGTGTGGGAGGCGAAAAATAGATTTCTAAATGAGGGGTAGAGAGATCCACGTACTAGACAGGATACATGGGGTAGAGATCCCAAGGGGGCAAAATTGATAATTTAGAAAAATAGAATCGATGTGAACAGATAAAAACTAAATAAAAAGAAAGCATCAAGCAGGAAACCCATAATAATTAATAAAGTGTAAAGTGAACAAGAGGTCGGGATTTAAAGAAAAGTTTGGGGGCAGTTTAGAGGACAGTTGAAAAAGAAATATTACAGATGGGAGGGAATAATAGAGATTTATAATGTGACATATTCTACATGATAATAGTTGAAAGATATTTAATGTTCCATAGCATCAACTTCTGGGGGAATACCAGCAGATGGACCTCCTCCATCATCTTCTTCCTCGTCATCGTAGTCGTCACCTTGGTTGGCAGTGATCACCGTGTCTCCGATATCTACATTTTCCGTCTGATCCAAGGACAACAGCATTTTGCGGAACTGAAAAATTGCATTCCGACTAAAATTGTTTTTGTTTTCCTTACCGAGCATATCTTATCAGCAAGGAACGTAATGTGCTGTTGCGATCCGAATTCGTAATGTAAATGTAGTGCTTCAAGTGCACTGACTGGCTTGAACATGGCAATATTGCGTCTAGTCACTGCCCTCTCGTACACTTTGACTGGCTCCGATGGAGAGTACTCGGCTACTTTCGTCTCATTGAATCCGTAAAGCTGCATCAAGAACGTGCGCACATACAGCAAAAGTGATGGAATCTGCGACTCGACAAAGAGATCTTGGAATGTTTCGGTTCGATTCAATTGAGACAGTTTTGCGAACAGGTTGTAGTCCACAAACACAACATCTTCATCTTCATCATCTCGGACATTGAGTTGATTCTTGTACTGTACAAGCAGCGACTGACCAGATTGAGCAATGTTCTGATCAATGACACGGATGACGAACAATACCTCATCGACCATCTGCAAATTATACATTTTTGACGGTTTTTAGCTGGATATTTACCTGGTATGGGAACATTGCGAGATTATCAGCTATGAAAATGTACTCCATTAGTTGAGGTTTGCCGTCCCGAAAATCACCATCACTGAACAGCTTGACAACCATTTGAATGAACGATCGTCTTGTCTGACGATTTGTTCGAAGACTTTGATATAGTCCAGAAAGCACTGCCATTCCATCATGTGTTTTCTCGGGAAGAGCGTCGGGTTTGGTGTTCACTAAAGTCAGTGTAAGATTAGTAAGATTAATCAAAAAAAATATGAACTTACAATGAAAATCGCAGAAGCGGAATCCTCTGACATACTTGTGGGTTTTCGAATGCATGTGCAGTTTTTGATGTAGCTTGAATGCCAGACGAACGCCTTGCATCGCCTTACTTTGCACCATTCCAGAATATTTCGAGTCAATTTCCTTGAGAAGGATATCGATTCGATTTCTGATCGTCTCGACAGGATCCGTAATCATGGCGATTAGAGTTGGAATCGATGCTCCTGGAGTGACAAGTCCTTGGTTGAGCGTGAGCCATACTACTTGAACAGATGCTCTTCTCAGTTGGACATCCGGATCCACGTAGGACTCGAGTACAGCTTTCCAGTATTTTTGAATCACAGAAGATCCTAAACCGGATCCACTCAATTCCATTTCTTTCAGATTCTGTGCATCCTTGTTTTCCTCCCATTTGTCATGACTGGCGGCTAACTTATTTTCTTCACATTGTAGGAACATTTCCAGGTTTTGAAGAACCAGAACTCGTTGTTGCATTGCTTGTGGCGAGTTGAGAATCTGTAGATACGTCGTCGTTAGCTGCTTCTTGGTCAGATAACTAGAGTGTTCCGCACAGAAATGTCCCAGTGCTGTCAGAGCCTTCTGCCGAAGTGGTGCACGATGATCCCGAGAGAAAAACTCAAGTGCAACGAAAACACGATCTTTCATCTCATCGATTTCTTTTTCGGTCACATTGTTGCCAGTAACGAATTTCTCAAATGGCAAATATCGAGAAAGTACACCAATCGTGAATATCGTCCGAGACAGTATTGGAAACATTTTCGGATCCAAATTGTATGAACGATTTATCTCCAAGTTCCGCTTTGTTAGCTCAACTGTTTTCAAATATGTTCCGAAAATGCCGATCGTCTGGGTGGCACCTTGACGGAATCTCTGATAAATTGCTGCGATGCATGAGACAGCCGATACAACCATGGCCATTCCATTATAAAGGATCACTTTCGACAGGTTCTCATCGATGGAATTCAAAATGTCAGCACTTGGGTATGAAATAAGAGGGATAACTCTCTCCAGCATCCCAATCATTTCTTTCGTGACTTGATTCTCTGTGTTCGTCTTGGCTCCGGTGAATGTGAGGTATGGAAGGAGAACCTCGACATGACCGGCCAACAAATTGGGTCGGATCTTACTGAGCACGGTGAGCGTCGAGAGATAAGCCATGTACTTGTCTTCTTGTTGCTTTAAATGGGCGAGTTCCGCTGAGGACGAGTCTTTCGATTTGTTCATTTCTAGATTGAGGATGTGGTCAACAAGCGAGTCGATAATTTGTTTTACGGCAACGGAAATTCCAGAAGCTTCTGAACCGTTTTTGACGATGTGAAGAATCAGCATTTCCAAATAGTCGTTCATTGAGTCCTGCAAGAGTACTAAATTAGATTATTAGCAATGTCGACTGCAAACCTTAATACAATGCTGTGCAACACTACACATCGTCGTCACTTTCGTAGCAACACCATCTGGATTGACACGTGGATCGACAGGATGGAACCAGAGGGTTGAAAAAGTTTCATACACAAGCTTCTTGACTCCTTCTTCATCAGTCACACGCCTAATCATTCTGGCAAGCATGTCGGGTATCATTTCAAAGTTGGGGAACCGCTCGCAGATTTCCCTCATGATGCGAATCACTCTTTTGCGTACGGCAACTCCGGTATCGAGTATACGTTCGGCAATTTGAGGGTAGTACATCCTAACGTAGTTTTCGTCATAAAGCACAAACCGTCCAATGAGCTCTACCGCGGCTTCTCGCACTTGAGCATGAGAATCCACCATTCTGGAGTGCACAGCTTGTCGAACATCTTCCATGACCAGTACATCAGAATCCGACTCAATAATTGAACTCAGACATTTCAGAGCTTTGGTTCGGAGAGCAACAATAGTTTCACTTCCAGCACCAAACACGATATGCTTCAAATAAGTTTCAAATGAATGTGCAAGCTCTCTATGTGCTGCTAGATGTTTGACTGCCCATATAACATCGGAATCCATAATTTTCACTCTGTTCGATTTCTCCAATCGTCGCTTGATCTCTTTCTTTTCCATCATCTTCGACAAAAATTCCTTCATTTCGGCGCCCCTCCTTCTCAATCTCTCGTACTTCTTTTCAGATTTACGCAGATCTTTCTCAGTAGCTTCTGTATTTTGAGTTACCGCTTTGTGTTGGTCTCGTGCTACTTCAATATCCTCTACAACCTCTTTGTACCATTCACCAACGTAGAACGTACATGCGTAAACGATGATGTCTGATGGGTTGGAAATAACGAGATAGTCGATGAGCGAGCTTTCTAGAATTTTGAGTTTATCGTTGCCAGTTAATTCAGAAATATCGATGTCCGCGTAATCTTCATATCCTTTATCGTCCATCAAGTAGAACGCTTTCTTCACAACTGCATCCAGTCTTTCCTTGGAATCAACATCTCCGTGACCCTTTCTCAGTTTAGCTGTGATGCTTCCCAAATATTCGAGTGACGCCTGACGAATCGTCATTTCTGTTGATTTTGCTCTGAAATTCTTGACAAGCAAAGATCCGAGAGCTGTTAGAATAGTTTCAGCAGCTGGCCATTCCGGAGAATTCAAGGCAGAGAGAAGTTCCTGAAGGAAGTTGGAGAACAGAACACGGTAATCTTCTTCGCCATCCATTTTGTTACCCTTCTGTGAACACTTGGCAAGAAATCCGTTAAGGAATGCGTTTGTGACTTTGGATGCCTAAAAATTTTGAATTTGAATGTTTCAGCTGACTTATGAAATCACATACTTGTAAAAATGATTCTTTCACTACGGCCTCGTCCTTCTTGGATCGTTTTGCTGCCTCCTCTTCATCCATGTTTTTCTTGTGCTTCGGTACTTTGATAGTCGATTGAACGAGTTGAATGAAGAGAGCAGTTGTCATCGAGATCCAAGATCCATCTGGAAGTGTGTATCCGTTGTTGGTGTTCTTCTGTGTGTATTGCGGAGCACGGTGAAGTGACGCGAGAACATCGGTAATCATCGAGAATCGAAGAGCGTCTTCAGCCCGTGAGAATACATTCGATGCGAGCAGCATTGCCTAAATTTGAAAAAAATGGAGAAACTCTCAAACCAACTACACTTACCGAGACTTGGAGTGCTCCGACGTTTGCCACAAAAAACGGAGTTACGGCAACGGATGCGATATTATGAACAGATGTATCTGTCATTGAGTCGGTCTTCGCGATGAAAGCTAGCAATCCAACGACTTCAGTGATCCTTTCATAGACATATTCGGTGAATCTGTCACGTGTGCACACTCCGATCTTCTTCCGTCTTTTGTTGTCATCGGCCGCCTTCTTTTTGGAATTCACCATTTTGTAGACACTATCCGATGCTGGGTAGATCAGATGGATAAGCAGCAATCGTGTTAATCCGATGCATCTGTCGATGACGTCTTCAATGATGACTTGCTTGAACATTTTGTGACTGGACATGATGTTTAACACAACAACAGCAGCATCAGTTGCTCGCTTGACACGTTCCTCACAAATCTCCTTCTCGAAAATGTCACCAACATCAACTTCATCATTGCACGGAACGAGGAGGCGTGTGTTGTCAGCTGATATTGCATCTCTGATATTTCTATCTAGCAGGATTACAAGTTTCGTGAGCCGATCAACACCCAACGCCTGCAGCACACTGTTCTCTCGAAGACGAGTGGATCCTCTTCTCAATTCTTCCAGCACATGAAGCTCGATTCGAAGATCTGGGTCGATTTCATCAAGTTCTTCCTCCTCCTCTGACTCTTCTAACACCTCATCTCCCCTTGTTACATCCGACCTTCTTTTCTTCTTTTTCGGCGAAGTTAACTCGGCATCCAGTCCTTCCCCTTGCTCGAGCACACCATCAACAGTTTGACAAAACTTGTTATATGTCTCGTTCTCAGCTAACGACTGCAAACTCCACGAGTTTTGATGCTCTTCGTCCACTTTTCTCGCGCTCTCTCTTTCTTGCTTCAACCGAAGGCGCTCCTGCCACTCGGCATCTCTTGATTCGATGACGTCTTCTGGTGTCGGACTTCTGTCTCTTCGCACCGCTTTGTCATCCTTCTTTTTTCTCTTTCTAGTTTCGAAGAATTGACTTACAGCTTCATCATCAGCGGTGAACCCGGTGACACTTGGCGGCAACTTCACACCGTCCTCCATGGCTTTAATGAGTTTTAGGTCTCGTTGAAGCATCTCATCGTCGTCTTCGGAAGCACGTCCACGACGTCTGCCACGTCTTCCGGTATCGGTCGGTATCCAGTTTTCAGTCAATGAGTCTTGAAGGTTTTCGATATCCCTCTGTTTTTTCCGTTGGGGTTTACCACCACCGCCGGCTTTCGGAGCTTTGCCTGAAAATAATGTACATTTTCAACAATTTTTTACATTTTATTTTTCGGTGAATCGAATCTCATAAACTTACTCATTCCTTTGAGGATATTTCTTGAATTAGCGGTGGTGAATACTTTTGAAGGGAAAAAATTGTTTCGAAACTGTTGTCTTACTGTATCTGCCGACACACTCGACTATTTCTGCGTACGGTGCGCAAGACTTTACGACACAGGTGAAAAGAGCTTCGATTTTTGTAACGAATCGTTACTAACGATTTGGAGAGAATATAAAAAGCGAATAAGAGAAAACCGTTGCTGCTGTTTTTTTCTGATTGTTAGTTGCATTATTATTCCACCCCACCGTTTTTATAGTGAGAATTGCGAGAAAAAATGCATGAGTCAGTGGGAACCTTGTTGTTTTATTCCCATTAGAAACAAAAAAAATCTACTTACCAACAGACATCATTTGACGCCGTTTTTCAATTGAAATCGGTGCTGCTTCGACCTCTACATCAGAAGATGGACCAGCAGCAGACCCACTAATCTCCACATGGTTCATAGAATTATGCATAGTTGATGTGGTTGGAGTATTCATCGAAATAGAATGATAGTGATATCCAGAAGTGTTAGGCTCTGATACAGCAGCTCTTGTGATATCTTCTGTCATCATGACATCCTCGTTTTCCAACAATTCCAAATCATTGTGTGAGTCTACATCTAGTGCACTAGTGCTATGCTCCACGACGGCACGAATCATCTGTGGAAGTTTATCCATGAACAAGTCATTATTCTCCTTATCTTCAGGTCTCAACTTGTCCATTCGTGTGATGATATCGTCAACTTCCGTGTCATTCAAAGCTTTGCTAATTGCGGCGATCATCATAGGATCTTTAGAATCTAAAATCGCTCCTTCTCGTTTCATGTCGAAGACGTGTGGTAGTTGTGAGTCTGTCATACTCTCATACGGGAACGGAATCATGTCGAGAACTGAAAACAAACAGTGAAAATAGTTGTGGATGGTTTCTACTCACAATTAGTAACAAAATGGGTTCCAACAAGTGTGAATGGTTGTGCTACAACTTGTCTGAACCTTTCTTCCATTCCACTTCTCTGCTTCGCCGCTTCCTCATCTCTCTTTGCTTGCTCTTCTGCAAATCGCTGCATTCGTTCCCGTTCGAATCGAGCTTTCTCCTCAGCTTTCCTTCGTTCTTCTTCCAACCTTGCAGCCTCTTCTTGTCGCTTGATCTCTTCAATCCTCTCCCGTTCCGCTTGTTCACGCCGTCGTTGCATCTCCTCTGCCAAGCGTTTTTCTTCCAGTATTCGCTGTTTCTTCGCTTCTTCTGCTCGCTTTTTCGCTTCCTCCTGTTCTTGTTTCCTTCTTATTTCTTCTTGTTTCCGTCGCAACTCTTCTTGCTCTTTCTGTTGTTGCTCTATTTGACGGCGCTGGGCTTCATACAGTTTTTGATGTGTCGATGACTCGAACATCGCAGCTTGAGAAGGTTGTTGTGTCGGCTGCTGGTGTTGTGCTTGTTGCACTTGTTGGAATTGGTGAGATGTTGGAGCTATGTGTTGGGACACTGGTTGCTGAAAATAGAAGATTAATACATTTTAATACGCTCAACGAGGCTTCAACTACGTCTTAGGGTTAGACCTTTACTGAAACTGAGCTCAGAGAGAAGATTAGTCGCTCGGTCACATCATCAAAACGGTTTCTGCCAAACGACGACTGGAAACTGTTACAAAGTGACGAGCACTTTGTGTCCTGATGCTAAACCGTTTTGTGAATCGAAAATCGTCATTGCTCATTTTAGAAAAAGCGTTATAGAAATAGAGAACCTGTAGCTTCTGCTGTTGACTTCTCTGTACCTGCTGCTGCTGCTGCATCATATGTTGAAGCATTTGTTGCTGGTTAAACATATGTTGTTGCTGTTGCTGTTGATGTGGAGTATGCTGCAGGTGTTGAGGCTGCTGTCGCTGCATTTGGTGTTGCAACTGCATCTGATACTGTTGTTGCTGTTGGAAATCGAACATCTGAGATTTAAACATAAATTAAACAGCGAATTGTATCTCAACAAGCTCACTGGATTATTGTATCCCATTGGAAACCCAAAGTTCAGGTATTGCTGCTGTAGCAGCATTGGATTGTACTGTCCTGCGGTAGTGCTACCTGTACTTCCAGGTTGAGTCATCTGATGACCAAAGCCACCTGAGTTCGGCTGGACACTATTGAAGTGAGCTCCTGGTTGCTGCTGCTGCTGACCATTCCCTCCAGCACCATTCATGGTGTTCTGAAGGTTGTTCGGGTCCATCTCATTCGATATCTGAAAGAAATTTTGAATTTTTTGAGCATTCCGATCATAGAAACGGTTTTTTCAAGGAGGTATGTGAAACTAAAACAACGAATTGTTAGTTGTTTATTAAATCGATAATCATTGGAATCAGTGGATTTGTCAGCTGTTGTCTCTGTTTTTTGTCTTTACACCTTTCTATTTAAAATCGATACAAAAAAAAAATCAAATCGGCGGTAAAATAAAAAACGGGAAGGGGCGGGACCTGTGTGCTCGCAAACCGCGCGCGGGGTTTTTGCAATGCCCGCGCAGGGTTCTCTCCTTCTTCTTCTTTTTCTGGCGGGAGAAGAGTCAAGGAATTTGAATTAATTCAAAACTTCTAAAAGTTAAAACAAGAAAAAGAATACGATATAAAATCAAAATCAAACAGAGAAAGTTATATTGTTTATTGTTTTCAGGGATTCAAAATGCACCGAACTATATTGAAATCGACCAAAATTTCAGGCAATTTTTTTCTTCTGGATATTCCCATCTTCAAGGATCTTCCCATCCCTTGTTCTTCTTTTCCCTGCCATTCGGATTCCTTCTCGTCCCCCCTAAATCCACATCATCATTCAGACATCGCAGAAAAAGACATGATGATAATCGGAAGGAAACCAATGTGCTCCGTATATTTGAGAAAAGAGCAACAATTATCTATCTCCCAAGACAAGACGAAGAATGGGAAAAGGAAATGTTTTTGGGGCGGCGGGGCATTACCTTGTTTTGGATAGAGTATAAATGTATGTATATATAACTCTCATTCTTTATGATTTCTCATTGTTCTCTTTTCAATAAAACAATAACTGATTCTCTTCTCAAAAAAATTTTCTTTTTTTCCAGAAAAAATTAAATTATCTTTCTAATGGTCTCTATTGTGTGTACAACACCTAGACAACGGGAAAGAGAGTATATAAACTGCTAGTTTCATGAGAAGACGAAGAATATGCAAATTTTAGTTTTATCGAGTTGTTGTATTTTTTTTCATAAGCTTTCTGATAGTTTGCCAAAGTGGATCACACTAGTTCACATTGTCTGAAATTGCCCTGAAATAGAGCTTTCATGTCATCGAATCTTTGTGATTGTCAAAAAAAAACTCAACTACAGTAACCCTAAAACCATCGTTTTGTAGTTCATCAAATTTGACACTTTTCAGAACGAGATTACAAAGCTGATCTTCAAAAGCTCCTAAATTTTAAAATTCCGAATCTTTCCTGATTCACCCATATCGTTGAAAAATATGGTAATTTGATCGTTCATAACTCGGCTCATTGTACACCCTAGAAGCTGAAATTGATCTCAAACATTATCATTTTTATCATTTTATCCGTTTCCGTCGAAAAAACCAAGAAAATATCTGAACTCTCCAAAATCGTGTTTTTCTCTGAAAACGCATTTCCTCTCTTTGCCTCTCCCCAGTTTCAAGAGAAAAAAGTGGGCGGAGTCTCCTACACACAAAGTATAGTGGACGGCGCGAACCCGGGAAGTGTCGGCTGCTTCTGGTGGAACGCGCGCTTGTCTCGTTCTGTAGCGTTTATGAACTGTTCTGCAACGGAAAATCGAGGAAAATTGCTGAAAATTGATAGACTGACACTTTGAAATACGGAGAATCCGAAAATCCACTTTTAAAAAAGCAAAACATACCCCTCTTTTTTTTTTCAAAAACCTCTTGTTTTGACTATCTCTTTCCCTAGATTAACCCTAACACCACTTTTCCAGACGTTGTCGTCCCCACTCGCCAAACTTATTGCGGCGGTTAACGTCGCCCGGAACGTTTCGATTAACATGTCGTCACTAACCAACCCAACCACCGTAATGGTAATTATTAACACTAAACGAGATTATTTTATTCCATTGTTATCATTGTTTTTAGGAGGAGGAGGAGGTGCCTGTAGCTGCTCCAATCCGACGAGGAAACAAGAACCCACGACGGTACAGTTTGGTGCATCAAGCGAGTTGTGAGACTCAGCATCACATTGGAATTCGACGTCAGAATACTATTCAACATCGAAAGCAACTGACGGATCAGATGAGAGAACAGAAAATCCTTCAACAACTCAACGACGAAGGCGTCGAAGTCATCTTTGCTGCCAACGACGTCTCATCTATTGACTTCTCCGTCATCGTCACGTCTACTGACTACATCTCCACTTTTGTTTCTGATATTCTCTACAACATGAAATCCGCAGGTGTCCAAATCTGCCACGTGGAAACCCGCGAATCAAAAGCTGTCTCTGGTCATGATGTTCTTCTGGATTGTCGTGCCACTAAGAACCAGCTGATTAAGGCGGCAGAGCTCTTGACTCAAAACCACGTGGCACTCACTCACTTCTCCATTTTCTCTAAGAAATCTGTGGAGAAGAGCCAATCAATGATCTGGTTTCCTCGCCATATAAGTGAGCTGGATCAGTGCTCGAAGTGTATCACAAAGTATGAACCAACAACGGATCCACGACATCCAGGACATGGAGATGACGAATATATAGCTAGAAGAAAGTTCTTGAACGATCAGGCTTTAGAGTTCAAGTTGTAAGTTTTAGCTGTATTTTAATTAGCTAAAATAAAACTTCCAGCGGCGATGAGATTGGATATGTTGAGTATACCGAGGATGAGCATGCCACTTGGAAGGCTGTCTACGAAAAGTTAGGCGGTCTACACGAGTCACACACTTGTAGTGTGTACCGTCAGAATTTGAAGATTCTCCAGAAGGAGAAGGTTCTGACGGCGGATCGTATTCCACAGATTCGCGATGTCAACAAGTTTTTGCAAAGTTAGTTATTTTTGTTATATGTTGTCGACGGAATCTGAAACTTGTCTGATTATATTAGACGATACTTAATCCTTAATTTTGTAGTTCCAGTTTTTTCTAGAACATCTTCTAACATGGTGAACATATCTCTAATTTTCTAGACAACAAGTATGCAATATTCCAGATGACGTATCTCTTCTAGAAGCGATGATAGAAAAAAGTTGTCAACTACAAAAAGGAAGCTCTAGTTTTGTTTAATTTATTTTGACATTTTCAGACAAATACAATAAGTATTAATTGTTTTTTGTAATTTATCAAAACTTAGCTTTTTTTGATAATTGGAGTATGCTGTTCATGAACTTTGAATTAGGATTGTGAGAAGACCACTGAAGAAAACCTGATTTTAAAAAGTTTTCTGTGATTTTGGATAGTTAGTAAGCATGTTAACACAAAAATGTGATTATTACGACTTTTTCCTGATACACCTATATCGTTGGAAGTCTTCGTTCTTAGATCGTTCATAACTTGGCTCATTGTACACCCTAGAGGCTGAAATTAGTCTTAAACATAATCATTTTCAGCCCTTTATCCATTTCTGTCAAAAAAACCACAAAATTATCTGAACTCTCCAAAATCGAATTTTTTCTGAAAACGCATTTCCTCTGCTTGCCTTTCCTCGCTTTCAATAGAAAAAGTGGGCGGAGTCTCCTACACACAAAGTATAGTGGCCGGCGCGAACCCGGGAAGTGTCGGCTGCTTCTGGTGGAACGCGCGCTTGTCTCGTTCTGTTGCGTTTATGAACTGTTCTGCAACGGAAAATCGAGGAAAATAGCTGAAAATTGATAGACTGACACTTTGAAATACGGAGAATCTGAAAATTCACTTTTAAAAAAGCAAAACATTCTAGAAAACCTGAAAATAAAAGAACTCTGACTACATCCTTAAGACAGTACCAATCCAAATTCCAGAAAAGACTGGCTTCGAGCTTCGTCCATGTTCTGGTCTTCTCTCGGCTCGTGACTTCCTTGCCTCCTTGGCTTTCCGTGTCTTCCAAACCACCACTTATCTACGCCACCACAAGTCTCCACATCATTCCCCAGAACCTGACCTAATTCATGAATTACTTGGACACGTCCCAATGTTCTCTGACCCGCTTTTAGCGCAAATGTCCCAAGATATCGGGCTGATGAGTCTAGGAGCAAGTGATGAACATATCGAAAAACTGGCCACGGTTTACTGGTTCATTGTTGAATTCGGCTTGTGCAAAGAGGATGGAAAACTCAAGGCAATCGGTGCTGGTCTCTTATCTGCTTACGGAGAACTTATTGTATGTTTGCCCTTCACCATTTGTACCTTTCCATATCCTTATTTTCTAGCACGCCTGCTCAGATGCTCCAGAACACAAAGACTTTGATCCAGCGGTCACAGCTATTCAGAAATATGAAGACGATGATTATCAGCCGCTTTATTTTGTGGCTGATAGCATTCACGACGCTTTGGCAAAACTTCGAAAGTATGCATCATCTATGGACCGCCCATTCTCGGTGGTTTATGATCCGTTTACCAAGTCGATTGAGGTAAGATAGGAAATATTTTAATTATAGTTATTTGGCCCTAATTAGCGTTTCAATTGGATCATTTTTCAGACAATCCAATCGAGTGCCGATCTGGAAAAGGCGTTTAGTCGTCTCTCGAACGATTTGAGTGCGATCACCCATGCAGCTGATCGGATGAAAATCTCAATTACTGCCTAACTATCTAATTTTCTTATCAATATCGATACTATTTTATAATCCTTTATGTAGAAAACTCTTCTATTCTAAACCTGCCTATCCTAGAATCAATTTGTCTTTAGTTTTTATACATTACTGTTGGAGACTTATTCTTCTATACAATTTTGCACCCCCCCCCCCCCCCAAAATTTTAGAATAAAATTTTGCAAAGTTTAGTTTTTGCTCCGAAGCTTCTTCTTATTTCTCTTCTAATCTTCAGTCCTACTCTCCCATCACATCATCGTGATGCCAGCTAATTTCAAATCAAAGTGACATACTATGTGTCCCATTTCTTTTCCAAAAATGTCCCTTTTCTTAGAACTCTTCTTCTCTTTTTCATCTTTCATTTTTCAATAATGTATAAAAAAGGTTTTTCGTTTGTTTTGAGCTCTTGCCAATGATGACGCCAATAGATGAAGAAAACGGTTGTAAATTAAATTGAATTAAATCTTTTGGAATCGTATAAAAGAAGGGGAAGGGTATCTTTCTTTTGTTTATCCTCAACTTTTTTCCAAAAAAAATTCATTTGGATCTTCTCTTGAGATCTGGAGATCTATTTCTAAGATTCGAATTTTAGACCCTCGGCTTTGAAATGCAACCTTGGTTTAGCTAGATCTAAGATCTTTGAAAGTTCAAAGCTCTTGTGAGCTACTAATATTTTTAGATGCATGTTTTAAAAAGTTAAGTTAAAAATCTCGATTCCAGTGGACGCGAAAGGGGATTCGTCGTGACATAACTCCTTCAGAATAAGTAATAGAGAAATGTTATCCACTACAATGTAGCTCCAGTTTCGTTAAATATATCCTGATATTTTCAGACAAGTATAATGAGCACTAGTTGCTTTTGTAGGTCATCAAATTTGACATTTTCAGAATGAGACTATGAAACTCATATAAATGTTGAATTTAAATTTCGAGAAGACCACTACAGAAATCCTATTTTTGAAAAATTATCCGTAATTTTGAAAAGTCAATAAACATTTTAACACAGAAAAATGGTTATTCAGATTTTTCCCTGATCCACCCATATCTTTGGAAGTCGCGGTTCTTATATCGTTCATAACTTGGCTGATTGTACACCCTAGAAACAGAAAACAATCTCAAAACTGATCTCAAACATTATCATTTTTACCTTTTTATCCATTTCCGTCGAAAAAACCAAGAAAATATCTAAACTCTTCAAAATCGTGTTTTCTTCTAAAAACGAATTTCCTCTCTTTGCCTCTCCTCGCTTTCAATAGAAAAAGTGGGCGGAGTCTCCTGCACACAAAGTATAGTGGCCGGCGCGAACCCGGGAAGTGTCGGTTGCTTCATGTGGAACGCGCGCTTGGCTCTATCTGTTGCGTTTATGAACTGTTCTGCAACGGAAAATCGAGGAAAATAGCTGAAAATTGATAGACTGACACTTTGAAATATGGAGAATCCGAAAATCCACTTCTCAAAATAGAAAGTTCTTTTTGTATAAAAGTAGTCAATTCGAAATGATTTTAACTTTTCTCTATTTCTTTCCTGAAAATCCGTGTTTTTCCTGAAAAAAGGGAGTTTCTTCTGAACGACAAAGCATTTTCTGGCGCCTTTCGACATTCGCCAGATGACCACTCATCAGAGAACACAGTTCCACGTCATCTATATATTCTGGTAACCAATAAGTTTTCATCCGACGAGATTCTCGAGTTTCTTCTTTCTTTGTTTTCCTACCCATCCCTGTTATTCCTAGCTCGTGTGACCCCTCAAGACCACGCCCCTTTTCCTCATCCATCCGTTAGTTTTGGTCTATTCTTCATTAAGCATAATGGGTTTCGTCACACTCTTCTTCGTCTTCCTTGTCTTTGTTTTTCTAACGTTTCCCCCTCATATCAAGATTCAAAGTAAACCGGATTTCATGCTTTTTGGGATTACTGTAGTTCCGAAAATTCCAACTTTCAGGGTTACCCAGCGCTCGTTGTTGAGCAAAAAGTAGTTTTTGAGACTCTCTCAAAAATCCAAAAAATGTTAGCCTCACCTGCTCAACTCATGGCTCTTATGCTCGTTTTGTCCTGCTTCCACGTGGCAGAGGCTGGCACTTGGCTCTCTTTCAGTGAGTCCTTTTCAAGAATGTTCTGTTGAAGACGTTCGCTTTATTTCAGATGACTTTAAAGAGGACGGTATGGGAGAGCCGTCCCGTCGTTTGGGAGATGTCGTTTCGTTGTGCAAGGAAACGGTAAGGGGGCTCTGTGTGTTATGTGGGAAAATTTAATGCTTTTGGGATTACTGTAGTTCCAAATAATCCAGTTTTCAGGGTTACCCAGAGCTCATTGTTGGGCAAAAAAGTAGTTTTTTTGGGTTCTGCCTAATAAACTCTATTTATTTTAACTTTGAGTTTCTTGAACTTTCTGAACCTCTGATTTTCTAGGAATTCAAAATTTTAAAGTCGTTCCACACTTTTTAATCTCCTGAAACGAATTTCGAAAATTTCAGCAGAAGCGTCTAGCAAAGCGAGCTCACATGGGCGAACGCGTCATTCGCGCTCAACAGGAGAGCGAGGCAATCTGTCGTCTTCTCATGAAAATGGTTTGCCGGGAATTAGAAATTTCAAAAAATCCTTCAGTTTTCAGGGTCGTCGTTGATCATTCTCTACTTGATAATCCAAGAAATCCACCTCATCAGTTCGTCAATCCATACGTTTTCGCCTCTAACTGTCTTTTTATGGTTTTGGTCACACACACACACAAACACTTTAGTAAACTTTGACAACATGTTAAACATCGATTTAAAAAACATCTTCTTCGCATACATTATGAAAACATGAAAAATCCCGTATGGTTAGAAATCATATTTCGAAAAAAGAACATGGCTTATGGTACATTTTGGTTTAGAAAATTGAAAAAATTAAAAAATTGAATCTATTTCGATGAAGCCAACGACAGCATCGCTTCTCTCAGTTGCTCCAGTTTCTGGAGATTCAGTCTCGCCGTCTCTAGATCTATCCTTAAACGATCCACTTCCATTTGACTCGATTTCAGATCTCGTTCCCTATCAGACAGTCGCGATTCGTAGAGTTTTAGCTGGAAGAAAAAACATTAAAATATCAACAGAAAAAAGAAAAAATTCGAATTACATGGCTCTCTGCCTCAACCAACTCCTTTTCTTTGGCTAGTGTCTTTTGTTCGGCGGCGGAAGTCTAAATAGAATATTTTAAGGGGAAAAGCATAATAATAGTTTTATGTGGGGGTGGTGTTATATGTTGCGTTTCCATATTTGAACGGATGTATTTGGAGATTGATCTTTGTTTGATTTTTTTTCTCAATGAGGACATCTGTGCAAAAAACACACATATGGAAAGTCTGGAAAAGTTTGGATCACAATTTCGGGAATTTATACAATTCAAAAATCCTAAAATTTTAAATTTCAGAAATTCAGAAATTACAAAATTCGAAAATTCAAAGGATCCTAAAATTCATGAAATCAAAAATTCGGAATTCCGAAAATTTAGAGCATTAAAAAAATTCTGAAATTTGAAAAAAATAGAAAAAATAAATTAAAAACCTAAAAATTCCAAAATTCAGAAAATCCAAGAAATCCAAAAATCGAAAAAAACCTAAAATTCTAAAATTTCAAAATTCAAGAATTCGGAATTTTGAAAATTCTACAATTCCAAAAATTTAGAGAATTCAAAAAATCCTGATATTCAAAAAAAAATCAGACATTTCAAAATCCAGGAAATCCAAAAATTCGAAAAAAACCCAAAAAATCCAATTTTCGAAAATGCATTAACTCTGAATTCCGAAAATTTAGAAAAATACCTAAAAATTAAAAAAAAAATCTTGTAAATTGGGGAATCCTTGGTCTTATTGACCGGTACTGTATGTCCAAATTCTCTCAATTCTCATCAACATTTAATAAGACGATTCCCACCTGCAAATGAGCCCGTTCCACTTCCGTTTGCTTTGTTTTCAACTCGACATCAATTTGAAGTATCTAAAAATTTAACAAAAATTTAAAATTGTCGCTATTTTTATATCAAACCCACATGCTCTTTCAACACTTCGCACTCTACGATTTTCTCCTCGAACTCCCTTTTCAAGTCCTTATTCTCCTGAAGGCACATCTCTATTCTTGCCACATTTTGTGCCAACTCGGCGTTCAACTCGGAAATTTCCATCTGTGCTGTTTGAGCAGCCCGTTCCGAGTTTGCAAGAATTTCTGAAATTCTACAGTAATCCTACAGTAATATCTTATCCGGTTACCATTCAATTGTGCCTTTAGCCCACTCTTCTCTGTTATGCACATTCCCAGACTCTGCTCAATCGTTTCCCCCTTTTGTTTCACATCTTTCAGTTCGATTTTCAGCTGTTCCATTTCCAGATTTCCACGTGCCATGTGATCGGTAAGTTGGGTGTTTCGTTCGCGAAGCGACTCGCATTCCAGAGTGAGCTCTCGGATTTTCGAGTTGTTCTGAAAAAATTGGATCTCTAAAGAATTTAAAAACTCATTGCTAACCTCAAAATCTTGTGTCGATTGCACCCCAATCGGTCTACTATTCTTCAGCTGCTGCTCTAACTCTTTTTCCCTCAACTGCAACATCTGAATCTTTCTTTCATACGCCGCAAACACTTCTGTCGTCTTTGCATCTTTCAATGGCATTCCTTCCAACGTCACTTTCCTTAAGAGATCATCCAAAGCTCTTTGTGACGATCTTTCATCGGTGAAGAAGACCTCTCCAGACCCAACACGATCGTCTGATTCTCTTTTCAATTCTGGAGACTCTTTCTGAGAAGCAATGTTCGAAGAAGACGTGGAGGGGGATGACGTGGATTTGCAGGAGGCAACCATTTCGGAAAGTCTGAAAAACTCCAAATTATGCTCTAGTGCAAATTCTAAAGCTCACAAATGACTAGGAAATGCGGGAACTTGTGCACAATGAGAATAGGTTAGGAAAGCTTGTTGAACAGTTTCCTGGTCCCCATAGGATATTCCATATGCTAGAAATGGTATGATCCTTTCATCCTTCAGCAGCTTCCAATATTGATCTTTATGAACTTTGGAGTGATCCTTCAACACTGCCAACAGCCTACACAACTCCAGAATAATCCCGATTCCGTATATAGTCCACTCAGGATCCAATGGCTCCAGCCTCTCTTTCGGTGGCTTTGTCAAAAATCCCACCACTGGATTCTTCGCGAATTGCCACGTGGCTATTTCCTGACAAAGATGGGCGGAGCAAACATTCAGCAGAAGCTGTCGACATTGCTCATCATGAGATATAACCTCTGCGAGACGGAGACCAAACTGGAGCTTCTGAATCTTCTCAGACACTTGTGGGTCATAAGCCTCATCTAAACAAGTGGCTACTAGCTCGATGAGTTGTCCACGTGGCACTCCAATCTCAGGCATTTGTTCTTGTGGCTCTATGCACTCTTTTAGCAGGTGTGAGAGGAGTTTTATGGCTTTCAGAGTGACATTTTCAGTGGATTCTCCGTATTTCAGACCGCAAGTTTCAGTGATAGCTACAATAGGAGTCGTCAGTTGGGTTTCGGTTGGTTGACATCGAATAATCGCTTGGCAAACTGGACTTCTCAGTTGTTGTAAAGAGCAGAAGGCCAGAAGAAGGTCATAGATCTGAAAAATTGAGACTATGAGTTTTCAGAGTTAGGCTGAAATTCTGGATTTCTCAAAATTCCCAAATGAATATTTACCTTTGAACTCTCTTCTGTCCGTGGATCTAGAGTTACTAATAAACGAGCAGTCTGTTGTATACTCCCTATGAAAAATCCATAATTCAGTACGTTCTTCCCAGTGGATGCCAGTGTTGGAATCCCTGGTATAATAGAGCTTTCCGAGACGACGAGGCGTCTGAAAATGTGCTCTGATATGAAACTTGAGAGAAAAATTGAATTTTTCGCCCACTAACCTCAACAAATCTGCCGCAATCTGCCTCGTCATCATACACTCATCGTCTCCTATTGTCAAAACATTAAAAGTGCACATAAACGTATCATGCACATTTTCAGTACAGTACACCATATCTCGAACTTTTTCGTCTAGATAACCTATCAATACCAAACTAGAGACCACTGAAAAAAAATTAATTTTTATAAAAAAGGAATTGAGATCTTCAAATATTTACCAATTATTCTAGCATTGTGCTGTAGTAGTTTCATCAATTGTCGACTAAACTTCTTGTATGACGAGGATATTTTTATTCGTTTGCAAGCAGATTTTGATGCTGATGCAAGGTTGCAAAGAATAGCGATACAGTAGGGCATCCATTCAGGTTCAGGCTCTCGTATTCTGGAAGTAAGAACAATCTGAGGTACTCTGATTGGGAAAATTCTAGGAAAACACTGGAAATTTAGACATCCAGATTTTTACAAAAACCGAAGATTGGAGCTCTGGAAGAGGAACAAATGTCCCACACGAGCAACTACCGTAACCAAAGAATATTGTTTTCATATTTTTATTTTTAGGGTACGGTAGTCGTCGTTGTGGGTTTCTCTTCTACAGCTCCGAAATTTAAAATCCTTACACTTCTTGCATCAAAAACGATATGAGTTCATTGGCCCAATGCTCCAGTGGCACATTCTTTTCATAGCTCAAAACTTGTAATAATCTGAGAATATCAATCATATTCTGGGGTCCCAATTGCTCTCGAAGTGACGCTTTCAAACATGAAAACACTGCGCCAAGTAGCCGAAGCTCTCCAGCCATGAACCTTCGAATCGGAATGTTATGATGTGCAATCGAAAAGAGCAGACGGTAGAATTTGGAGCGCGTCATAATGTTAGTGGTGGAGGCATCTGGAAACTTTGGTATGGCGAATTCTGGAAAAAAAAAGACAAAAACCTACTTAAAATCACTGGCGTATACGATAAGAACTCCTTCAACTGTGCATTCTTCAGTGATAACCGAGTCACTCGATCGACATCTGCCACGTGGCGAATCATCGCACTCAAGGCTTCATCTAATCTCGTCGTATTGTCAGCGCTACTGTTAGATACGTAACGAGCAGCTGAGGTGGTGGCCAAGGTGAATATTGAATCGGGCTGGAAAATTTTAGAATGTTCTATTTAACTTTGGATAATAAAAAACCTCATTAGAAGGCGTTGAAGGATCGCGTTGAAAACGTTGCGATGTTCGAAAACTGCTGCGCTCCATAGTGGTCCATAGAATGTCTAATTTTAGTGATAAAACTTGTTATGAGGTGAGTAGATGTATCTGAAAATTGACAAATGGATATGGAGGATGGTATATGGACATCCTCAACAAGGTACATGTGCTAATTAAGAAGACAGAGAAGAGGAGTCAAGTGGATAAACAAGTCTTGATACTACGGGTTTGAGGGTTTGAACAAATATGTATAGAGGGCAAAGGAAGACATTGATACTAAAAATGTGTGTTGCATATTTTCTTCTATTGAAAAGAAAAAACATATTTTGAGAGAAGGAAGAAGTCTTCAAAAGTACAACTGATATAAGATGAAAGTAATAAATCTCCAGGATTTGAAATTCTAAATCTTCCCAAAGAAGGCGAAATGGAATCAAAGAGGGATTATTCAAGGACGTACGCATCTTCTTACGAACAATTATCGGTATGTATTCTAAATGAAAACGAAGTCAAGAAGAGAGAGTGGAGGAACTCGAGAGACGCAGGAGGAGAAGGTGGAAGATCGTGGAATTGGAATTCAACTTGACACCGATTGGAAGAGGACGAACAACAAGTTTTAGGTCCTTTGTGAACTTTTTTTTTGTTTCTGGTAGAGTGGATTCGAATGATATATTGGAGTTTCGGGAAAAAATCTTCAGATCCTGAAGTTCGTATTACTTGGAATTAGATATTTTCCCTATATTTCTAGAAACTTATATTTTTGAGATTTTGATTGTTTCAAATCCTTGTATCATTTGGGGAGCAGGACATATAAAGAAAAGATAGGGTCCAGAAACACCGGAAATTAAAAACCAGATGCCATTCTTGATGTTTTGCTGAACTTTCCCGGAAATACTAAAAGTAGTGAAAAACAACAAAAATAATAACATTGTATACAAGCAGAAGAAGAAGATAAGAAGACACGCTCCGTATGAATTGGGAGGGGACTCGAGCCCGCAGAGACCAGCCTGTCTTGTTGACACTGTGCGTGCAGGTCAAAAAGCAAACAAAATGGACAAGATAACCTGCTGTGGAGAAAACTGAACGAAAATTTTGAAAATAATATTTTTTTTTGGAAAATTGAAAAAAAACCCCCCAAGTTACAAAATGAACACCGAAAAGATACGAAAAAATGACAAGAAGATAAATCGGGGATCAATCAGAAAGAGAGGGTAGGAGATACAGCAATCGGGGTGCAAATATTGACATTTGAGTGAAAAGAGAGAGAAAGGTTCTTACCACGAAAACAACCGTATTACATTACATAAGGTAAACGAAATACAACAGTAAAGTGAAAAGGTGGCTTATGTAACCGAGCATGGGAAGGGAGTTCAAGAAAATCGAAAAACCCTATTAGCATTCGCCGATGTGGCACGGACAACATCCTCGACTGGAATGTCTTTGATTTTAGAAATCCATTCAGCAGAGATTATTAAATTCGATGGCACATTTTTGACTCCTTGCTCTGGCCCTAAAGCAGGAGAGTCCGTTTCCAGAAGGATTTGATCTATGGGAATGGAGTTGAAGACTTTAGCAACCTTCTCACTTCTCACAAACGATGGTGGCACACTGAACAGGTATCCAGCCTCTGATCCCATTTTCGCATCTTCCAAGCCTCCATCGAAGGCGTGTAGTATTACTCGATCCGGTGCCACGTGGCACTCAGTTAGTACCTCGATTGTTCGACGAGCTGCACTTCGAGAATGCACGTTTCTGAAGACATATAACATTTTTTTCCGAAATGCTAATAAGGCTAACTTACTCACAATGGCTTTTCGAAATGCTTAGCTAGATCAATTTGCCACTTGAATACCCTCTCCTGCTCCTCCAAATCCGCTTCAGTTAGCTTAAATTTGGTAACGGTGTGATCTAAACCACACTCACCCACACAGATGATATCTCGCTCATGCTCCACAAAAAACTGTTCCATTTTTGAGATATGCTTCATTTGAGCACTTTTTCCGCGCTTCTGGAAGAAAGATACGACCATCTTTCAATCTAATGGATGCTTGCTTGTCAAAAACCTGTATAGGATGAATCCCGATTCCAGTGTACACTACTCCTTTCCACTTCTTCGTGATTTCTATTGAACTTTCAAATTGTGACTCAAATTCTGGTACATTGATTAGTTTGACAACTCCAGAAGACTGGGCGTGGCTTATTACATCATCTAGGTTTTCTTTGAATTTGTTGTCGACTAGGTGGCAGTGCACATCAATCATCTGAAGAGTACTTGTGCTTCCTGGAGGTGTTTAAAATGATAAAGATACAGGAGACTATAAACTCCAAGGCTTTGTTCTTTATTTTAGAAGGAATAGGTTACGAATAAGTCATTTATAAAAAAAAACTGAATCCACTATAAGAAATTATACAGCTCAATCAATAGTGACATATTCCTTTTTCGATCCTTCGGAACCAGTTGCTCCAGAAGACGTTGTTCTTTTAAAGAAACTAGAAATCCGAGACGTCTTTACGGGAGGCGCTGGCACTCGTTTAGGTGGAAGATCCATCAGAATATCGAAACTTTGGTGGCGTTTCAGTGTTGGAGGGGGTTTTGTTGGCACATTAGTAGATTTTTGACTAGACGAGTTGTTGTTTCCAATTGATTTTGTTGAGATCCTGGTGGTTAGAGAACTAGGAAGAGGGAGATCGAATTCGAAGGAGCTGAAAAATAAAATGGCTCAGTGGGATCGAGGATTTTAAGAAAACTCACTCATCAGCAGTTTTAGAAGAAGAGAATGTAGGCTCTATTCTTTGTTTATCATCTTTTCGGGGGATGACTACCTTAGCTGGAGCCTTAATTGGAACCTTAGGTAGCACCTTAGTTGGAAGCTTCGGTGGGATGCGATTTATAATATTTGGGGGCACAGGAATGTCAAATTTGAAGGAGCTGAAAAAAGAATATTTACAGGGGATATTCTATCAGTAACTACTCACTCATCATTGCTCAGTTTTGGAATAATCACTTTCTTCTTTCTCTCCGTTAGTTTTGGGGTTCTGAAGTATTCGTCATCGTCATCGTCGTCATCAAAACTGAATGGAGCCATTGCGGAAGTAGAGGGTTTCGAAGCTGCTGGGGCAGGTGGTGTTTGGTTTTCTTGTTGCTGTTGCTGAAAATGATATCTCGAAAAGCCCATAGAACGAAAAACATACTTTGAAAAACGACAACTCTTCACCCATCAGCTGACTCGAATCATCAAAACCCAATGATTTCCGCTTTGCAGCCAATGGTGTCACCTCTTCTAGAACTTCTCGAAGTCTCTTGTTATTGATCGGAGTCTCCACGTTGGCACGTTCTCGAAGCTCCAAAACTGATTTTTTGAGTGTCTGTCTAGTCACCGCATCCTCTTGAGCCTTCCGTTTCAACGATTGGTTCTCGAGTCTCAAGTTCTCAATTTCTTTCGCCGCTTCTCGACGCTTTTCGGTTAGATCTTTGATTTGTCTGGAATATTTTCAGAATGGTTTTTTCTCGAGAATCAATAGACTTACGCTTTCTGAAGTTGAAAAAACTTCTCCGTATCCAGATTTCCACCTTTTCGCAGATACTCGCCGAGTTGTTTTTCTGCGTTATCGCTATGAGTCATGAGGATTTTATAACTGCAAAAATAATTAAACAGATATTCAGTTTGAAACTTTTTGAGCTTACAATTCACAGGCTCTAACTTTACTTCTAGCATCGGCCACTGCTAGTCTCAACGCTTCAGTCTCTTCGGAAGAAATTTGCAAATGATTTATTGTCGCCTGTAATCGCGGAACTTCCATCCGATACTTGTCCTTCTCTTTTAGAACTTTTTTCTCCAGTGACTTGACTTCATTCTTCAACACTTTATTCTCCGCATCCAGTTTTTCAGCCTTCTCTTTTTCCACTTTCAGGGTTGTTGATATTTTATAGTGCTGAAATTAACTTTTTTTGTTGTTGAAAACAAAATTTAGTGCTTATTGAGCTTCCTCACCTCTTCTCTATAATCTATTTCTGCTGGCTTCTCCACTTCTCCACCCATGCGTTGTACATCGAAAAAGAGCTTCTCCACAAACCCATTTTTCGGCACTGACCGCCTACAACTCGGGCATTGTTTCTTGGCTGCCATCCACTGTGAAATACATCCGTGATGGTAAATGTGACCACAGACGATGGCGGATATCTTGTCGGTTTGTCGCAAGTCCTCGAAGCAAATCGAGCAGGAGCCCTGGAGATAGGAGCCACCTTCTTGAGACGTCATCTGAAATTTTGAATTTATTATTATTTGAATTCTTTATTAGAGGAAGAAATTCAGAAGGATAAGATATGAGAATGTGCAAGTACAAGGGAAAAATCAGAGCAACATAAAACGCCGCCAGAAAGAAAGAAAAAGAAAAAGGTATCGATCCGGATTCTTAAACGATTCTCCGTGACCTGGAACTATAACATCTCCAGACCCAAATATAATCTCTTGGGATAAAATTAGATCTTCATATTCGTCTTCATCTAATGGCAAGAAATCTTCAAACTTCTGAAGATCCTGAGAATCTTCTATCAGGTCTCCGGAGTAAACAACAAGTCGATTTTTCTCTTGAACGATAGCGATGGTATCGGAAGCGGTGTGGCCGGAGAGATTCAAAATCTGAATAAAATTATATGAATTGAAAATGAAGAATTTCAAGTGTTACCTCACACTTTTCTGATACCCTATACGGCCATCCTGGAATCACACTGTATTCTGCTCTCTCGTTTCCCCTCTTTCCAATATCCCAATCCATGATCACCGTGGCTTCCGGAAACAGCCCTAGGTTAGCACAATGATCCAAGTGACCATGTGTGACTAGAACATGTGTCACTTGGCACGGTGCCACCTGGTGCTCTTTTAGTTTTCCAACAATTTCAGACCCATTCCATGGATCACCAGCGTCTACTAGAATAGTAGATGTCCCATCTTGAATGAGCCCGACTGCGCCAGTGGGGCCTAGTGGGTCATCATTCGGGCGGCCTTGGATGATGACGTGGCAAGCGGTTGTCATAAGACTGTTATCAGTGACTGCGTTTCAATTAATAGAGAAGGAAAACAAAGATATGAGAAGCTAAAAACATCTGCGACACCCATTACATTCGTTCAAAAATAAAGAAAAACGTTTATTGTTTAATTACTATCCGATGCATATGTTTTCATCAGACATCATGACCATTTGTAGCAGGTTCTTATGAATTAGTTCATAGGGATTAGAGCTATTCTTGCTTTGCTTGGCGTAGGTGGACAGGTAGAGACGTTGTATCTGAAAATAATGTGGGCGTAGGAGCCTTTGCTAACTGGCAGACTTACACGACACAAAATATTCCATTGTGTCAGCAGATACTTCCGTTGCACTTGCACATAAAGCGGGCTCATTCGATACTGCAACGCCATCAGAATCTTCTCGTCCCAGTTCATTAGCTTCGTCTCCGTAAGATTCTCTTCTATGACACGCATCAGTTTGTGCATTCGATATTTCTGTGCCAGCTGGATAAGATTGTGAAAACTATGTCGAAACACCACAATATCGTCATACTTCGCGGTTGCTTCCATCAAAATTTCGATCATTCGATTTTCCATAGTTTCTATTGTGGTACTTATCAACTGGACGTCCTCCACTGCTTGCCACTTCTTGAACAAGTCACCACCAACTTGACCCATCTTGGCAAGATCCACATAAAATATGAGGCCATCTTTGACTTGGTCTTCGAAGTTTTGGACGATGAATTGACGAGATCCTGACGGTTTAGAGAGGTCCAGCTCGCAAAGAAGTTTTCTAATTCTAGCAGCGATGATCAGTCTCCCAGTTTTCTCCTTGATTCTCATGTGTCCAAAGAAGCTGTCATTTTTAATAAGCACGGACATCAACTGAAATTTCAATCATATGAAAAAAAAACTCTTCTGAATACCTCTCGTCTCTTTGTTCCACATCGAAAAACAATATCTGCCACGAACGGACGATCTTGGAATTCTTTCGGCCGAAAGTAGACATGAATCATCCATCCACATTGTTTTCCTGTTGCCTCATCTTCGAGAAAATCTTTCTGAAGAATCTGTGAGAATTTTTTCATCGCAAAAAAGATATACCTGCACAACACAATCGCCGCCGATAAACTCCGTGGTGAATTCAAAGTCTGGAGATTCTAGCTGGCTGGAGAGCACCGGGATCCATTTGTCCATAGCCTGAATATATGGAATTTTCAGCAAGGAATTCGATTTTTAACATTAAAAAACTTGAAAGTCAATGGAAAACTTTCGAATTCGTCGTAAAAAGAGCAAGCTTCGTTTTTGAAAATATGCAAAACGCGCCAAGGCACCAAGAAGACGCAAACCGGATAGAAGGCGCAACACTCGTGTTTCGTGCAGATTTTCAGAAGGCTTCCGTGTGAAAACCGAAGAAGTTGTTGAAGAATTCGTCTTTTTTGATTTTCGAAGAAAATTTGAACTCTTTGAAGCATGAGTAGGAATTCGATTTCTCAGTAGGAATTCGATATCAGTAAGAATTCGATTTATTTTTTAGGTTTTCCTTGTCTTGGATTTCTTTGTTTTTATGTTTCATCCTTTCAAAACAATATCATTAATAACCCCATTACACTTCATCATTTTCCATATCAGAAGTTAACTGTCTCTTTCAAAACCTCATTTTTCACACAATAATCACACCTCTTCTTATCTCTGTTTCTTTCACAAAGAACGCTCAAAAAGCGCTCAAAATACACACTTCGATGTCTTTCTCTCTTCATGTTTCGTTGCTTTGTTCGAATCTCCACGTTACAAAATAACTGACTGTGGATCGAGTTTCCACGAATATGGATGGTGTTCGTTATTGTACAATGCTTCAAATCTTTTTCTAGATGTCTGGGTCTCCAAGATCCCTGTTCATTGATAATGTCTCATTCCGCTTGTGTTTTTGTTTTGGAGGACAGCTAAATATCTCTTTTTCCATCGATTTACTCAAGTTTTCTCTGCTAAATCACAGCTTTTTTCAGAGAGAACATGTCGGGCGAGACGGCGACAGTACCCAACGCAGTGAAGTTTGCATTCGGTGGAACTGCTGGGTAACACAAATCGATCTTCTCAATTTCTCAAAAATTTAATTTTATAGAATGGGAGCCACGCTCGTTGTTCAACCCCTGGACTTGGTGAAAAATCGAATGCAACTCTCCGGAACCACCGGTAAAAAGGAGTACCGTTCCAGCATGCACGCATTGACTTCCATCATCAAAAACGAGGGATTTTTTGCAATTTACAACGGTCTATCGGCTGGTCTTCTCCGGCAGGCAACTTACACCACAACTCGCCTGGGAACATATTCGTTCTTGATGGAGAAGTTCACTGAAAAGTAGGTTGTTGATCTAATCTTATTTTAATTGAACCACTAGACTTTCAGAGACAAGCCTCTCTCTTTCGCCATGAAAGCTGGTCTTGGAATGGCCGCCGGAGGAATCGGATCGTTTGTTGGAACACCAGCAGAGCTCGCACTGATCCGAATGACAGGAGATGGAAGATTGCCACAAGAGCAAAGACGTAACTACAAAGGGGTGGTCAACGCTCTCACCCGGATCACCAAGGAGGAAGGAGTCCTAACACTGTGGAGAGGATGCACACCTACCGTTATTCGAGCGATGGTAGTCAATGCCGCTCAGCTTGCTACATATTCACAAGCAAAACAAGCACTTCTGGAATCTGGAAAAGTTCAGGACGGTGTCTTCTGTCACTTCTTGGCTTCTATGATCTCTGGATTAGCTACTACCATTGCTTCGATGCCAGTTGACATCGCCAAGACCAGAATTCAGTCAATGAAGGTTATCGATGGAAAGCCAGAGTACAAGAACGCTTTCGATGTGTGGGGCAAGGTTAGTAACATCGGAATGTAACAGTTATATTAGAACGTATGATACCTTCTAGGTTATCAAAAACGAGGGAGTCTTCGCACTGTGGAAAGGATTCACACCGTACTACATGCGTCTCGGACCACACACCGTGCTCACCTTCATCATTCTCGAACAGATGAACGCAGCCTATTATAAATATGTATTGAAACAAGAAGTCACCAGTGCCTTGTAGATATTTTATTGTCCGTTTTACACCATAAGTTGTGTGTTCTTGTACTTTAATTTAGTCAGTATTTTTTTTGTCCTTCTTCCAACATTGCAGATTAATATTTCAGCTTAATATTACGATTCATATGAATGTTTTATCCTTCTATTCTCGTTCATTATCTTACCAGTTCTCTCTTGTTTTATATCTCGTTTTCAAAGTTTTGATCTCAATTCCTGAGCCTAGAAACTAGACGTTTTAGATGAAATCGGTGCTGCAAAGCACACGAGGTGTCCGTTCCCTCAACTCGACCAACTTCCCAGCTCCATGGCCATTCGTGAAAAAAGGCGCGTTTGGACAGCGCAAAATCGGTCCGATGAACTATGAAAAGTTCAAAGTGCCCGGACAGAATCGCGAGTTTCCAGAACTTTCGCCCAAATTTCAGAAGTTGAATCCAAAAGAGTTGCATAGGTACGGTACCACGATCAGATATTTTTTTGAAAACCACGTGGCAATTTACCTATTTTCTAGGTACACTGGTGTCCAACCTGACGGATATCATGATGAAAAGACTGGAGAATTCGTGCCAGTCAAGGAGATGCGTTCCCAACTTGTCGTCCCGAACCTAGATGGCTTCAAGCTCCGCCCATACGTCTCCTACCGTACTGACGTTCAAATCGAGAAGCGACGAGTGGCATACGAGAAGAAAGTGCTGGAGAAGGGATCGGAACGACTGGCGGACTTGCATACTGTTGAGGATGAGAGGTTTTTTTTCATAGAAAGAACCTTTGACACAATTATTCTGTTTCAGATGGCCACCACCGAGAATGACACCGGAGACACTGTTCGAATTGCAGTACGGTGAGAAGATTCGAATTGCGTATAAAGCTGGACTCTACGGGCCAGTGACGGAAACACCCAAAAAGAATGCTTGATAATTTTATTGTTTTGTAGATGACCTAGTTTTGATTTGTTTTTGTTGATATATAAAAGTTTGAAAACTGAAACAGCTTCTGCTTAATATGCATCAACGTTATTTCATTGACATATCTAAAAATAGGGTAACAGGCTCATGTTCAAATTTGGCTCATCAGCTGACATCTCTCATCGCTAGAATGGCTGCCAAGCGTGGTCTTATCATCATGTCCCCAAAGGGTGCCGAGGAGATGGAGGTGATCATCACCGGAGACGTTTTGGAGCGCGGCGGAATCCACGTGGATTATGCCGGATTGACAGGAGCTGAGCCGGTAAGACGAAGACATTCTAGAATCACGGAAAATTCTATTTTCAGGTCGAGTGCGCTCGCAAAGCACGAATCGTACCTTCCATCGCCTTCGACGATGCCCAAAATAAGGAATATGACATTGTCATTCTGCCAGGTGGACAACCAGGAAGCAACACTCTCGCTGAGGTTTTCATCTCTTTTTCTCACCTAATATCTCTTTTTGACCTATTTTCAGACCCCTAAAGTAGGTGACCTGCTCAAGAAACAAGCGGACGCTGGAAAGTGGATCGGAGCTATTTGTGCAGCTCCGATCGCTTTGTTGAGCCACGGAATCAAGACCGAAGTGCTCACCAGCCACCCGAGTGTCAAGGATCAATTGGTGAAGGGAGGATACACCTATTCGGAAGATCGTGTCGTTGTCAGTGGAAAAGTGATCACTTCTCGTGGTCCTGGAACCGCTTTTGAGTTTGCACTGAAGATTGTGGAGCTTCTAGAGGGAACTGAGAAGGCCAATAGCCTCATTGAACCAATGCTTTTGAAAATTTAACTTTTTTCGATTTTTAACTTTTTTTCATTTGTATAAACTTTGTAATATTTTGCACAGTAAATCTCGATTTTCCAAAATGTTTCGATACACCAAGGAACACATGAAAAGAGAGTCCTCATAAGAGAGACGCAGACACGCCTTTGTTGATGTTTTCAAGAACTATTTACACTGACCACAGCTCAGAGATTATAGTAAACAAATGGAATCCTTCTAGCGAGTTCCATTAGAAAAGAAAATACAGAAAAAATATGTTCAAATCCATTTTCAGTTCTGCTATTCGTTCACCAATGGCGTTCACTTTGAGAAATGTCGAAGCCACTGCGGCTTACTGTAATGGGTTAGTTTTTGAATTTAATAGTGATGCAAGTATGCTCTGTTGATATTTTTTATGAACATTGGAACTTTCTTCTATGTACCGCCCAGTTCTGGTTAACCAAATTCAATGTTCATTTTACTGCAGTCTTAGAAATTCAGTTGTCTAGTTGTGCCTTCTAATTTGTCGTTTTGAAAAAATCTTTCAAAAACCATCCGTTTTCAAAGGTATTAAACCAAAATAATAGTTTTTTTTTCATTTTTAAATGATAAATTGCTTGTAAAATGAACATGTATGTCACTAGCATGACCGGTGGGCCCGGAATCAAGAGCTATAGAAGTTCCACGTGTCATATCTTACCTACCCAGTAAGCAATATGCAACGTTTTTTTTTCAATTTCAAAAATATAGCTCTATTTTTGTTCAATTTACTGTAAAAATTTCCGAAGAATCAGAAAAGAGCTAGACACTTTTGTAGGCATTCGAAGTTGCTTTCCCTTACAGAACTCGCTTAGCATTCTTCCCGTTTATTTAGGTCACTTTGCTTCTTATTTCATTTTCAGAATGTCCAAGTCCGCTCTTATTCTGTTAGCCCCTGAAGGCGCCGAAGAATCCGAAGTCATCATCCCAGGAGACGTTCTGACACGTGGTGATATTCAAGTCGTCTATGCTTCCCTCGAAGGAAAGTGCCCAAAAACTGGAATGATGAAGCCAGTTAAATGCGCAAAAGGTGCAGAAATCATGCCATCTGCAGCTTTCGATGACGTCAAGGATAAGAAGTACGACATCGTTATTATTCCAGGAGGACCTGGAAGTTCCAAGTTGGCAGAGGTATGGTGGTTTTGAAAATATGAATGTTTAGAGTCTACTTTCTAGAACTCCTGTGTTGGATCCCTGTTGAAGGATCAATTCAAAAGTGGTGGTTTGATCGGAGCGATTTGCGCTGGACCAACTGTTCTATTGAGTCATGGAATCATGGTTGATGAGGTCACTGGACACTATACTGTCAAAGATAAACTTGTGGACGGAGGTAGGTGTTTCTGAAGATCCATAGGCATAATATATTTGGGAAATTGGAGCTAACTAAATGTCCCAATTCTAGTCATTTCTCTTCGAGACCCTATATTTTCTAGGTTACAAGTTCTCGGAGGATCGAGTTGTAGTCAGCGGAAAAGTGATTACGTCTCAAGGTCCCGGAACGGCATTTGAGTTTGCTTTGAAGATCGTGGAGATAATGCAAGGCGCTGAGAAGGCCGAGAGTCTCAAGAAACCACTTTGTTTCAAAAACTAGAAAGAGGATGATAATCGCATATGTATATATCATACATTATATTGTTGTTTTTTGTATCAAAAACAGTTTGTAAATAAATACATTTGAATTAGTGTGAAGTTCTTTTTTACAACAGAAAATGGATTCTGAAGGCGGATCGTCTTCCACAGATTCGCGATGCCACGAACTCTACTGAAAAGGAAATCTGAAATTTTCTGGTTATATCAGAAGATACTTAATCCTTGTTTTTAGAGATTCGTTTTAAAAAAATATCTTCTAAAAAGGTGAAAATCACTCTCCTTCTTGTTCCTTCCTAATACAACAAGTGTACAGTATTCCAGGCAACATATCTCTTCTCCTTGTAATCAAAAGTGCAGTGATGCGATAACCATCCCTCTTTCGCTCATCTTCCAAGAATCCTTCTCCTCCGCCAAATTTCCTGAGATCTGGAAGCACTCGGTTGTTAGCCCAATATTCAAGAAGGGATCCAAATATGACGCTAATAACTACAGACCCATAACGCTCACTCATGCACTTTCCAGACTCTTCGAAAGATTAGTCCTCGAAGAGCTAAAGCGTGTTATCGGTCCGAGTATTTCTCCGAATCAGTACGGATTCGTCAGTAAGCGATCCTGTGTTCTAGCCGTCCTTGAGTCCACTTCCAAAATACAGAAAACGTTAGCAAATAAGCAACAATTCGTAGATGTTATTTACTTTGATTTTCGCAAGGCATTCGACACTGTCCCACACAATCTCTTGCTGCTGAAAATGAGGCGCATAGGTATTGATGAACGATGCTGCGTTTGGTTCGAGTCCTTTCTCAGCAACCGCTCATCCAACGTCAAGGTTAATGGCCTAATGTCAACCAGCGAGATTGTTGTCAAATCCGGAGTCCCCCAAGGAAGTGTCACTGGCCCCTTTTTGTTTCTGATCTACATTAACGACTTACTCGGCCTCTTTCCTCCCAATGTTCATGTCACGGCGTTCGCCGACGACCTAAAAATAACCGGTTCCGACCCATTGGATATGCAGAGAAGTATCGAAATCGTCGAGCACTGGTGTGACATCTGGAGACTCAAACTAGCCGAAAATAAGACGGCCGTTATGCATTATGGTAAACGCAATCCTAAGACAGTCTACCTTATCAAGGGATCCCCCATTACTCCGCATCGCTCATTCAAGGACCTAGGTATACTAGTTGATGATCAACTTCAATTCGACAAACACATCAATCTTATTGCCTACTCTGCTAAACTCAAGTCCCGCCAAATACTGAAAACGTTCCAATCGAAAAACCCTTGTTTATATTTCCGTCTCTTCGACACCTACATTAGACCGGTCCTCGAATACGGTTGTGAACTTTTCGATCCATCCAATGCCACACTTGCCAATAAACTAGAATCTCCTCTTCGTTGTTTCACCAGAAAAGTCTTCCAGAGATGTAATATGCCCTTCAATTCATACACCGATCGCCTATCCCAGTTCTCTATGCTAACCACCCTTCATCGCCGCACCCTTCTAGTTCTTCGTACCTATCACAAAATTGTTATAAACTCATACCATTTTCCCTCTATGTCGTCCTACATTCTTCCCAGCCATTCTAACAGAGCCCCGTATTTGTTCAAAATCAACGGTCAATACTTTGACTGCTTCCTTCACAGAAACTTGTCTATGTGGAACCGTGTATGTAAGGTGATAAATTCTAAGCTCGGTGGCGTTTGCTAAGCGAGTAGGAGCGATTCCTTATGATATTCTGATCCCTCCCACTTGACCTACAGGACTCTAGTCGGTCCGTCTGGTCATTTTACTTCTTTTATTTGTACAGTTCCCATTTCTTGCCAAATTATCTATCTATTTCCCCCATGCATTTCAAATAAATATATTATTATTATTATTAGAAGACATAATAGAGAAAATATGTCAACTACAAAAATGAAGCTCTAGTTTTGTTTGATTCCTCCTGATATTTTCAGACAAAAATAATAAATGCTAGTTGCTTTTGTAGCTCATCTAATTTCAAATATTCGAGAATCGGATTATGAAGCTTCAGAACTTTGTATAACGTCTGCGAGAAAACGGCTTAAGAAATCATATTTTTCAAAAGTTATCTGTAATTTTGAATAGTTGACAAGCATTTTAACACAGAAAATTGGATATTCAGACTATTTCCTGATCCACCCATAGCTTTGGAAGTCGTCGTTCTTAGATCGTTCATAACTTGGCTCATCGTACACCCTGAGAGCTGAAATTTGTCTCAAACATAATCATTTTCAGCCTTTCATCTATTTCCATCGAAAAAACCAAGAAAATATCTAAACACTTCAAAATCGTGTTTTCTTCTAAAAACGCATTTCCTCTGTTTGCCTTTCGCAAGTTTGAAGAGAAAAAGTGGGCGGAGTCTCCTACACGCAAAATATAGTGGCCGGCGCGAACCCGGGAAGTGTCGGCTGCTTGAGATGGAACGCGCGCTTGACTCTATCTGTTACGTTTTTAAACTTTTTTGAAACGGAAAATCGAGGGAAATCGCTGAAAATTGTTAGACTGGCACTTTGAAATACGGAGAATTCGAAAATCTACTTTTCTTTTCAGAATAGAATATGTTGGAAAAGTATGGAAGCTTGGTATAAAAGTAGTCAATTCGAAAAATGGTCTTAATTTTTCTCTTTTTTTTACTGAAAATCCGTTAAAGCATTTTTCCTTTTTTAAAAATTTTTTTCTGTCCAAAATAGCTCAAATCAGGTAAATCACTATTTTGAAAAATCAGATTTTATTTGTATTAAAAAAATAGAATTTCTGGAAGACAGAGCAAGTATATTTGCCCTCTATTGGAGTATCTCCCTTCTGTACACTCCTCTATTCTTGAGTAAATTTTCATGAAAACATCAGATCAGAGTGCTTTTATCGCCTCTATTATATTCTCTGGAAAAACACAAAAGTATATTTTTTTACTAAAAAAATCGACGATTTAAAAACATTTTAAATCTACTTCTTACTAGGGAAACTTTTCTGTGTGTGTGTCTGTGTGTCCGTCTCGGACATTTACTTGAATAACTCCAAAGGGCATGGGACAGTTATAATGGTGTGTGGTATGTAGCCATACACTACCGTGGAAATCGCGGCGTAGCCGCGAATTTTCACTGGTAATTACCTACTTGAAAAATCTTAGTTTTTTTCAGTGGGTAATTTTTCAGTTTCATAAATGGGCTCTGCAACTTTCAAGTTTTTTTCTGAAAATATCCAAAATCGGTCCATTTTTTGAGTTTCATCAATTCTTGAGGTTAATGTTCAATCCCTCAATAGGAAGCATCTCCTACTTCTTCTTCTTGTCCTTTTCATTCCGTTGTTTTAGGCGCCGCCCCCTTATCCATGCAAGTACTCGTCCAGCGCCAAGGAACAAACGACGCCGATGTCTACATCTCTCTCCGATCCGCACGCTATCTCAACGCGCATCCGTATCCTCTAGGACACCGGTGCCGTGGCGGCTATAAAAGAAAAGACGGGTGCCTTACGCAGTTCGTATCCGATTTTCAGTCCAGTGTCCGAAGCAAGCAGGAGGAGTGTCCCATATAAACCGCATTCTTATCTAGTCACCCATTTTAAAAGCATGTTCTTGATTTGATCCTTCCCGTTAGTCTTCTTCGTCCTTACACCGAATCCTTCTTGCAGGCAGTAACAACCTAAAATGATGATGGAGACTTCGGAGCACAAAGAGCTCCGACGCGTGGCTTTCTTGGCCATCGTTGTCTCGACTGTAGCTGTTATTGCGGCTATTGTCATTCTTCCAATGCTCTACTCATATGTTGCTGGATTCCAGAGTCATTTGATCATTGAAGCCGATTTCTGTAAGGTTAGTTAATATTACCCTATTTGTTTCAATTCCTAATTATCATATTCTTCTAGACTCGCTCTCGTGACATGTGGGCTCAAATCCATGACATTGATGGACCACACTTGTTCCACAGACAGAAGCGTCAGTACTCTTCACCAAACCCACCAGCTGCCGGTGGATACGGAGCCCCAGTCACCAACTCCGAGCCGGCTCCAACCTGCTGCTCTTGCCAACAGGGACCAGCCGGACCACCAGGACCACCTGGAGATGACGGAAACGCTGGACAAGACGGAGTTCGTGGAAACGACGGAACCGACGGAAAGGAGGGAAGCCTCTTGGAGAGCGCCATTGTCAACGAGCCATGCATCATCTGCCCACCAGGACCACCAGGACCACAGGGAATGGCTGGAGCCAAGGGACCACAAGGACCAAAGGGAGGAAATGGAGAGAATGGACCAGACGGAAAGGCCGGTGCCAATGGAATGCAAGGACCACCAGGAATGATGGGACCACCAGGACGTCAAGGAGTCAGTGGACCAAAGGGAGCTCCAGGACGTATCAACCAAATCAACGGACCACAAGGACCAGCTGGACACAAGGGAGTCCGTGGACCACCAGGAGCCCGTGGAGAGGCTGGACTTGATGGAAGCAACTCGGAGGGACCACAAGGACCACAAGGAGACGCTGGAAGACCAGGACCAGTTGGAGAGCAAGGACCACAAGGTCCAGAGGTAAATCAAAATGATAAGAGTGACAGATGTTTAATTTTGTTTCATTTTAGGGACCACAAGGACCACCAGGAGAGCCAGGAGGTTGCGAGCACTGCCCAATTCCAAGAACCCCACCAGGATATTAAACCTTGCCTTTCTTCTATTTTTCTCGATTTTTTTGAAATCATCCGCCCATCTATGGGTGTTTCCAATAAAATGAATTCACAACTGCTCATTATTTGAAACTGACACAAAACCATAACTGTTCTTCAAAAGTCCGCCAAAAACGGCTTTTGTGTCAACCAGTAGGCAGGCGCATCATGCGTTCACTTGCGCACAACGCGTGTCAAAAAAGCGCTAATCTCAAATTCTTTTTTTTTCATTGAATTCCGTACTAACATCTACTAGCAAATGGTCAAATTACGCGATGAACAGAAAGCTGAGCTTATCAAGCAAGAAAAAAAGCGTCGTCGGCTTGCTCGTCTACGTCAGGTATTTGTATTTTTTGTGAATAAAATTTGAAATAAAATTTATTAATTTCTCTAGGTCCGGCAACAAACTTCAATAAATGCGAAAATCATCAGAGAGGTGGTCAGTCAGAAGAGAGCAGAAGTCATAGAGGATATCAAGTTAGAATACTTCCCCTTGATCAGTTTTTAATAAAATGTTTACAGAGCTTCGCTGGAGGAGCAAGTCATTGATATGGTAGTCGAGAATGGCGACGTGGAGATTCGAACACCGAGAAATTCGAACCGGAGAACATCAACACCAGACTCAATGGTTTTTAGTCAAACTAATTCCGATAACCAAATAAAAACAATTTTCAGAAGTTCTCCCGCCGACGACAAATGACCGAAAAAGATTTGGCTCTTGCACAGAAACGAAACGCAGATGCAATGCGACGTCTTCAGAATTCCAAGAAGCGAAAAGCCCAAGAACAAGAAGAACGGCTGGCGAAACGAAAAGATGCTGCTCAGAAGGCCAATGCAATAATGAGAGGTGCTCAAGTTTTGTGAACCTCGAGCTCCCATTAAAAAATTTACGGGTCATAAATTCTTTTTCAAAAATAATTTGCTTTCAATAAAAAAGAACAACACAGTATTAAAAAAGTTTAAATCAAAAGTTACACTTTTTCAGTAAATGAGTAATTTGAGATCAAATACAGAAAATGACTGTTAGAAAAAAAAAGAAAAAGGATAAAGGGTATTTACACACAGAATTGAATTCCTACAGAGAGAAAAAAAAATTTAAAAATGCAACAAAAAATATCAATTCTCACAAGTGTACCGATTCCGACCTCCATAGTTGATACGTCTCGGTGGTCTTTCACAAACGTCGAATGTCAGTTTCAGGCAAGAGATCTCGTTCTCATAGAGAAGCCAAGGGAGGTAGTCATCTCTGAAATTGCAGTTTGAATTTTCGAAAAATTTTTAATCGGTCATGAGCAGATACCACGTGGATCCGCTTAAATCCGTAGGGATCTTGAATCTGCACTTTTCGATCAGGAAAAAACACGTGGCGGTTGCCAAATCTGCCGGAAAAGAAAAACACTCACTTGTGCCATAAATTCTTCCTATACTCGATATACCATTGACTGAATTTGTCAAACTGCCCATTATTGACATCCCAAGTCCTTCTACGCTCTTCTAGTTCCTTTGCCACTGTCTCCTCGATCTGCTCTTCTTTCAGCTGTCGTTTCCGAAGAATCGCGCCAGTCGCATTGAATGCCAATCGGATTTTTGCAATGACGGATCCCTGAAATTTTGATTTTCAGTATTAGGCCTATCTCGAGTAAACTAACGTATCCAACTTGCTGTAAACTTCCAAGAGCACTCTTATAGTCTCCTCGGTCCCCTTGCAAAAAGTCCATTTCACAGTCACCATCAGCGTCGAACGCCGACCAATCATTGAAGCAGAACTCTTTTCTAAAAGTGTAAAAACCAGGTCGCTGTGGGCAATTTATTCCTTTGAGCTGTCCAGCTAATGTGTTCGATTGCTCAGCTTCTTCTTGCTCCAGATTGGTCAACGATTCGCAAACATCACAGAAGAAGCAATTATTTCCATATCCACCACACCCATTGTTACTGGCGTTTTGGCACTTCATATTCGAGAAATCCTTCACATTCCACCACTGATACTCGGCTTTTGCGAAGAAACTGTTGTCCAGGGCTTCTGGCAAATCTTTGACCTTTACGTTTTTGATTTCCAATGTGAAACATCCAGGGAATCGAACAACGTCTGGCTTAATATGCACTTGGTTTGGGTTTATGTCGAGAACTTTCTTCGCACCGGGTCGGGCTGATAATCGGATGAATTGTGCTGAGAATATAAAATAAAGGACATACTACAACTAGCGTCGGCTCTTCCTGGAACCAGCCAGATGTCTTGATAGTTGCATTTGTGGTTCAACTTTCGGCGAGCGTCCGTGTGGCGGACACCATTTCTGAAATAGTTTACATTAGTAAACGCGAGTTGTAACGGGCTCAAATAGCCGCAATCTTGAAAATTATCGTAAGCACTCTAATAGAAAGCCACTCGACCCTCCAATTTTGAGCTCATTTATCTCGGTTCCCGTGAAAGATATCAAAAACTGATCAACTGACAAACAATTATTGATGTTAAGATGAAAATTTCGTCAGTTGACAACTTTTTGATATCTTTAACAGGAGCAGAGATATATAAGCTCCAAGTTTACGGTTTGGGTGGCGACAACTATCGTAACCTTAAAATATGTTTATTTTCCGGATTTTTTTCCTATTTTCGTGTGTTTTTAGTCAATTACTTCCAGTCAAAAATTGCATTTCTTAACTTTTTTGAGTAAAAATAACAAAAAGCAGTGATATTCGAGAAAATAAACCCGGAAAATAAAATTAAATTCTGGTTACTGCAATTGTCGTTGTCATACCTTTGGCCACCGGCGTTTCTCTTCTTTGTTTTTTTTGATTTCATTTTTCTCGGCTCCTGTAACAAATATCAAAAAGTGCTCAGCTAACAAGTTGTTTTTGATAATATATTAAACATTTTGTCAGTTGACCACTTTTTGATATTTTTAACAGGAACCGAGATAAATTGGCTCGAAGTGCGGGTGTTTTCTATTGGAGTGTTAACAGTATCATTCATGAGCAAAACACCGAAATAGATTGTTGGATTTTTCTGTCATCTCTTGTAGTTTCTGCTTTTTTAGCTCACCTATATTTAGCTCTACACACTGGGTCCAAAATATCACAATCCAACTCGCAAAAGACTGCACTGAAGAAGAGGCAAATGAAAGACAAGAAGACCGATATGTTACATGGGCATTTCAAAGGTCGCATACTGAAAAAAGGGTCCCAAAATTTGTGAATTCTAAAACCTTTCAGGTCACACAGAAAAAAAATTCAACTTCAAATAAAAATGAGTGCGTCACATCGTCACATCTTCCACCTCTACTTCTCTGTTTCTCTCCAACAAGATTTTTTAGACGTCGTCGCCACTCCTCTTCGTGTCTTTTAACGCACTTAACCTGTTGGCAGAAGAGAGAGAAGGAGACCTTGGAGGTCATCATCTTTTTTTGTTATACCTGCCATGGAAGTGGAATTAGGAAAAGAAGAAGATGGCGATTGCAAAATTAAATGAGGTCAACGGGAAGGCCATTTGGGGGCAGAAAGGAAGTTATTTTCTACCTGTGAAGGTTCCAGAGCTCAAGTTCAAAAGAATCGAATCGAAAAAAACTTGAATTCGAAGATAAAGGGATAGGAAGAGATAAGAAGGGAAAATTGATCGAATATCGTCGCGTTTCCAAACAGAGGACAAGAGGAACCAGACTGGATCTCTCTATTTCTATGTGAGGGAAAATGAAGGAGTGACAGTTCGATTCGATTCGACGAAGCGAAACGAAAACGATTATCTTGAAGGGGAGAAAAGAGAGAAAGAATGGAAGAGAGATGGCGTTGGTGAAAATATTCGGGAACGCAATAATATTTTTCTCGCTCTCCCAGGTGTCTTTTAAATCGACCTAACTTTGTACAACAATAGGATAAGCCTGGAAGGCGCCGGCGCCTGAAACTTTATGAAAGGAAAAAACAAGAAATCACGATGGTACACAGGAGAACATGAAGACGGTACTTGTTTCGGTTAGTACGCGAGAGGGATAAAACTTACCTGAAGAGGAAAAAACACGGTGAAGGGAAGAACAAAAAAAGAGAGGGATTTAATAAATTATTAAGCCTTTAATTTATTAATCTTGTTCCATGGTTCGATCGATTTTTGATTGATGCTTGTGCTTTTGGTTGAAAGATTCGATGAACTGAGCTGATGATTGTCCTTTGGATTCTTGTTGGTACCTTAAGAAACCATGTTTTAGTCTTAACAGGAATAGCAAGGACTTACTTTTCTGGGATCGAAACATTCAGAATTTCCGGCAACATCCATGGTTTCAGCCATCCGACCAGCGGCGATTGTCCTGGTTCGTAGACAACCGACTTGTGATAAAAGAGGAGACCGTCGAGCCGCAAGTCGTTCTCCTTTGCCAACAACTGTGCCATATCTTCTCTGGAGCACTTGCAGCGTGGCGCAAGAACAAAAATGTTCCGGAAACCAGCGGTTGACATTTTCAGCTCAGGCGTCTCATCGAGCTTTGATTGTAGCATAAACTGACGGAAATCGTAGGGATTCTCGGCGTACTCATGAGCGTTCCATGACAGAAGATCCAGTACATAATATACATGATTTGAGTAGATACAGTCGAGAATCGTCCAGGATTGATCTGCTATTAAATTGATTAACATTCAGTGTATGATTTAAAATTCTTACGTTTCGAACGACTATTTCCACCGGGAAGGCGCGACTGGAACTGTCCGACTTGGCGACCGGCCTTATTGTAAGCAGTTGTGAACCCTCTGGAAGCAACAACAAGGCATCGTTTACCGATTGGCGCCATTACCATCGTCCATTCTTCAGATAACGTTTCAGGAATATCCACAAGCCATTCACTGAGCATCAGCTTATCAGCGTATCTATAAAAAGGTGAAAATTGCTAATCCATTACTATTTGGCAATTATTTATACCTTCCGAATTTATTATATTTCCCAACGTGATGCGACTCATGCGCTTCTGTTGTTGCTTCTTCATCGTCTTCTTCATCAGAAGTGACATCGTCAAATGCTAAATTCCTTAGCTTCATCATTTTGTCGAATAGTCCATTCTTTTGTCTCTCAAGTTTCTCTTGTCGTCGTTTTGCTTGTTGCTCGGCGGCTTTTGACAAATTTTTGAATTGAGAATATCGAGGGTGTTCGCCTGCGACATTTAAAGCTGAATATTTCTTTCTGAACGTATTTCTTACCAAGCGCAGCTGGATCGACTTGAAATCCGCCACTCAGTTGGCTTGTCAACGCATCCAAATCGTCCCCCATAATTCTGAAAATTAAATTTGGAAATTTTTTCAGAAATAACAAACAAAGATACACAGAACAAAAAATGAATGAACGAGAAACTTTCGAAAAAAAAGCGAACTTCGAGAATGAGAAAAAATAGGTGTAGATTTACGATAAACCGCGCGCGCGAGCGGGATGGCGGAGCATCGTTACTAGTAGCTGAAAATCTGGAAAGGAAACAAGTCTAGAGAAGAAGAAGACGAACTGGAATTAAGTTTCTCTGAGAATCAATTAGTAGTATTCAGATTCAAAAAAGAAATTCCAAAAAAGAATAATCAACTATTAAAATTTAGCTCTAATTTAGGTTGTCTAATTTAGAGTGTTTTTTCTTTATCTCTTCCTTAACATGTTTGCTGATAATAAGCGTATTGTGAAATGACAAATATGTGCGAAACGAAATGGTGTTTCATAAGTATCAGTTGATTTTTTCTCACTGTCTGAATTTTTTTCGATTTTTTTGAATAAACTCAATTTGCATTCAAATGGAACCTTTTGATTACATTAAATGTGTTTTAGAAAATTTAAGTCTAAGAAAGCGGTAAGCACAGAAAAGTGGAAAAAAATTTATTTCAGAATTTCAGAGAACAAATCAATTATCTAATTCCAAATCTTCGAAAGAGCAACTCTCTTATTCCATTTAGTTTCGAATCAGTCACAATTGACAATGAGTTCATGAGAATTGATGATAGAGAATGGAATATACTGAATGTTTATGAGCAGGTGGAGGTGGAAAATAGAGGAGAACTGAGCACGGACGTAGTGACGATTCCGAACCTTTCAAGTATTCGATTCCGTGCTGAAAATTATAGTTTTATTCAAACTGTTCCTGAAAATCCACCTGAGGTGTTCAAAAAACTTGTCGATGATTATTTAAGGTCTGGAACTAGAATACGGTATCTGGAAATTTACAGTTTTCCACAATGTCTTGAAAATAAGGACGCAGAAACATATAAGCTTTATGTAGACGAGCTGCAGCTAGAGCGTACCGACTATGATGAATTCAAAAAATTCTTACCAATCATCGGAAGCCAAGTTCGGAAGGTTAACGTCAAGTATCGAGAATCTACTAAAGAAATTTTGAAGGAACCATTAGTAAATTTTCATAGTTTATCTCGAGCTATAAAAGTATTTTCCAGATTATTAACTGTCTGGAACTCTCCATAAAATGCGCAATCAATCATCAAGAAAATCTAGAAGATCTTCTTCTAAGTCTCCGTAACATGAAAATTTCGATTGTGTCCTGGAACTTCGATAAGGCAAACATCAAAGACTTGGCAGCAGTGAGTATTAGATATTCCTAAAATTCCTGCATTTTAATTTGTTTAGAAATGGAAAGACATTCAGAAACCGATTGGGAGCATTTTTACAGTTACTATAAAAGATTATGATTATATTCTTGATGTGTTCGATGTTTTGAAACAAGATCTAGAAGCTGTTCCATCAAAAGTAAAAAGTTTTGGGTATGTTCATTCTTATCTACGGTATAACCTGTAATAGAAGCTCCTTTCTTTTACAGGTTTTACGGAATTCTTTCAAATACGATGAATTCTATAAATTTTTTAAAACGTTTTAAGCTGACGAATGGTTTATAACATTGTTTCACACATTTTTTAGACCACCGCTACTTTATATTTATTGCATTTTGCATTTTATGGATTTTCGATTTTTAGTAGTTGACCATTAGTGGTCTTTATTGAGCTTCGAGATAATTTGATCAATGTCTAAAACATATAACTTTCAGAAACACATTCTTCTCTAACTCTATCACAATTTCAATAGAAGAAAAATCGGAAATCCTGGTTTATGGTGGTCCAAGAACCACAGAACATTCTTCGTTGCTATGGTCGCTGAACATGGAAGTCGTGCCACATGGAACGATAATTTACAAATAAATAATGACCCCGTTTTTATATTCTTTTCCTATAAATTCTTTTAATAATCCCCATAACACATTTCACAAAAAACCAGGTTGCGAAATACGCAAGGGCCTTCTCAAGCGGAATTGCGGAGTGTCGTTTGCAAATTGTACGCAGCTATTGATTTATTCGGAGTCAGAATTACTGACATTTGTTTCTTAAAATATGGAGTTGGAGCCGTTGTCATATGACCCTGTAAAACATGTTCTTCGCCATCTGAATCTGATAACAAGGTTAGGATATATTTTTTTTGCAATTTTTGAATTTTTGCTTTTCAGAGAAAAAATCCACATGAAAATACCAGATCTGCGAAAAACCAATGAGTTCATTCCATATAACTTAAAATCGGTCACCCTCGGCAACCATTATTTAGATGTTGAAGGAAGAGAATGGAATATTATGGCGGCTCATGAAGAAGTTCATGAGCGTCAAGTTGATCCAGAAGACGGCAATATTGGGAACATTGTCACCTATATTGATATTCTCGGAAAATCTTCTGTTCGATTCAATTCAGGTGGATACAGATTCAAGCATGACGTTGATGGAGGTCCTGACGATTCATTCAAGAAATTGGTGGATGGTTATTTGGAGAATGGAACGGTTATTGATCAATTTTCGATTTTTAGTTTCCCGACTTGTTGGGAAGGAAGAGATCCGGAGAAATTTAGAATTCGAGTAAATAAGTTGAATGCCAGAAATTCCGACTGGGAAACTTTCCGTAAATTTCTTCCCTATTTCGATCAAAGCATTCCATTAAGACAAGTTGGATTCACATTTCGCAATGTGTTCGTTCAATTCTTCAATGAACCAATGGTAAGTTCTTTTTTAAACAAAGTGTCGGTTCTACCCAATTTTTTCCCAGATTTTAAATAGCCAGAGAATCGTTCTCTATTTCCCGTACTATGACCCAGATCCAATCGATGATCTTTTCCTGACTCTGCCGCACAAACACATTTCAATCACTTATCTGAATTTTCCTATCGAGAAAATTCGAGAGTTGGCTGCTGTAGGTTTTTCCCAGTTAGAAAATTCGTAAAATTTCATTTTCAGCATTGGAAGGAAACTTCGAAACCGATCGGGCAAACATTTTTATTGGTTATTGAGCACTACAGCTATGTTATTGAAGTTCACGATCATTTGAAGCAACATCTGGGGGCCATCCCTTCCAAAGTTATAAGTCTTGGGTAATTAAAAAATTTTTATACAAAAAATGTATTTTCTTACAGAACTAGTTACTTCGCTCATTCTGTCACAATCCCCATTAATGAAGAGTTGGAGATTGTTGTGTATGGTGGAAAAGCGACAATGAAATGGCCTCCATTTATATGGACATTCAAGATGGAAATCATGTCCCGTGGATCCACTGTTCCTAAACCATTGCCTCAATAATTTCCTTTGATTCTTCCCATAAAATAAGCCACCAAATGAATCTCATTTAATATTCAGAAGGAATGTTTGGAATCTTCTTTTCGATCAAACACCACATCACTTATTACACTAGGGATGCTTTCTTTAGTGAAAGTGTCGTGAGAAATGATTAACGCCCTCAAGATAGAGAGGGATTCGTTCATTACCGACTTCGTCTCTTTTGATTTGCTAATTACATAACATCGGTTCTTATCAGATTGAGAAAAAATGTAACTATAGCTAGAATGTCATCCTGGAGATTTGTAGCCAATTCGTACTTGAATCTATGATAGCCACCAAATAGCAAATATTCGTCATTTTTCATTAAAATGAGCTAATTCGTTCTCAAAAAGCAAATTACATTTTCGTTTCAAAAAAAAAATCTTTAGGTTTTCTCAGAGAATGCAAAATCGATCTAAATTGCTACTATGAGTAGTTGACATCTCTTTTTAATTACTATACTTCCGCCAATAGAAAAAATAATTTGAACCAATTTTTCTCGGCTCCTGTGAAAGATATGAAAAAGTTGTCAGCTTATAAATTATTTTTCGTAATATCACCAACATTTTATCAGTCGGCATCTTTCTGATTTTTTTCACAAGAATCGAGATAATTGTGCTCAAACTTGATGGTTTGGGTGGGTTTCTATTAGAGGAAGTACGGTCTTTGTACATTTTTTGATAGTGGTGTACTTTTTTTGAATACAAAAGAGTCGAAAACTTGTCAGGCTTGTTAAATTTTTACAGATTATGGTCATCATATCTCGATCTTCATATTCTTCATATTCTTCATTCTGAGCACATAAGCCACTTGGAAGCGTCTACCCTTCCATCTAACTTTCCACTATTACAGCCATCCAAAAAGAACTGGTAACGGCACCTATGAAACAGTGGCTAGCAAAATTCACCATATAACAAGTAGTGAATTTCAAAAGTTTTAATTTTCACATCAAAGTACTGAAATTTCAAAAATTTTTGTGAGCCACGTGAATCTTTTGAATCTCCCAAAAGATGGACCGTTAAGTTTTTGGAAGCAACGTGTTTTTTCAACAAATATAACAGAAATATTAACACTTTCTGAATATTTTTCCCAAAATTAAAACTTTTGAAAATCACTACTTGTTATATTAAAAAAAAAACTTACTCAAGACCAGGTCAGAAACACAGAGTAAATGAGCCACAAATATCTTGCAGTTCCATCTGCAGAACCAAAAACAACCAAATAAAAACATAAATCGTAAAAAAACAATTCAGTGTAAATGAAAAAAATAATTACCCTTTGAAATAGTGTTGTTTCAAAAACAAGTACAAAAACTGGAGAAAAGTATCATGTCATTACACACCGTTTCTCTACTGAAAACCAGTTGTTTGAGAAGACACGCAGGACACAGGTCAATACACTCGTTCCCCATGTCTCTCCGCCTACTACAACTTGGGGGCATGTTCCCTTTAAAAGGACTGAGGCTTCTTCTCAAAGTCAGATATCCTTCTCTTCTATTCCTTCTCATGGCTAATCCTATCCTCTGCCTTCTATTAGTTAGTCTAGCTCTTTCGGCTCCAGTACCTTTGCCGTTGGAGGAAGACTTCAATGTATTCCATACTAAACAAGAGAATCATGAACAACGATTCCTTCGTGTCGATCAGAACAAGGACAAAGTTGTCACTTTCGACGAATTCCTTCATATGGAGTTGGCTTATGTTGATGCCAAGAAAGAAGAGTTCGACACTCTCGATAAGAATCGTAATGCTTTAAAAGTTGGAGTTTCTAGCAAAGTCTAAGTTTCAGACGATGGCAAAGTGAGCTTGGCCGAATATGAAGAGCACTTCCACGAGGCATCTAGCAAGAGTGAGAAATCAAGAACCGCATACTTCGCCAAAGTTTTCGAGGTTACCAAAAGATTCAATGGTTCTAAATTACGGAATATATTACAGGACTTTGACGAAGACTTCAACATGGCTTTGAGCCGCGATGAACTTGAACGAGTGCTAGCAGAAAGATTCCTGGTGAAGCCAAGAGAAAACTTCCCAAAACTCTTCTTCAAGTTCGATGTGGATAAGTCTGGAGGCTTGGATTTGACAGGTAATGCTAAATCGGAAAACATTCTCGTTCAAGCTGAAACTTCCAGAGTATATGAAGTTCGACGCTGAATTCCCATTCGATCAAACTGATCCAGTCGGTGGAGGACCATCCAAGGCTAACAGCCATCACAACCAAATGCACACTGAAGTTCCACAAGATGCTGATGCTGCTGCCATCGCCGCCGTTCTCGCTCAAGCATCCCCAACACTGAATAAGGCCCCAGCTGGAGTAGCTCCACAACACAATGCTCCAGGTCTTCATCCAGTTGCTCCAGGATCTGTTCAACCAGCTGTTCCAATTAAGAAAATCTAAGCCAACCGATTCGAATGTGTACAATCTTATTACTGGTACTGAAATCACTGTCATGATCATATCATCTCAATTTTTCTGAAAATAAAGCTTCATTCTTTTAAAACTGTTTTGTATGGGAAAGGATATATACAAAATGCAAATTAACTGACGAAATCGAAATTTAGTGAACTTTGCTATCTCCATTCTTCAGCACCGACATATGGCTCGAGGCAACCCTATTCAATTTTTTGGCTTCTTTGCTATGCCGAATTCCATAACAAACATAAATAACAATTCCGATGACGAGCCAAACGAACAAACGAATCCATGTCATGAGATTTAGATACACCATCATGAAAACGTTGATAAGTAGTCCAAGACATGGAAGGAAAGGAACAAATGGAACCTGGAAATATAAATGTATAGTTTGTTCTTCTGGTTTTAACTTACTTTGTATGTAGTTGTGGATTTGTTCTGCTCGTGACCCAGAATCAAAATGAAAGCTGTTAAGGAGCACACCGCTCCAATGATTAATAAAATGATGCCTCCTGGATTACTAAAAATTCCAGTTTTGAATGGAATAGCCAAGCAGACATATCCGAAAATCAGCGTGCCAACTGCGCACCTGATTGAGATGCCTTCCGAGAATTTATGCCAGAATCCACGGAATGGAACCCAAGATTTTAGATTGCCACCATCATCATACTCTGTTTCACTCCCATCAATCAATTGAGGTTCATGTCTGAGAATTACAACGCACACCGATACCATGGAATAGGCCAGAAGAGTTCCAATAGACATGAAATCTACAAGTGCCTCAAGATCGAAGACAAGAGCCAGAATGGCGTTTAGGATAGTGAAAGCAATTGTAGCATTTAACGGAGTTTTCGTTCTTGAATTAATCACTCCAAACCATCCAAAAATCAAACCATCATCAGCCATAGCGTAAACGGCTCTGGGAAGTGCAAATGCTCCGGTGACAAGATTATTAAGCATTCCAGCCAATGCACCAACACTCATAATAACTTTTGCAACTGTTGCTCCTTTCATTTCAAATGCTGCTGCAAACGCTGCATCTGGGTCAATTTGATCGTATGGTACCATCAAGGTCAATGAAGCTCCCATGAGTACATAGAGTACACTGATAATTGCCAATGAACTGAATGTGGCCAGTGGGATTGTCCTGTGCGGGTTTTTAGCTTCCTCTCCAGCAGTTGCTAATGCTTCGAAGCCAATATAAGCGAAGAAACAGGTGGAAGCACCAGAAACTGCTCCTTGTATTCCATATGGGAAAAACTTTGATGTTCCATCTGGATAATTTCCTGACCAGAGAGAGAAGTCGGCATATGTAAACCCACAGACAATTACAAATGCGAGAACCTGAAAATTTGTTCATATAACTTGTCATTTGTAGAAGTCGCGTACCGCCAGATTTAAAACCACAAAACTAGTATTGACATTTGCGGAAAACTTTGATCCCATCGCAACAGCAACAGCTACTAAGAACAATAAAACGAATGCCAAGAAATCTGGGTACTTGGCAAAGAATCCTTCTCCCTGAAACTCAATTAATGGTTTCATGTCCATAGACGATTACTTACATCACTTAAATGACCAACATGCTCCAAAGTCCAATTTGAGACACTTTTATATACGAGACTGTCAAAATAGCCTGACCAGGATCTAGCAACAGCTGCATTTCCAATCATATACTCCAGTGGGACAGTCCAACCAACAACAAATGCCCAGATCTCACCCATTCCTACATAGCTATAAGTGTATGCACTGCCGGCACGTGGGAATCTGAAAATTGGAAGATTAACTTTAATTACCTGCCTACCAATTAATACGCTTAAAGGTGGGGGGAAATGAAAAAAATAATGTTCTCGAAATTCCGTTCAAAGATGCCCCTCGAGGAGTTGAACTTGTGAGGGCGATGATTGAGGGTGCGGCGCCGCTACCGACTGAGCCACACGGGCAAAGAGAAAGCGCACGCCCGATTGCATACATAAAGGCGAGGACGACAGCTGTACGCAGAGTGACATTAAGCGTTGTACACCTTGACGGTAGAATGCATACTCTAGCTACAAAAAAACTACGAAAAATCTCCTGTCCCCCCACCTTTAAACATTGTAAATTACTTTTCGTGAAACCATAGCTAAAGAATTGGTTAGAAAACGTTTGCAGCTTTTTTATATTCCATACTGTATAACATTTTTGTATCTTTGATAGAAACCATAAAAATTGGCTCAAAAAACTCGGGGCATTCATTTACAGGTTTTACAGTATATATTTTTTGAGAAGCGAGATATTCAACTTCAAACAGACAGTAGGAAGACTACTCACCTCGCTCCAAACTCTGCATAACTGAACGCTGACAAAAGAGCAGCAAAGCCCGAAAAAATAAAAGATAGAATAATCGCAGGACCAGCTTGATTTCGAACCACGGAACCAGTGAGCACATATATTCCTGCACCAATCATATGACCGATTGCAATGAACATTACATCGAGAATTGTAAGACATCTTTTCATTTGCGAGTTTAGATGGGATCCACCCTCAAACGTCTTTTTTCGAAATAGTACGTTTGATAGTTTGGAGAGACTCGATGTCATGTTCTGAAAAGAGAGAAAGTTGTAAGGTTGGGACTTTGAGCAATTGAAAAAAAAGAGAAGTGCACTTAAAATTTGACATGGTAATTGGAGGGTTTCATTTTCAGGTCGTTTTGTTTTGATTATAGTAAAGAAAAAACTTCCTTGTTAACCAGTTTCAAGTTCACAAAAATTTGGGAATCGGAGAATGTGGTATAATGGAAAATTGAAATTTCAGGAAACATTTTGTATTATATGTATCAAAAAGTAGGGTCATTGAAAAGAATGTTAAAATATGTCCTTTCTAAATTCTTTACAGCAACCGAGATATATGGGTTCAAAGTGAACGGTTCTGGGTGGCCTTCTATTATAGTGTTAACTAGAACAGTACGTATGACATTTGAGCATCAATGAAATACAAAATCAGAGTTATGCGAAAGTTTCTTTTTCCCAAACCTGAACCCAAACAAATTCGACGAATCTCGAAATCATTCGGGAAACCAATTGTTTGTTTTCCACATACTAAACACCAGCTGACTATAATCAACTACATATATTTTGCCCCACCCTATTGTTGGCGGGAAAAAAAACTCAAAAACAGATAAAAAATTTCCGAATATACTATGGGGAAACAAACACGATATTGGCATCCCGGTCTCGTTCTATCGGTTATCTAGTTTTGGCAGACTTATAATTGGTGTTACCTGACCCATGACAGGAAACGGGAATGAATCATTTTTGTAAAGTTTTGAGGAAGAAAAACATTGATGGAAAAGTTGTGCAGATATTGTATGTTTTTAATCTGAAACTTTTGTGAAGAATATGTTTCGCTCCTCCTCTTATTTGTTATTTTTGTTTTCCTAACAAAAAAACCGAACAATAGGGAGGGAAAAAATGGCAAAAAACATGACAAAAAAGCGTTTTGAGGGAATGCCCAAATTTATGTGAAAATTATACAATAATCGTATTAGAATGATCATGAGGAGGATGGTTGAATATGTTCAATGTTCTTTCAACTATATGGAGCAATATCTTCCACATTTAATGTAGCATTCACATTGGTTTCATCGATGCTTAAATGTTTTTCAATTTCATCGTCTGCTGGTACTCCCAACTTTTGATTTGGTGCCGTTCCCGGTGGTCCTGGCTCTTTTCCAGACACCACTGATCCACTCAAAGCAGACACTGCCCCAGTACACATTCCCTGACTTTGACATATATCTTTTGGATCATCTTTCTTCAAACGATCTAGGTTTACTCGATTGATAACATCGCACAAACTACTAGAATCGTCTGTAGAGTTCCGGCACTCTGCTCGGATTTTCTAAAACGAAAAATGATCATTAAAAGATGAATAAGTTTCTAACCTCCTCAAAATCGTCTTCTGTCGCTTGCCGTTCCTTCAATTTGAGAATTACCACTTGACAGAATTCACAAAGAAAGTCCAGGGGTATCAATTGAAGGTTTGGTGGTTCCTGATCCATAACATCAGTGTCGTTGTCACGTGAGTAGGTGTACTTGATCACTTTGTAGTCAGGTTTAACAGTCTGGAAGTGTATGACTTTTGTTAAACACGAATAGGCTGAAACATCACCGATTTTTGATGGTGTATTCAATGGGAGGTTTTATTTTTTGTTGAATTTTATATGAGTCATTCAAAATATGTGGTTTTGAATAACTGATAAATGTTTTATAACTTGCTCAATTTGTCTGAAACATTTTTGAAGAAACCGAAGCAAATCAGATATTCATCATATTGAGACATGCTATATGGAAACTCATAACTTCCTATACTAACACAACCCCGAGAAACCGAATTGCAGCGCTTCTAGCATAAAAAGCGATTCCACTGAAAAATTGTCAACTAGAGAATGAACATTTGTTTTTGTTTCATACCTTCATCAAATTCTAAAGTAATCCCACAAATACTAGATACCGAACCTATACCTGCAATTTGAACACAATTATCGCAATTTTTGTAAGAGATATCGAAAATGTGTCGAACAGTAACATATTGACGATATTAAATAAGATAAACATTTTCTCAGTTAAAATATTTCTGTCATCTTTTATGGTAACCGAGATAATTGATCTCAAAGTGCAAGTATCGGGTTGCCTAGAATTGTATAATGTTTACTGTATGCTATCAGATACCGAAAACCAAACTTTTTATGTGAAATTTTTTTCTGTCTGAAAATTCTCACAGTTTTCCTATAAGTTCTTTTGTTCATGTTCAAATTATCAAAATCTTACCTGCAAATCTTTATTGGCAACTGGCAAACTGTAGACAATTGAAACCAAACAAAACAATTCAACGAGCATCTTTTCAGTTTGTTCCTCTTTCCTCAAGCTTCTCCCTCTTCTGAATAAAAAATGGGTGGAGTCCAAAACAAGTAAGCAGAAGCGAAAAAAAAAGAGAAGAAAAGGATAATCTTGGCAATTTGCCAGTACTGATCCGATTGTTTCTTTTGAGGGTATTTTTGAGGTCACCAGTTGTAAACGGTGACGTGTCTCGTCATATAAGGAATTCATAAGGAAGAAGGTGAGGGTCATAAGGAAATGCAAATTCGGTTCCTTCCGGAACACCCGCAAGAGAATCTAAGACTACAAACTACAAAAGCTAGTGAAGTTGAAGAATGGGAAGTTTCAATTGAAGTGTTAGTAAAGTTGAGAAGTTAGTGGAACCTTCCCATTGTCCTCGCTTTCTTCTCTCACACAAACAATTTTCACTTCTTCTCTTTCCACCTATTTTTCAATCGTCTTTGTGAACGAACAAAAAAGTAAACATAATCGATTTATATACTTCCACTTTTTTTGAGATCATCAAAATACATTTCGCAAGTCAGAGATAACACAAGAAAGATTAGATAGGGAAGGTTATGTAACATAACTTAAGACAAGTTATTTAGAGTGTTCATTTCGTCAATGGCCATTTGTGCCTTCCGTTGCTCTCGTTTTGGGATACGCACGCATTTTAATGGAACTCCGGCTTCGAATTGTACTAGTCGGGAATCAGCTGGAGCACTGGATGAAGAAGAAGGTACTGTAGACGGCGCAGTAGTGGACGGTGTGGTAGAAGCTTGTGGAGGAACTGGAGGAGACGATGCCGATGGTGTGTTCTGGAAATTCTGGATTTTGTGAGGACTACTTTAAGTCTTATGCAGCACAGTCTAATGCACAATCCTCTATGTTCTCTATGACTCTTTTCTAACTGAAAATCTCAAAAAACTGAATGACGCAAATAGGCAACCCATATGCTTAATTTAATTAGGAAGAAGAAAACCGAGTCAGAGAAAGCGACGACCCAGTCATGGCTGACATTTTCAACACCAAATTGGATTTTCAGCTCAAAAAAAAAACTATCCGAACCTTTTCGTCTTGCAAACGTTGAATTTCTTTTCTCACGACTTCTTGTTCTTCTTTTGGAATGACCACACGCTTCAACTCTTCGAGATTCGCGTAGCTCACACCAGCAATTCGGGCGACTGCCGACTTGACACTGGTGCTAGCCATTGGGGAAGAGCCCTGCATGCTTTTGAGGCGTTAATTTTCTTATCCTTGAAATTTTAAATGATATCTGGGAGAGATACTGAAACTATCTTTTTGGCGATGAGGAAATACAAATAAGGGGCGAAATAATTTATAAATCGGGCTGACATTTTTACAGAGAAACGGAGAGGGGAAAAAGAAAATAGGGGATAAAAGTGGGGTCGAGTGGTGAAGGAAAGTTCAATAAAAATCCGGTAATAATTTAGACTGGTTTGTAATCGAGCTTCGTCTCAAGTCTCTTCGCATCTCCTACTTTACGGACTGCCTTCATGAAGTCTTCATCGATAACGAATTCTCGTTCAGCGCGGATGGCGAACATTCCTGAAAAAAAGAAACTAGAATGTTAAATACTCCTCTATATCATACCAGCTTCAGTGCACACGTTTCTCAAATCAGCTGCTGAGAATCCATCTGACAATTTAACGACAGCCTCGAAGTCAATCTCTCCGTGTTTTGTAATTTTGTTAGAATGAATTTTGAGAATTTCCAAGCGAGACTGTTCGTTTGGCAATCCGATTTCAATTTTTCTGTCGAGTCTTCCAGGACGGAGAAGAGCGGGGTCGAGAGTATCAGGTCGATTCGTGGCCATAATAACTTTAACTTTTCCAAGAGAGTCGAAACCATCAAGTTGGTTGAGAAGCTCCATGAGAGTTCTCTGAATTTCACGATCTGCAGATGTTCCTTCTGAAAAACGTCTTCCTCCGATCGCATCAATTTCATCCATGAACACAATACATGGTTGATGGTCACGAGCGTAGTTGAACATTTCTCTGATCATTCTCGCAGATTCTCCGATGTATTTGTCAACGATGGCGGAAGATACGACCTTTAGGAAGTTGCAATCAAGCTGAGAGGCTACTGCGCGAGCGAGAAGAGTTTTTCCGGTTCCTGGTGGTCCGAAGAGAAGACATCCCTTTGGTGGTGTGATACCAACACGGCGGAAAAGTTCTGGATTGATGAGCGGAAGCTCGACAACTTCGCGAAGCTCACGGATTTGCTCGGCAAGACCACCAACATCTGAGTAGCTGATGTTTCCTGGGTCTTCGTGGGACATTTTGTAAACTAGTGGATCAACTTCACGTGGCAACTGTCGCCTGAAAAGAAGTATGAGATGGGAATGCTCGAAAATTAGATCAAACTAACATGATAGTGAGAGTGGTCATATCAAGCGACACTCTGGTTCCTTGCTTCAACTCTTCCTTGTTGATGCTACGACGACATCCGACAACATATCGTGGCCCGTTGGTTGCCTTAACGATGAACTTTTCTTCACTGAGTTGCTTCAGCACCTCTCCGACGATTTGTCCGACGGATTGCAGAGATTTGATATCGTTTTCAGATTTGTCAAACTGTTTCGTCATCTCACTCTCCTTTTTTCTCAAATCCTTCAGCTTCTGTTCAATGTCGCGACACTCAGCAAGTTTTCTTCTGTAATTGTTGAGTGCCTTGGTGCGCTCGTCGACAACGACCTCGGGTCCTGTTGGCTCGACCATTTTCTGAAAAAAACAAAGTTACTCGATTTCATTCGAATATAAGCGGTTAAGAAGGGGTATGCCCGCAGAAGAGTTATAATAACCGGATGTTCAGATCAAATTAAGGATATCAAGACAGACCCTAAATTAAAGTTGCGAGATTTTTTAGAAATCGACAAGAATAAATTTCTGAAGTCCTGTAAATCGCGGTGATTTTCAAGCCAAAAAATACAAATTTTTGTCATCGTGTCTTTGGAGCGCGGTTTCAAAGTCTGCACTTGCGCGTCGCAGTGTGTGTGCACACGATGTATTTTATCTTCCGACAGCATAAATATTTAATTGCTCAATTAGAAGGTTCAGCTTTTGGATTTTCACTATGGAACAGTTTTCTGGAGATGATGTAGGTTGTTTTTTCATATATTTCATTTCTAAAACTCTTAAATTCATAATTTATCTGTTTACAGACAGAAACCAACACTAATCGAGAGCCTGCCGAATTTGCACAGGGAGAGCAGCCTCAACAAGAAGAGGTATACACTGAACAGTCATTTACGGTAAAAACGAATCCCAAGAACTCGAAAAATTAAACAAAATTGAAGTTTTCAGGAGGATGCCGCCCCGCAGTTCAAACCCCCTACTCCTTCACAGTTCAAGACACCAACCCCTCCACAGTTTAAATCTCCAAACCCTCCTCAGTTCAAAACTTCAATCCCATCGCAAAGAACACATCAAGCCGTTGTCGTGCCCATGGAGCCAAAAGATATTGCTAACCTCCAACGTGCACATGCAATGATCCATGCCAACGATGCGATTCCTCCTTCGAGGTATGCAACGATGAGGGAGATGACTGAAGATTTTTGGCGAGAAAGAAAACGGAAAATGTGGGATATCCCGGAAGAAGAAATGGCAACCAAGTCAAAAAATATGTCTGTTCCCATGGCGAGAGTTAAGAAAATCATGAAAATCGACGAAGACGTTCGTTGTCTGGTTAGTGGGTTTTTTCTAATGAATTTATTCTGTCATGTATTAAAATTGGATTAGTTTTCAGAACATTGCATCAGATGCTCCGATTTTCATGGCTCAAGCAGCTGAGTTTTTCATCGAAGAAATGACTGCAATGGGGTGGCAATACGTATCAGAAGCTCGACGAAGGATTCTGCAGAAGAGTGATGTAGCAACAGCAGTAAAGAAAAATGAGCAATTCGATTTTCTACTCGATTTCCTGCCCCAAGCACCAGCAATCAAACCGCTGTCCAGAAATCCACCGCCTCGTCGGGCATCGTTTAATCAGAACCAAACCGCTCAAAACCTTCAGAACTCTCAAAATGGTTTCAAACCTGCGCAAAAAAGATCATTTCCTGGAGCGTCGAAGGCACATACAGGAACATCTAACAGCTTCCAATGTGTTCAAAACGAAACCTCCAGGGGGAGAGTGGAATATCAGATCGTCCAAACTACTTCAGCGGGACCGTCGACTTCTTCTCCTCAAGGTCCCTATATCTCTAATATTCCATCTGCACAATCTCTTTAAAAACGATCATCTCATCAGTTTAGATCTCCAAACGTATTGAAAGTTTTAATAAAATCAACAACTGATCTATCAGATTTAAAGTCATATCCGAAGTGTATATCAACACAACGATTTATCTGTTATTGAATCGCTCCTAAGGTTTTTACTATTTTTTTTGAAACAGGAACAAAATGTGGCTGTCGAAGGAGGAACTGGAGGCCAAAAAGGAGGCATGCAGAGTGCGAAACACGGAGTCCAACAAGGAGTTTGCAGATTCTGATATTGTTGCTTCGTTTGTTCACAACCGGCCGCGGGATCTGAATAATGTAAGTCTTCACTAAAAGATTCGCATCGTATTATCCTTGTCAGAGAAAAAAATGTTGAGTCGAAGTGTATGCGATGTTTGTAAACAAATATCTGAAAGCGTAAACAACCGGAAACAGTTGAAACGAGTGCGACAGTAATCCGGCGGGAAAATGTTAAATTTACCTATTATGCTTGTCTGAGAAAAAAAGGTTAGAGAGTATTTTTTGCAGTCTGTATACGGTAGCGATATCGAAGCGGAGAGCCTAAATAGCACACACACAGACACTTTTTCTCTGCGTCTCAACCTTTTTTTTTCTCAGACAAGGATAATATTTTTTAGTTTTTCTCTTATTTTGCAGCAAATTTCGTCGAATATGGTTTGTTTTTCATTGTTTTTTGCGGTATTTTAAAATATATTCGACAAAATTTGCTGCAAAATAAGAGAAAAACTAAAAAATAGGTAAATTTAACATTTTCCCGCCGGGTTACTGTCGCACTCGTTTCAACTGTTTCCGGTTGTTTACGCTTTCAGATATTTGTTTACAAACTTTTTTTTCTCTGACAAGGGTAATACATCTTTTTTGTTTCAGCTTACATTCGAAAGACACGGAAAAGGAGGTCGTAAGAAAGCACCAACTCTCACAGTGAAAAGAGAAATTAGTGAAAGAGTGGTAGAAGTTGGAACCGATGTGAATTGTCTTAATGAAGGCTTTGATTTTGCTGTTGCCATAGTGGACACAACAACCGGAGAAGCAACGTATCGACCAGCTCGATATTACTCATTCGAAAGCAAATATTCTGAAGATATTGAATCGCTTCTTGGTAGTAAAAAAGAGTCAAAACCCGTCGATTACTCTGGAGATTTTACAATTAGTGCGGAGAAATGGGCCGAGAAGCGTCGTCAGTTGACAACGAATTTCGGATCTTCTAAAAAGATTAAAATGGATGAAGCTTCTCAACGAAGAACAATCAACCAGGAGACACTCGATGAGATGAGAAAGACCGCGTTTGCTTCCAATTCTAATGTCAAAACTGAAGCTCACGAAGACATCAAACTGGAGAATATTACTATGATGAGCAAAGCAGCTTCCTCAATTCTTCCACCAGCTGTTCAAACTGAACTTTCTCGAGACATCTATCCGATCTCCTTGTTCTTGGAAATATCGAAATCGATGCAGTTGAGCCGATCGCAGCTGAATTGATGGAAAAGAAGAGAAAGGATAAAATCGAAGCAGGAATTCCAGAATGTGTCACTTTGATCATGTTCAACGAGAAAACAAAAGAAAGATCAGCCGCTTATCTTCTTCTCTCGACCATGGTTGAAATTCTTCTGAAAATGGGAAGACAGCGTCAAATTTTGCGAAAAGATTTGAATGAACTGAAAATGCCGGATGTGCTCAGACAAAAGATTCTTTCCCAGTTCTTCGGTGAATCCTCAAGTGACAAAGGATACACTGGACGTAGTGCTGAACGGATTCGCCTCAATGTTACAGACTACGATCGTTTTGTTGCCTACACACTCGCTTTGGCTCTCACTCTTGCCCCAGAGCACAAAGTCCCATTGACACCATTCCAACAGGCTTTCAGCTATCAGCCTAGTAAGATGGAAAAGGTTTGATGTTATACGATTTCTAAGCATCTAATCGTACTGTTTCCAGATGTTCCAAGCCCTCGGTGCCGATATGATTCGCCTCGACGTGTCATCTGCTCAATCTCTCCGCTCTCTTCGTGCCGCCATTCTCCTGAAACCGCCTAGCATGGAACAGAAAGGACCTAGAAAAATTATTCGACGATAGAAATTGTTATTATATCACATTTTGTTATTGTTCCCCTTTTTTGTTGTTGATGAATTCGTTTTGTTTTTAACAGTGTATTTTTCTGGATTTTTGTTCGGCAAGGTTGTTACCTATTCAAATTTCCTCAAATAAGTTTTTTTGCTGATTTATCACAGTTTCCTATTACAGAAAATGACAGACGAAGAGAATGATGACGAACTTATCGGTAATTCATGTGAATCGTAATAATAACCTGGTAAAGTTTCAGATATGCTCAACGAAGCTCCTGATGCCTGCCCTCCGAATTTTTTTGAAAGAGACCCAACAAAAGATTCAACTACTGTGAGAACAATGCATTTCGCCTTGAGAAGTATTGTAGGCCAGCTTCGTTCTCCAATAAACACAGAAGCGGAGGCAGTCATAAATTGGCTCGTTTACAAACAAGGTGGACCACATCGTCATCAGAAGTTTTTCGGATTCTTTCGTCAAATGAATAGGCTTGTCAGGAAGTATAACGATATGACGCTGATCAAAAAGTTGAATCCAGTATTGAGAAAAGCGGAAAATTGTGGTGATGACCTTTATAAACTGGAGGAAGCGGCTATTCGATACATGGGATGCTCATACCTAAAGAAGTTGTATCTTCTGGAAAGAATTAGCGAAAGTTGTCTAAAATGTGCTGATGGAGTAGTTGGATTGCTGGAGCTGGAACATTGGATTAATCTGTCACTTGTTATTTTTGCACTATGCTCTCAAGTGCATTCTGAAGTGATCACACAGATGCTTGCGATGGAGAAAGTCTTCAAAATGACAAGCAAAGTATTCAGAGATGTTGATTCTCGATTTCCGGAGTCGCTGGAAAATCTGAAAGTAGTGGAGAAGGTGAAGAGACAATCTCGTGTTTTTGAGGAGAGGAACAATGAGAAGACTGATCTCTCAGCGATCAGTCGGCTTCTGAAATTTAGCTCGGAGAAAATAAAAGAGGCACAAACAGAAAATGATTGGAGAATGAAGGTGTAAGTGCTACAAATTCCAGTGATTAGGTTGATAAAGATACTTATTATTTCAGAACCAAAGTTCTCAACGAAGAGCTAACTGCCGAAATTACAACAACTACAGCTATAGCCACCCCAAAAGCTACAAAGGTCTCAGCCCAGTTGGATATGTCGGATCTCGGAATTTCAATTTCTCGAGATGACGCGAGCTTTCTCAATTCAACAATTCAATCTACATCCACTTCAGTTTTATTCCAAAGTGATGAAGATGATGACAGCTTTCTGATGTCTCCAAACTTGTTTGTTCCAAAGAGTCTGAAAAAGAAAACGAAGAAAAGAAAGTCTGAGAATCCAAGTGCCAAAAGCTTCCTATCGTCAACATTGGATCTGTTCAGTGGTGATAAAAAAAAGAAGAAAAAGATCAAGTGATATTTGAATTTTACTAAAATTTTGTTAAAATGTTTGTTGTTACTGCCTTTGTTAATAAATTTTCTTGCTATCAAAAACTGTTCTCCAAGAAAAAAAACATTCCGGTTTGATATTCCGTATTTTTATCAAGTTTTTCCTTATGTTTCCGTGTCTGCAAGCACTGATAAGTTTTTTTTTCCGGGAAAAGCGCAACTGTAGCGAGGAGAGCCATTTATCGGCTGATTTCGAATTCGAATGGTTTATATATTTAGAAAGTCTAGTTTTGAAGAAAAAAAACAAAATGACAAACTTTTCAGCATTATGACTAAACATGGATTTTTATTGTAAATTCAGACACAGACACAGTTACAAGTGCGCTTTCTTGCTTTCTTAAGTGACGCATAGTTCAGTTTTGATTTCGCCATCAGTACAAAAAACGATAAATAGTACAGATAAGACTAGGGAAGAAGGAGAAGAAAGATACACCGATGGGGTGATGGACAGAGAGATACATAGGTGCACAAAACACTCAATTGTACAAACGGAGGTCTTTTCCTTTCTCCTTTATGAATTAGTTTTCGCTTTTTGCATAGGAAAAAAGGAGTTTGCTCAAGCACAGAGACGCAGCAGTCGTCATTGTTGACCCTGGCAACCCTTTCTTTCCTGCTCACTATATGTTTTTTTGTTGTTGCTATTCTCCTACTTAAAAATCCTGATTTCCAGAAAAATCATGTTGGGTTACCTACCGGATTCCTTTCACTACTACATTGAAACCCTTCTCGTCGGTCTTCTTATCTACGTTGTTATGCGAAATAGAGCTAAACGGCAGCAAGAGAAATTGTCGAAAAAGTTGACGGAACGACAGAAGGACGAATTGATTGCTGAATGGCAGCCAGAGCCACTTGTTCCAGAGACTCCCCAAGATCATCCAGTACTGAACCCAAAATATGCCGATGGGTAAGAAACATTTTCTTGAAAACCTGTACAGAAGTCGTATATATTAACAATTGTATTCGTAAAAAAGAACTTTATGAAAAAAAAGGAAAAATTTTATTGGGAAAAGTGCTATTGACAGGGCAGTTCTTCCAAAACTACCAAAGAATCCTTCACTATCCTCATCTTTCTCTTTCTTTCAGAAAAATGACCAAAGAAGTCTCAATCGACGGACAGAAGTACCTCAACATGGCATCCACCAACTTCCTCAGCTTCATCGGTGTCAAGAGAATCGAGGAACGCGCCAAATCAACGATCTTCAAGTATGGAGTAGGCTCCTGTGGACCACGTGGATTCTACGGTACAGTCGACGTGCATCTCGATCTGGAGAAAGAGCTCGCAAAGTTTATGGGATGCGAGGAAGCAGTTTTGTACAGTTACGGATTTGCTACAGTATCATCAGCTATCCCAGCGTACGCCAAGAAAGGAGATGTGATTTTTGTGGATGAGGGAGTCAACTTTGCCATACAGAAAGGACTACAAGCTTCCCGCAGCCGAGTCGAATATTTCAAGCATAATGATATGGAGGACTTAGAACGACTACTTTTGGAGCAAGAGCAGAAGGATAAGAATGATTTGAAGAAGGCGAAAACCGTTCGGCGATTCATTGTTGTAGAAGGACTCTATGTTAATCACGCCGATCTATGCCCACTTCCGAAGATTATTGAATTCAAATGGAGATTCAAAGTTCGTGTGTTCATCGATGAGAGCTGGTCGTTTGGAATTATTGGAAAAACTGGAAGAGGTGAGAAACAACTTTATTTACAGAAACAAACAATGACTAGAAAAACCCGTAACGACTAGAAAAATGCCTAGGAATTTTAAGTATTAAAACAAGAAATAGAAAATTGTAACCGTAATGATGGCAAGAAGTTTTGAACTAGAACCAGTAGTTGATGATGGAATAACAGTTGAAGATGATTCTGAAGTAGAGGAAGAAGAGGATGATGATGAGGAAGACGAGGATTTGTGAGGGGGTGGTGTTCCAACCAATCCTTCCAATAAAGGTCCTTTGTATTCCAGGCGGTCCGAATAAGTCATAATAAGATCGAGTGCAGCACCATTAGTCCATCCGAAACCGGCCTATAATTTCACAAGATTAAAATCTGAAGACACCCCTTATAACCATACCTGGACTTCGTACTCTCCACCAGTGGCTAGTTTACCCTGTGGTTCTTGAACATTGTACTTTTCCCACATTGCATTTGATACATTGAACGTTTGCATATTGGTCTCTAGCCATTTTTGAGCTAGTACAAAAGCCTTCTGTTGTAGTGTTGGGTTCAGTGACTTCCGAAGTCCCTCTATTATCATATGATTCAACGGACTCCATCCATTGGGATAATCCCATTGTTGATTGGTTTCTTTGTGCATACTTGTGGGTATTCCTCCTGACATAGAGAATGCTCCAGAGTTTTCCATTTGGTTGTAAACATCGACAGCTAATTGAGAGTTCAAAGGATCATAACATTGAGCGAATAGTGGAGCAGCGTTGGAAGGGAAGAAGTCGGTGTTGTGTGAACCAGTTCGAAGATTATAGTCATACCATCCTTTCCTCACTGGAACGTAGAAGACTTTGGTGAAGTCCTGCCTGAAGTTTGCAAGACGAGATGACCATTCCATATGTTTTAGTGGGTTGCCAGCCAATTGATAGAAGAATTGCATAATGTTCATGTTGTAGCAAAGAAACGCGTTTAAATCTACTGGCACTATGTTTGTAGTTTCTATGGTCGTCAAATTCTTATGATCCTTGAACCATCTACTCGAAAAGTCCCATCCACTCTCCGCGGCACTTCCGATATCTTTGAAGAACGATCGTTTCTTGGATTTGGTAGTAAAGGGCTCTGCACTGAGAACATCTTCCCTGAAACTCTCCGGTCTTGGAGTATCAGCTTCTGTGTGGTACTGAAACATGCGCACTGTCTCGTTGAACTCCTGAGTTTCCAATGTGATATTCACTGATCTTCTCTGGCTCCAGAAAATGTATTCCTTCTCAATAACCGGAATCATATCCATCACTAGTTGAGTGTCTTGAGTAGCCAGGTAGTATTCGTATACCATTGGAGCGAAGAATGGTGGTTGGGATCGTCGTAGATAATAAACTCTTCCTCCATTTGGAATGAAACCATAGGTTTCAATAATGTGGGCGAAGTTGAGAATCATCATTCTTGCCGTTGAATACAATTCAGAAGCTATCAATCCTTTGACTATCCAATAAGCATCCCAGTAGTAAAATTCACGGAAGCGTCCTCCAGGAAGAATGAATTGATATGGGACGTAGATCAGAGAGAATCTAGATGGGTCCTCTTTCACCTCGGGCTTCATTTGACGGCACAGTTGAATCCAAATAAAATGCAGACGTTGTGCAAATGCAAGATAGGTGTCATCCTTGATTTGAGCAAGTTTCTCAGTGATTGGTTTCCAATCAGGAAGTTCGCATCTAAACAAGAGGAAGTAGTTGATAAGAAAGTTTTGAAACAGAACTTACACATCCAATTCATTTCCTTCCTTATCAAAGAACTCGTCTACAAACTCAGCGACTTCTTTTTTTGAGATTTCTTCAATAGGTTTTGGGAACCTCTTCTCAAAATGTTCCATAATTGATTCACCTGTCCGGTTAACTTTCATGGGTTGATCAACGAATGTCTTCGAATCCGGGTATAGCTTCACAGCCATCACCGCCTGTAAAAGTCGTCCGCTACAGTATACCATCCATTGTCCTGGCGCTGTCTCGTTATCACACGGCAGTACACTTCCATTGAAGTAGTCGGATCCAATGAGACGAGCGATTTCAGGACCGGTCTGGAAAACCGATCTAATAGCTGGCTATAATAATCTTCACTTGATTATTGGGTAATCGTGGATGAGGGGTACTTACTAATTCGGTTAGCTCGGTGTGCACTCTATTGTCATGCTCTGGAGTTCCAAAGTCCGCGGTTTCATCTATGATGTTCGGTCCTCGAGGATCCTTTTGGGGTTTTCCGGATACTGGGGATACTATGAAGAGAAGAAAAAGGAACTCTCTCATCTGAAAGTTTCGTATTCGTTTGAAAAAGAACTGTTTTGAACTCAATGAGTGAAATTGAATGGAAAAATCATACAGTAAATCATACAGTAATGAAGGACAAGGAAGCATAGGGGCTGTTCTTTGTAGTTCCTTGTTAAGAAACAGTCAAAAATTCTCTGTTATCTTTGTTCTTATATCCATCTGAATTCTTGGGGAAAACCCCCCAGTCCGAATGATGCCGAACAATAGTCACGTGGCAATTAGAAGATGAGGAAGGAATGGATGATATGATTAGGAGGTGTGTTCTTTTGAAGATCGAAATTGAACTTTGGTGGTGACTTGATTTTAAAAATCAGACACTTTAAAGAAGTGACTCAAAGAACAAACGGGATGTTCAAAGTTTCAATTTATGTACTATTTTTAAAAATTGGGGTTTTCAGATGAAGAAGAAGATAACAAATCTGAAAAAAATCACAGCTGATGACGTTAGATGACTATTTTTCAATACCACGTGGAAACATATAAGATAACTATATAACAAGATAATCAAGTTAACTTTGAGGTATGAGAGGTGGTCATACGATACACACCCAAAATTCTGAATCTCAGAAATCAAAACAGTTCTTTTTCTGATTCCTCTTATCAATCAGAGACTCGAAAGGAAAATCTAAATCCCACCTGATCTCAATAAAAAAAAGAAATTTGAAGCATGTGAGGTGAGAATAAGCGAGAACTGGAACCTAGAAATATATGATTTTTCATTACACCATACACACACTGATAGGGCAATACTGAACTCGTTTTTTGCAACAAGAAAGGTTATATAGTACCATTACACCTTTCTCAAGAAAAAAAAACAAAATATCTGAACATAGTTCTTCTGTGTAGACTGGAGATGACACAGCGATGTAACAACTCAATATAGAAATAATATTTCAATGAAATCGAACTGGTTTGGTTTGTGGTTGTGATCTGGTGCTTGTACCTGTATATATGTATACTCATCCGCCTACGGTCATGTAAAATATATCTGCAAAAATTTGATGACGTGGGGGGAATGACACACATCTCCATCAATGGGATTATCTGTGTACTTGAAATGAGAGTTACTGTATCTATTCAAACATCCACATAAACTCAAAGTGTCTGGGTTTAATCTTTTTAATTTCAGGAGTTACTGAACACTTCAATGTGCCAATGGAAGATGTGGATATGGTGATGGCATCGTTGGAGAACGCGTTGGCATCCACTGGAGGATTCTGCGTCGGTAGATCATATGTCGTTGGACATCAAAGATTGTCTGGTCTCGGATACTGTTTCTCTGCTTCGCTTCCACCACTTCTGGCCACCGCCGCTTCTGAAGCTATCGCTATCATTGATGAAGAGCCTGATAGAGTTCAGAAGGTTACAAAAATGTCGATCGAGGGACAAAAGAAGTTGGAAAATGTTTTGAAAGGATCGAAATTCGTATTGCAAGGATGTCCGGAAAGCCCGATGAAACACATTTATTACGATGGAAACGACGAGGAGAAGAATTTAGATAAACTAGTGGACACAGTATTCAATGACAGTCATCTTCTACTTACTCGTGCCAGATATCTTGATAAAGATGAAATGTTCAAAGTTCGTCCCAGCATCCGCGTCATGTTCCAATACGATTTAACCGATGCCGAAATCGACAGAGCTGTGGAAGCAATCGGAAGTGCTGCTCGTCAAATGTGATATATCTTTCTCTATATCTCTGTGTATCTGATATTTTTAGCCAGAGCTGTCTATGATATACTAAAGAAATTGTAATCGTTTTTTTTAAATATAATTTTTTCCTCTCAATATATTTTGGTACAGAAAATCCCCATTTGAATATATTTATTTTTCTATAAACATATACAACGCCATTCAAAAAAAAAACTATCTGATGGACTCGGTACAATTCCCATTATCCGCTGGAACATACGTCATTAATGGTCGAAAGTATCGGAGAACCGCCTACCAAATAAAAGCGGCTACAGATGACGTGACACCGAAATTCGAGCAATTTGAAGATACTCCAGATGTCTACGACGATGAGCCTTCTGCTGGATGCTTAGCTCCACGTTAGCTTTCTAATATTGAGGTTACCAAAAACCCAAAATATTTCCAGCCGGTCTTCCCGCTCTGAAAAAGAAGATTGCGAAAGCCAAAGAGGTCAAAGAGGCAAAACCAGAGTCCAATAGTACACAACCAACAGAAGATGAGCGAATTTCCGTAATCGATGGAAAGAAATGGATTGCATCGTTAGCTAGAAAAAAAAATTTTTAAAAAAAACGACAATTTTCAGAATCTCCGTTCCAGCCTGCTTCATTGGAAAGCTTCACGGAATGAATCGTCGTGCGTTGAATGCGCTGGAAAATGATACTCAATGTCGTGTGAAAACGCCTAGAAGGGATGAAAATAAGCCTTGTGGTAAAAAGCGGAATTGTTGAATTTTCAAAGGATTGAACATTTCAGAAATTTCCTCAATCGTCCGTCTGGAATGTGTCCAGCGTTGCTTGGATCGGATTGAAATTTTTGTGGATGACGCGAAGAAGACTGTATGTATACAATTAAAAAGCTGTATTTTTTTCTCTGCAAAAACCTGAAAATTCCAGGCTCGTGTCACTCACTTCGTAGCCCTGCCTTGCGATCAACACGAAGTACAGGAGAATTTTGAAGTTTTCAAGCAACTCGTGCTGGATAGTGAACATTTTGATGTATATTCCCTTTCTCAAACTTTTCCTTCTTTATTTATTTTTAATTTTCAGGCTTCCTGTAAAAATCCCCAACTCTTCACAAAATCCCCACGACTTCACTTGACACTATCCGTTGTTTGTCTCTTTGATGACGTGGATCTTCAAAGAATTACAGAGTCTTTCAAGGTTATCGAGGAAGAGATAAAGTAAAATGATTTTCTCATATAGCGTTCAGAGAATCAATAATTTTCAGAGAGATCATGAACAATAAGCCAATGATAGCGGATATTCAAGGAATCGATATGATGAATGATGATCCTTCCCAAGTGTCTGTGATATATGCAAAAGTAAGCGGAGAGAAGATCCAAGAAGTGGCGAACCATCTCAATCGACGTCTCATAGAACTCGGTTTCGCCAAAAACGAGGGAGGAGATGAAGTCAAGCTTCATATGACACTGATGAATGCTAGATATGTGGCACAAGCGGAGAAGTTGAAGAAATTTACCTTTGACGCAAAGAAAATACTGGAGGACTTGAAAGAATCGTATTTTGGAACTTTCCAGCTAACGGAGATTTGTTTGTGCCCTTTGAATTCAAACTCTTCTTCTGATAAGTTCTACGATAAATTAGCTGTAATGAGATTGGCATAATTCTTCTATTTACTGAATAAATCGTATTGTTATTATACTTCTTTAAACAATTCTGAAAATAGTCAACAAGATGTTTGACTTTCAGTTAATAACAGTATTCAGTCAATTCGTATGCAACCAAATCGTTTTTGTGTCTCACACTCTCTCCATGCAGCATCACAATATCTGTTATATTCTGATGCTGGTTGGACTGTGACCGGTTGACGCGCGACGACTACATTCGGACTGCCTCCTGCTGTCCCATCCTTCTTTCTCTCCACAAAATAATACCGCGCATCAATCGTTTTTCGAGGTCAATTCTCGGTTTTTGGCTTCCTGTTCCCTTTCTACTGATATCCTTTTTTTTCACTCCTAATCACCTATCAATATTTTTTTCTGTTTTTATTAAATACATCAGTTCGTCTTGTTTAAATCTTTAAATCTAGAAAGCAATTCGATAGACATTTAAAAATGTTTCATTCTAACTGCAATAAGAAAATTTGAAAACTTCGTAAACGGCAATGTTCTGGACTTCAAAATAAGTTACCGTAATTCGTCGTATAGAAGCCCACCCGAGCCGATAACTTCGGGCTCATTTATCTCGATATCTATGAAAGATGTGAAAAACTTTTCAACTAATATAATGTTAATTATAGCATTACAAACATTTTATCAATTGACATTTTTTGATATCTCTTATAGGAGCCGGGATAATTGAGCTCAAACTCAACAGTGTGGGGCCCGTCTATTACAGGTTTAACGGAATATTACTTAAATTCAATAAAATTCCAAAATTTCCTTCTTTTCTTTTTTTTGGATTTCTGTCCGAAAATTTCAATTTTGGCACAATTATATCTCTGTCGTAACAAATAACGTTGAATTGTCACTGCCTATTTTCAAAACTTTGATTCCAGGTAAATTGATGCCAGCAATGATCAACACGATGGAACTGCGGGATAGTCCAAAATCGAATCGATCAAGTCAAGCGGTGATAGACGCCAAGTACACATTGACCTACTTGTAATCACCAAAATGTGCAACCCAATATCTCTTTCTTATCTTTCTCCTGGGTTCATGAGTTTGGTTATTGCATGTATGATTAACTTTCAGAACTAAAATTTGAAAAAGGAAGTTTGAGACGTAATCGTAAAAATTTCAGATCTGACTCATCAGAAAAGGGTAGCGAATCACCGAGGAGTTTGAGGGATTATCATAGAGGAGGTTAATAGTAGGAATTTCACATTACAGTAACCCTTTATACATTTTACAGGATCGGGAAGTTTAACTGGTGGCGGAGCGATCGTTTTGGCTAATAATAAACCGGTATGTCTTCTCATTTCGTTTTTGAAATTATCGTTGTTGCCGGTCCTCTCAGAGACGCACAGCAACAAATTTGTTGGGGGTTGGTTGAACGAAGAAACAAAAAAAACAGAGTAATGGTGGGGAATTTAGTGTGATAAGATGAAGAGACTCAGAGATTTAGAGAGAAGGTCAAATTGATGTGATAGCATTGGTGAAAAAAAAGAAGAAGAAACAAATCAACCCATCCCAACTGTTTCCCATTTTAGTTAAGTTTTTCACAACAGTTAGACTAATTTTCTTTTTCCGTTGTTTGAATGTTCCCTTTTTCAACCACAGAAGAAAGTCTGACGCCTTTCTCAATTCATCTGGATGTTCTCATCAAACACAATCAGATGGGGGCCACTCCAACTTTATATATCTCGGTATATCTCGGCTCCTGGGAAAGATATCAAAATTTGGTCAACTGAAATTTTTTTAAAGTAATATGAGAAACATTATATTAGTTGACCACTTTTTGATATCTTCGACAGGAGGCGAGATATATAGGCTCAAAGATAGCGGTTTGGGTGCCCTTCTATGAGAGTGTTTACGGGTAATACCAAAAAGTGGATCTAAAAATTTTAAAAATAAAAAAAGAAAAAAAAAAGTAAAATACTTTCCGAATCTTCCAAAGTAATCGGTATCACAAATTAAGTTAATATTCGTGGAGCTTCGATTGTTAATTTTCAGTGAGACCTAAAAACTCTGTGCTTACTCCTTATCTCGAATTCCACCTAGAGCTCAAAAATTACAATTTTCTGCGCTTCTGCTTTTTCTCTAGACTCTCAATCTGAAACAGTTGTTAAGGTGCTCATTTTTTGTGTGTTCCTTCTTCCTATCTTCTACTGCCTCAACTCATTGGGCGCCCTCTTTTGCTCTTCTCTCCCGCACTTATCACTATCCGCTCCCCTCGATCATCTTGAATCGTTTCTGTGTCTCTTTGGTTTCGAATGATATTCTTTTGAGTCTCTACTTGTATTTACTCAGAGTACTTGGTAGTTGAACACAATATAGGTTACTTGTCCCTGGCTTTCCTGTGCCAACACTTTTTGGCTTTTGGCACAGAATGGCGACCACGAACAATAGACGAGTTGTAAGTTTTACAGAGTTTTTTTTGAAAAATCAACTCAAAAAGATATAAATTCAAACGGAAGAAATATCCAATATCCATTACCGTAACCCGAAATTTCAGGACATGAAAAAATACAAGCAAAAGTTGGACAGTCGACTCGGAGTCGTACTGCTAATGTGCCTTGTGACCATTTTTGTAATTCTAGGTAACCTGTTTCCTTTTTGTTATTTTCTGAATTTCCGGTTCCAGGTATCTACGGAACGATGCACTCATCCGTTCATGATGAACTTACCGTCTACGTCAACAGAACTCATCAAATTGCCAGTGAACTTAAAAATGCAATGGATGAGAACTATCCAAAAGAAAATCAAACTAATATCGATAAGCATGGAAGAGTTTGGATGACTGTTGAAGAGCTTGAAGACTACGCATATTTGATTGAAAAGGTTGGTTTTAGCTAGCTATACAACACATCCGATTTGCCATTTCAGACCAATTCTACAGTTTGGAATCTCTTCTTCTGGAACTTGGTTCTTTCGATTTTCTTATTCCCAATTGTCTTGGCCATTCACTTGGGATGGATTGCTGGTAACGGAGCAAAGCTGGCTTATCGCGTACGCTGAAATTTCCCATTTAAAAAATGTCCTTAAATTTTTTAGGTGGTCCTCTTAATTGGTCTCCTTTTCTGTATTGCTCAATTCCTGCATCTAGTACATCCCGTTTTCTGGGGTGCCGTCCGTTTCCCAGGAATGCTGGATCGTTTGTTCCTTGAAGCATACCCACGCGACCAATATCACATTGACAGTATTCAACGACGATTTGCTTGTGAATTCAAACCACACGACACACTAGTTCAGTTGGATTTGCAACAACCATGTATTCCTAAAATGAAGAACTCCCTTCTGCCAACCTACTCCACCCTTTTGCTTATCTTCATTGACCTATTCCCATTCTTGTTCGGAGCATTCATTTACGCATGGAGTGCATGGATCAAGAACAGTAATGTCGTCAGAACCGCCAGGCAGCGTGTGGAGTTGAACAATTCTAGACGGTTTTTGAAATTTGAACTACCAAACAACAACTAGAAATATTTTCAGAGTACCATTCCCAACCCATAATGTCTACACACCACCGGAACGCAATACCAAGTTGGTCGAAGTGTAAACGAGAATCACCTTTTCACTGTCACACAGATCACAATTGTTTCACCATTCATTTTTCTTTTTTTTTTATTTCCTGATTTTGCATACTCTCTTTCATTTTTCTTGGTTTATTTTCAGTGCCTATATTTTTTATGCTACGCGGTAACAATCACCTTCACCAAATCACAACAATAAAACTTTTTGAAAAATTCAATATAGTTTCAGATCAATAGGGAAACAAGAAGAGAGTACGGCTCCAGAGAAATATTGAATTGCAGATATCAAAATTGAATATGTACAATATGTTTCTTTCGTAATAAAAGACTAATTGTTTAACTTTTTTGTTGTGGTAAATGAGAAAAAAGACAAACAGACTATTTCAACAGAAACTTATTTTCCGGTATTCTTCCTAATCTTCAGATATGTCTCCAGGAGAGTTTTTCTATGAGACCAGTTTGTTCGCCACATCTCGAACGCTTCAAAAGCCTGGCTGGTGCGTCTACGACGCGAGTTCGTCGCTTACATTTAGCTTCTCTTTTTTTTGAAACTTTTTCACATTGAAATACTAATTAAAACCTCAATTTTTCTCAGTGTGCTTTAGACCTCAAAAGTTTTGCGGTAGATCAAATTTGGCCTGACAGATTTTTCCAGTGGGAAACTTTTCTTCTGGGGGAACTGAATACAAAGAAAAAAAAAATCAAAAGAGACACCATTCCATTTATTGATTGTGAAGTTAATAAAAGTCTCGCGGATGTAATCAGTATCCTCTTCTATTCTTCAATTCATCCCGATTCGTTATTACTGTCTTTTCTCTTTCCCGATGATGATTCCATTAAACAAAACGGAACCTTTTTCCCTTTGGCTGGATGACTATTCTCTTTTGTGTCTTTTGCAAATCGAATCGCGTCTCGAGAGGCGCCCAGTTTCATGCGCAATGTGAGAAGTGGACGAAAAAAAAGGATTGTATAGTACTCCACTATTCTATTCTTCATTTTTTTCCCGTAAAATTATATTGTTGTTTAGAAGTAAAAATCGAAGTTTTGAGTTAATCAATTTTGCTACGACAAGCTTCTTTGATTTCAACAACTGTAACACCCCTTTTTTCATAGTTCTTATTATAAGAGTCCTTCCGTTAGGTGTTTGGAAAACTAGAGTAGTCTCCTAAGGTTTTGTGATATTGGTACATCCTCATGGATTTTGAAGAAGAATAAACCAATTTTAAAATAAGATGTCTCAGAGAAATACACTGGAAGGGTCCCTTCTAATGGAAGTGTCCAAATAAGAGTGTATAATGGCTGAGGTACGTGGCTGTGAAGCTTGATTAATGTTTTTTTGACCGTTTACCATTAAACTATCCAAAAATAATTATATTGCCTTCCTTAAAAACACATTAAAAAGTATAAGAACTATAGGTTATTTTTTGATGAAACAGTAAAGTTTAAATAATTTAACGGATCTTGGTTTGCGATTCAAACTCTTCACAATTTGAATGAAGAGCAACCCCGTGTATAACCTGATCTACCTTCCAATCTCCTTCACTTCCTCCAGCCATAAGACTATGCAAATAGTGAACGATCACACGTTGTTGTTGTTCAATTCGTTTTCCTCTCTAAACCTCTCTTAATTCAAAACACTTTCTTTGTTAAATCTGCGCGCACATGTACCTCGCATCTCCAATCATTTGATCATTTCTCCCAATTTTTCATTTCTTCGGTGATAAGGAAAACTGTTTCTCTTGAGCACTGATAACATGTTAACTCTAGCAGACTAACCAGCAAAAGATTTCTAGTAGGTCATATTCGAATTCACATTTAAGAAATTCGCGGCAAACAAAATGGGCAATCAGAATAAAAATTCAAATAAGGAGTTTACTTCTGCGTTTTCTTTGTTTTTTTTTTACTTGTTTAAGCTTTTCGTGATCTTGGCAAATGTAAATTAAAACTTTTGAGAGCCAGAATTCTTGTTTTCGTCTATCCTACAATTTTTCATACAATTTTTCTCTATTATGTCTAACAAGGCGCTGTTTACTTCCTTCTTTTTTATTAACATGGAGCAGCTCTCAATATACGAATGATATTGTCAGGTCTGAGCATGTGACATTTCAAGTAAACTGCTAAACGTTATTTTTTGTAATTTTTAGGCTTTGCTCAAAATCAGGAGTTGAAATATATAGGTATGTAAGGTTTTATTATAGATTCACACATCTTGAGATTCTTATATTCTTTGGGGTTTCAGATTCTTCGAGTTCTTAGCTTCTTAAATATTAGATTTTCTTTTTTTCCGTACATTAAGATTCCTAGATTTTTAGGAAATTAGTTTTGAAGCATAGAATCCAGTACACAGTTTCCAAAATGTCATGTTTATTGAGTTCATAGACTCTTTTAATTTCCTAGTCAGCTTTTCTAAGGTTTAGATTCAATTCCATTGATTTGAACCCCAATTCCTCTTCCGACACCTACAAACTAACTCGGATATCTATTTTTGTCGCCTTCTTCCCACCTGAAGTTTGCTCTCCCATACCAATTCGGAAATCCCCTCTTCTCTCTTTTTTCTATTCACCTGGCAGTTTGAATACTCGGAAATTGGTTGCCTTTGCTCTGTGCAACTTGCGTTTCCGTCTCTCTCAATTGTTGCCATAGTCACCCAACCCACACGTTTCATGCTTTGTTGTTTTGAGAGTATCTCATCTTGTCGTCATTAGATCTTCTCTCGAAAAGTACTGTTACCATGGAACCCAGCCATGAAAGGCTCCACTTGATTTGGCGGTGTTGAACTCTTGATTCAAACGAGACATTTATTCGAAATTATTTATTCGACTATATTCGACCCCATAAAAGGGCACCTGCCTAATCTCAGGTCGGATGCCTTCATAACAATGGTATCATAAATACCGATCTAAACCTTCTCTCAACCGTTCCTCTCTTAATAAACGGATCAGCTGTCTGTCTCTGTATTCATCCTTCTCCAAAACCTCATCCTTCCATTCACTATTTTCGTTCATTTCCTGTTGCCACCCGCCTGTCTTTTCGTCTCCGCGCGCGCTCTTCCGCAGCCTTCCCGCACAGTCATCGTCACAGTTTTCTCTGTTTCTCCTACTCTTCCAGTAGCCTCTTTTCTGATTGTTTTGTCCTGTCTTTTTCCTCTTCTTTGCCTATATTAGGCAGATTCTGCCCTCGGTGTTTCTCTCGTTGTTCTCTAATGTACTCTGACCGAGGACGTCTACTTCATACTGTTTCCTCATCTCCCAACGCCTAATTGTAGAAGGCTGTCCCTAGTTTTCAACACACACACAACACGTCTTCTACTTTTCTAACTTTTTTGTGACCTCTTTTTGAGTTTTTTGTTCCCAGGCAGCTCGAAGAAACCATTACTCACTTTCCCAGAAGTCAGCTGGTCTCTGAGAATTCATGTGAAATGATTAGTCAGGAGGAGTGTAGCTTCTACACGAACCTTCTGACGAGACCTCATTATTTTGTTTCAGTTGAAAAACTTTGATAAATGCAATTCCGTTGACTGGTTTTTTTCGTTCACAGTTTGCCTCCGTCAGTCCTCCGTTTACTCGATTCTTTTGTCTTTTCGTTTGAAATGTACACAAAATTCTTTGGTTTTTTTTTGTTATTTGTCCTGAATTTCTTTGGGTTCTCATTTTCCAAAAGGGTCTTTGGGCGTTATTATTTTCGTTCAGGGAATAACATATTTAGAGATCTTCCGATTTTCATAAAACAGATCCTATGCAAAATTTATAGCTATTTTTTTGTAGTACTCTGAACATCCTTTCCTGACATGGGGACTAGGAAATGGTATTTTTTAAAGTCCACCGCAAAAGTGTTTTAACTATGAATTTTTTTTCTGTAAAATTTCATGGAAAACAAAAAACTTTAGCTTAAAAGCAAGCTTATAGAAAATTTCATAAAATTCTATAGTTCTGTGAAATGTGAAAGTTCTCCAAAAACTTTGGGATTTTTCTTGGAGTCCAAATCTCAAGAACAACCTTATTTTCCACTGGTTTATGAAATGTGTTTACATGATAATTTTCTAGGTAGGGTTACATATGGCCTAGTTTTGGACTTCTAGGTCAAAAAATCGTGGACGGACGAGCGACGGACCACCGGCTGCAGAGAGGCGCTCCTCATTCGGCCCGTAACTCAACTATTTTTGACTCGAGGGTCTTGGAATTTTGTCAGAGTATTAAGCATAATACAATTAATAATCTACTCCATTTTCAAAACTTTAGACTATCTGTAACTCCAGCTATGCCCTGAACGGACGTGACGCGGATGACTGGTGGCTGAGGGCCGTAACTTGGCTAATTTTGGAAAACAATCTTAATTCTGAACTTTTCTAGTTGTTCTGCTATAATTGTCAGCTTCATAACTCTCTTTCTCCCAGTTTCCATTATTCTGCTTCTCCTTCCCCTGCTTCCAGTTTTCAACCCAGATAAAATCTCAGTTTATACAATAGGGCGTCCAATCGGACAGACAGAATTGAATATTACACTTTTATCCACTCCTTACTACTCTCTTTGCCCACACAGAGAATATTATAAGCACGATGAATCACCTCCTCCAAAAATTCTCTTTTGCTGAACCGTACAAACATTGCTGCTTTTCCTTCTTCTTCTTTCATATTTTTCCCACCCACTATCTTCTATCTTTTTTTCCGTCCGTACGCTTTGTCATACACACTTTCCGTACTACATGTGTATGGTTATGGTTGAGGTGAGGTGCTATTGTACGTTCCGTTTTATCACATTTTGGTTGTAGTACTATAGATGTCGCGTGCCAATTTTGAAAACAAACAATCGAGGTCTATTAGCGCTATATTGATAATCCGATTAGGTTGGAGATATAAAGGACCCAACTTGGCGACTTATGATTATTCATCTAAAACACGATTTGCGTTTTCTTTCTCCCAATTTTGCTCATCAATTTTCCAATATTAAAACCTCCTCTCCAATTTCTTTTAATTTCTGTTTGATGCTCACATTCCATTTTCTTCTGTCTATTTTCCAATTGGGGACCCTAGGAGGGGAAGCCAAGTAAAAAAGTAATGGAATATTCAATTAGATAGGCACGACTCTCCATTTATGTTTCTCCTTTTTTCATAACCTCTTTTCTAGTAAATTTGATCTTCAGTCTATTGGAAATATCCCTACCCCACCGAGGGCTTTGTAACCGTCCTAAACCCTATAACGATTTGGTATAAAAACCGTCAAAAAACGCGTTTCATCTCTCGTCCCTCCTTTCCTTTTTTGCCTATTCCATTCCGAATAGAAAACATAAAACCACACACATTCACCCACCGATTGTTTCTCCTCGTTTCCCTCTTTTTTTCTCAATTTCCTTTTTCCTATTTCATATTCCTCAATTTCCTTTTCCCATCTCTCCCTTTACTGGTGTTTTGTCAGCTTTCGAGTCTAATCATTTTCCAGCTTCCATCACCTGAATGCCCACGTGTATTCAGCCGGCGTCATCGTCCATCGGCGGTTTTGGCAAGGCCGACGACAATGTTCGAATTCTACTGATGGCGTCGGTTCGGAATGAGTTCGGAGACTCTTCAGTTTTCTCTCGACTCGGTGTCACTTCACTTGGACAGCACTATGTCTTGGTGACAAGGAAGAAGGTGTTTGGAGGATATACGGTTGGTTTTTGATTTTGTAGAAGAAAAAAAAACATCTGCTGCTTAGAAAAAACTTCTATTTTCAGACACACATGATCACTGCCAACATGAGGAATCGACCATTCATCTCTGAACCGTTCAAAGTTTCCATTGGATCTCAATCGGCTGAGGAGTCCCGGGATCTTATAAGCCGTCTCACAGCTGCTCTCAGTCGCCCGGGGATGTTTAGCTTCGATGATGCTCCGGCTGGATGTCAATTCCCAGTTGGAAAGGAATGGATTCAGTTGGATGAAGTTCCAGTTGACGTGCATAACCATCAGGACAAGTACCTTGAGAAAGGTGATGAGATATTTTGCGAAGTCAATGTTTCGGGTGTCAAGTTTTATCACACTGGCATATATGCAGGAGATGGAATGGTTTACCACTTTGTTTGTGATGCTCGTAAGTTTATCATTAGGCATGTTCTCTTTTCCAAATACCTCGTTTCCAGAAGAATCAGAGTCGTTGGCCGAGGCGCTATCCGTCTTCAGTGGAGCATCCGCTCATGTTGTCTACGACACCTGGTTCGAGTATGTTTATGCACTGGTTGAGGTGTCAGATGTGCCACCAAGAGTGTTCAGAGCTTCGCATCCGTTAATTTGTCGATCCGGAGATCAGGTAATAATATACTGCTGTTGCCCTCAAATTTTGGGCTGGAGTCGAGCGGCTTCCGGGCTACTGTAGGGCGGGTTTCGGTTTAGTTTTCTGTGTGGTGCCTGCCAAACGACCGCTCTAATTGTAAAGACGCTCAATTTTCACTCATCGGCGCCTTCGGTTTCCTTCTGCTTTTGTGTACTTTGAAACAATTTGAATTTTTGGAAGACACAGTAAAAAATATTTATTGGCATAAAAATGCAATAACCACATGTACAAGTTAAGAGAAAAAGACGAAGCAAATTGATTCACAGAACTTGAATATTCCTCCGATTATTGACAGTTCTCAATTTTTATTTTCGTCGTTCGCTTTGTCGGAATCTACCAGAATTTAGTTTAGACGCTCAGACGGATTGATAACGTCCCTAACTGTTGTTACCTCTGCTTTCTGAACATCTGATTCCATGATCATCTGTTGTTCAAATAACTTCTTACATCTTTCGTCTAGAAGTTGCCAAAATTAGGTTCACAGTCATTCAATTGAATCTTTCAAATTTGTTGCTTCAATTATTTAATTTTGATTCCTTTCCGATGTTCAGTAGATATTTACCTAGAAATAACTATTTTTTCTGATCAGAAAGTACTAAAAGTACTGCCCAACCTTCGCAAAACCTTCGCCGAGGTGGTAGTGGTGGACGGAGATGCCGTCGATCTTGGTGGCTAATCCTAAACGTCCGCCTCAAAGTCGCCCTATTTTCGCTCTAAAGTTGCAGGTCACAAACGAGAATTATTTTTTTCCAGATTGTGAAGTATGCTGAAAACCTGCAACGAGAGCTAGAGACCTACGATATTCGGCGCTGCAACTGCCAACACTTCACTTCTGAATGCACTTCTGGAGTTGCATTCTCCTATGACATGACCTCGAATTTCAAATATTTTGCATGCTCGGTCTTGAAGCCAACCTCAACTGTCGTCAACGCTATGACCAGATCGAATAGGGATCGATCCAGTTTTGCAAGCAGCAGCACATCCTCATAGAACCCCATGTAGAACTACTACACTGTAAATAGTGGTACCCTTACTGTAAATAGTGGTATTTTCTTTCTTTGTCATTTTTACTATCTATGTTGTTATTTCCTTTTTCTTTGATATTGTCATCGGGTGTAGAACTTCCTCCTCTTCCACAAACTTTAAAAATAGTCAAATCGTACCATCTCAGGATTTGTGATTCTCCTTTAATTTATTTGAACCAAGAACATTCAGAATTCCATCTGAATACAAAAAAAACCTCAAACAAGAAATCAGTATAAACTTTGACACCTTTCGATTATCTCATATGTACTTTCTCTTTTTCATGCTCTACTTTCTCATCTTTTTTTGGGACACTTCTGTTTGTTCAATGAAATTGATTTTCAAAAACTGCTGATCCATTAAAAGTCTCCGTTTCTACGGTATTTGACAGTTCTATGATATTAGAATGCTTGATTTTTGGTTTTGGGATGTGTCAAAACATTCAAAACATTATTTATTCTTTCACACACAAAATAATACTTTTTGAATGCGGAATTTGAAGAGTTTGGATTGAGTCGTGAGCAATCGTACATAGTACATACTGTTTTTCGGAGGGAAAGTTCAAAACGGGAAGGGGGGACATCTCTGGTCAGGGAGACGGTTGGAAGACAAAGAGAACTGAAAGAGCGAGATGAGAAAAAAGAAGAGAAGAATGAATTAATAAGTTCAAGATTGATTAAGAAGGTGACGTTGAGCCAAGAGTCGTGTACATCCAGCCTTTTGTCTGGAATTTTAGAATTTAAGTTATTTTCCCAACCCATAAGCTAAAAATTACCTATAGTTTGGAAGCACTCGGAATGGCTGCCCGTGTCCTGGAACTATCCAATCGGCCATGCAAACAATCAGATTCGCATTTTGTCTCTTGATAGCATTATCCCATACACCTTCCTCCACCATAACGTCTCTCTGAAAAAAGAAACTATAAATTTATAGGATCCTCCATTGTTCTACCTTTTCGCTCAACAAATGTTCGCTTGGAATCAAATCTCCAACAATAGCCATAGTACCATAACCAGCAACATTTTGTACCAGAACTGACAAATCGTGTTGAGTGTGTCCGGGTGTCTTCCAGACCTCAACGTTTCCAGACAACTTGCGATATGGTCTCTCCTTCAATTCAGTTGGTGTGACATGACGACCGATGTATTCCATCGAGTGATACAAGATTGGTTTTTGGGCGAAGAAATTCATGTTTCCCATGTGACCCGGTGATGCGTGAGTTATGACAACACTGTCGATTTGGTCAAGAGTCACGGACTCTTTGGCGAGACCTGAAAATGTCATTTTTGAGATAAACAGTCCGATTGTGGTAAAATAAATGGGAAAAATGCGCTCTAATAAGAACCTGGTTAGTAACAGTGCTCAGATGAAAGTGGTGAACGAGGCTGCAGGATCCAAAGAATTCTCCCTTGAATCCGGAGACAGGATTCGTCCATTGCTATTGGCCATTGAAGACTTCTTTGGTTGAGGTTGATCCTTTTTCTTCTTCTGATCCTTCTTCTGGTCTCGTTTTGCCAGTTTCTTCAACGCTTTCTCGCAAAGCCTCTCTAATTCATCTTCTCTTATTTGGCGGTAGATGTTAATTAAGAGAACCAGAAGCCATCCTTGAGCCATTGAAAGACCAGTTGATATCCCAACGATTACAAGACATGCCATATCGATTACTGCTCGATGGTCATAGTATTCCGCATTGAATCCGCGAGCAATAGAATTTCCAATTATTGGAGAATTAGAAGAAACGAAAAAAGCGAGAATCAGTGTGAGAGCAACGCAAATGAGCACTGTGGTTCCTTTGAGAACGATTTTGGGGACTAGCCATGAGGATCGTTGTCGTGCCAAACCATACCAGCAAGCAAGAATACAAAGAATATGCACAGCATACAAAACTCCAATAGAGGAGACTGCTGCTGTTGCGAAAAAGTTGAATCCGTAGAGTTGCAAAAATTGGACGGATTTCAAAAAGGTGCCAGTTAGAAACAGAAAATCGAAAATTCCAATACACAGTCCAACGGTTCGCGTCCGGACCGGAGAGCACCACGGCGACATTGGTTCCATTTCGAGTTCGCTTATTTCGAGTTTCATCTGAATTTCTCTCTCCAGGGACTGGTGCGTTATTTAATAAGGAAACGTAGGCAACAAAACAGGCGGAGCTACACTAGACAAAATAGAGAGAATAGAAGAAGAAAGTGATGAATGGATATAGGAAGAGTGGATAAAGTTGCTAAAATTGAATTTGCCTGCCCGATCCGATGAAAAGGAGACGAAAAGAAAAAGAAAAGGAAGCAGGTCCTCTTTTCTATGGAACATTTTTCTGACATCATGCTAATACTGGGGGTTTTCCCTAGTTTCAAAACAATTCCATTTTTTTAACATCAAGAAAATGAGCCAGATGAGATGCGGTGCCTGAGTAGCCATAAAGCCCATCAACCCCTTTGGGTGGACATGTCATCTCAAATTAGAGAACGAGATGTCTTGTGCCCATACACTGGAGACGTGCGAAGGAGAAATGACAATAAAAACCGAAACTAAATCGAAAAGTGAATGTGTGCAAGTGTGTGTGCATAAACTGAATTCAAAGCAGAAAAAGGCGAAAAGAAGACCAAGGCAGAGAGTCATCGAATTGAATTACTCAAAAAGATGAAGCAGTCTTGAAAGAAAAGGATGTGAGAGAGTGGAAGAAGAAAGAAATAAATTGGGTTGAGATTGGGCTTTTGGTCCGCTGAGTTTCTGTTTAGAGCGCATTTGTGAGACATGCAGGTCATAAAAAAGCTCAACTAACTATGTAACAATCTCTCGGTATCACTGCTAGCTCCAGTGTCAATTAGAACGATGTATCCATTATCATTGACGAGAGTGATAGCTCCGACGGCTTCCGCTTGACCATCCTAAAATTTCTTGAATGCAAAACATTGAAAATCAAAACAACATACTCTCAATGGTCTGACAGATCCGGCTTGAAGGACAGTAACATTCACAAAGCTTTTTGGTTCAACAGTAGAAGTCCATAACTTGGCCCAGGAATTAATCTTTGGAGTTGTGGTAGTTGGTTCAGTGGTGGTAGTTGTAGTGGTTGGCTCCGTAGTTGTTGTTGGTTCTGTGGTTGTGGTTGTTGGGGTAGTTGTAGTTGTAGTTGTTGTGGTGGTTGTAGTCGTTGGCTCTGGGGTGGTCGTGGTAGTTGGCTCTGAGGTGGATGTCTTTTGGAGAGCCTTTTCAGCAGAGATTCTATTGTAGGTTGGCCAGGCGGTACGATCCTTGATGTACCATGGTGCTTTGCGGGATGTTGCTGTTGGAATTGGTTGGGATGGAGCGGCTGTTGGTGTCACTGTGCTCCAAGTAAGTGGGAGACGTTGGGTTGGACGAGCTAAAATTATTAAATGAAATAAGTTGGAATTGATGACAGAAGCTTTTAACATAATAATCGTTTTTGCTGTTTTAATTAATGTTAGCTTTTTCTTCAAAACTGAATTTCAAAACCGTGCAACTCAATTAACATAAAATTAAGAGAAACACTGAACCTGGTCTTCCGTTTGGAACGATTCCACGTCGAGTGTCTTTACAGCAAATCGATCTTCCGAGTTTCACAGACTGATCACATAGATATCCAACTGGACAATCTCCTAGAGATGCAGGACGACAATATGCAAAGTCATTGGCCAGAATGAGAGGTTCGGCAAAGAATGGACAGACTGGAAATGAGATAGAAGTTGTTGTGAAAAGTGTTGTTGAGAGTAAAAAACATAGTTTATGATTATTAGAGGAAATGAATATAACAGTGCATATTAGTAATTCAGGTAATTGTACAGTTTCTAACCTATTCGCGTGCACTCACTTGAGAAATTGAAACTTGATATATTAGATTCGCTCGAAATTTCTGATTGTTTGTGGTCAATTCATAACGCATCGGCGCATCCCTCGATTGAGGGGAGGAAGAGGGGAATAGGGTAAAAGAAATCCAATACATAAGATCACGATCGAACAACTTGTATGCATACCCCAAGAGAAGAGAGCTAGCTCCTTACAACTAGAGTTTGTTTTTCACACGCTCACACTGGCTCTATTTCTAAATCTAGAGAAAACATGGGAGTGTTATCAAGTGACATCATTTCTTCTTATATCACACTTTGATAAGGTTTGACATGAGTGATTGTTTGAATTGGGATCATTTTTTGGAAGATCCCAATGTTCTCACCCTTCCGATGATCAGAAAGAGGAGGGAGACAGTTCACGCACGATCAGCAATCATTCGCAAAGGGGTTCTATCACTAGCGCAAACATAGAGCATCCTCCCGACGGGGGGTGAGACTGTTAACACCTAATTAGTCCACACAAAGTTCTTACCGTCACGACTGTGGGATTTTGGCTCAGGAGTCGTTGGAGCTTCGGTTGTGGTTTCAGTAGTAGCTTCTGTCGTTTTTTCAGCACCCCATCCGAAGAGTCTGGAAGCAGAGCTGAATATTATTAGGGGTAAGTCCCCGGTCTCTGACAAGGGAAATGTATAAAAGCTTTATAGAAGGAGAAATTTTCCCAGAGAAAAAAAAATAGAAGAGGTACTGTATATAAAAATTATCAGAGGTGCTGATATTTTGACTATTTTTGGCTCATAATGAGATAGAAATTATAAAACAAACCTCAAAATACTTCCAGCCAAATCGTTTTGCCCATTCAGGCTCTCTCTGTTATTGAGAATCCACTGTCTCAACTGTTCAGTTGTAGCTCCATGAGTGCCACTGATTAATAATACAGTAGCAAGGAAGAATAACTTCATTTTGTTCGTTGAATAAAGAATAACTGAAAGAATATATGAACAGAATATATAGTTAACGAAGTGGGACGCACTACTGATGGAAGCACACCTCGATCTCGCCGGTTATATGTGGGGAGTTTTTTCTGTGAAGTTCTTCTCTCTTCTGTTTCGATGGGGATAATGATGAGAGGGAGTGATGGAGGGTGGGGTCAAAAGTGAACCGCTCCCGACCGCGCGGAAAAAGAAGCTCCCTGTGCAAAATGGGCGGCGCTTACGGTTTGATGGCGGTCACTCTTTGTATGTGTGTGCACAAGCTTGTCGCCCCCTCCGTGATCCTCGGCGTTCGTTTCTCACACTTTTGTATTCTTCGCGCGCTCCGTTTTGCAGAGAGGATTTAGAATGAAGAATGCGACAGGTTAAGGATATCGAGAGGAAGATATAGGGAAACATCGTTTTAAATAAAAAACTATTGTTTTACAAGATTTTCAATAAAACGATTTTCAATAAAAAAGTTGATGGTAGAAAAAGTTCGGTCGTACAGTACTGTGTATCTTTCCAAAAGGTCAGGGAAACTACATTATTGAGATTAAAGATAGAAAAAAATTAGGTTAATAATCGCTGAATGAAGTTGTGTCTGATACATTGCCTGGAATACTTCCAAAAAAAAGGGGATGCTTCACCAAAAACATAAAATTTTTGAGTTTGGCAATTCACAAAAAAATCAACCCAAACTGTAATTCGAAAATATTGATCTTCATTCCCGAGACTATAAAACTCGGTGCTTTAACTAGCAAAGCTCTGTTCACCTCTTTACAAAATCTCTTGGAAACGAAACTAGTTAGAATCAAACTAAATCTGGCATTCTATGTACATTCCTGGAAGACGGCAAACTTTTCAACTGATATCAAATTCGCATGTTTGCTTATCTGGTCAGAACTTCTGGTCAGAAGTTGAAGAGGTTTTTGGACGAATATTGGCTATATTCTGGTCTGAATTTGTTAAAAAACGGCTGTACAGCGGGTCATGGTCAGATTTTGGTCGGAAGTTCAAGGTTGAGATACTGGTAGGTCGGAACCTTTTCATAAGTTTGCCGGAGTTTTGTAGGCTTCAGTAGCAGTCTTATATCTGACCAACCCCCGACCAGTACTTTCAGCGATGCCCGAGAAGAATCATAAAACGAATAAAAAGTCCTTCCCAATTTTTTCCTATATCCTATATATTAAAGATCTGTAGTTTTTTTTTCCAGATGCACATGAATTAGAAGTGCCATAAAGGGTCACTATGTAAGTTTCATCCGTTCGCTCCACTCCCTATCATCTCACACGAGTTCGTTCTCTCTTTATTTATTTACAAAACAACTTTTCCGCGGGCGCGCGCGAGAACTCTTCTTTCGTATCCTTTTGTTGCCGCCGAAGATTCTTCATTCTCGCCCCGCCAGAACTATTTTTTCATTACAGAAGTTCTTGGATCATCATTCGAGAGCTGCAGTGCACGATGCGACGCTGAAAAAAGAAAATTGAGGGAGTTCATTTTTTTAGAAAAGGGGATTGAAAAGAGATGCGAGAATTGAAAAGTGGGGCACAAGACACATTAAAAAAGAATTAAAAAATGTTCTGATTCGGGATTTATGAAAATATTTTAAAACAACGGAGTAGATGTATTCTCAAAAAATTTATGGGTTCTAGTTTATCATCGCGCACGATTTCAATATGTACCGTAACCTGTAATAGGAAGGCCCTTAACTTTTTACTTTACCAGTTTATCTTCGTTTCTGATAAAGATAAAAAAGTTGTCAACTTATAAATTGTTTATCATAGTGTCACAAACATTATATCAGTTGACGCATTTTTGTTAGCTTTAACAGCAACCAAGATAAATGAGCCGAAACTTGACAGTGGGGTTCTTTCTTTTACAGGCTTTACAGTATTTCAACTTTTTAAAAAATTGTAAAAAAAAACGTTCAACGTAGATCTTTCTTGGCTCACGACTTTCATTATCTGTATATCATCCACATAACGACGTCTTCTATCTCGGTCTTCCTCCCCACCATTTTTTCGAAAGCTGGTCAAGACACACCTGTTCCATCGACATTCTCCATCGACATTCTCCGATCTGTGCCCAATCTCTGCAGGGCGATTCAATTGAAAACCCACGCATTCATTGTGTGTTTCCCTGTAATGTTGCACCTTCTTTGGGATCTCGAATCATCACCCTCTCTCTCCCTCTCTCTCTCTTTCTTTCTGTGTTCTTCATATTGTTTCTATTTGTATATACACACACCAGGAGCTGCGTCTTCCCTGACCTCTCTGTGTATGAGCATCGAAATTGACAATGAAAATCTGAGAGGAGAAGGTGTTTACACTTCATGCAAGAAGTACCTCTACAACAACTAGTCAGTTCAAATAGGAACTGTAGCCGCCAAAAGAGTCACGGAGACACTGCAATTCACGCTGTGGTATGGTGGGGAAACTTTTTGATCCACCGGTATAGTGGAGTCGGGTAAACTTTGGAAAGCATGAAGACGGACATTATATGGAAAAATTTAACCAAGATACACAAACCACTTTAACGATGTCGATTCTGTCACAGATGGAAAATCTCGGGATCAAAGTTTCTACTGTTAGGGTACCAGAAAAAACATCTGGGGGAATTTTCTGCAGTTTGAATCTTTGCAAAGTTAAAAAGCCTTTATGAAAACTACAATGAACCGTGAATATGAAAACTTGATTTTTCAGATCTCTCAAATTTTTCGAATTGGTGAGACTGGCTTTAGTCGAATTTTTTCCGACAAAAATTGATTTTCAGAAAACGTCCCTTCAATGCATCAGATTTTAACTAAATCTATTTTTAAATTTAAACTGTTGTACCCAATGCCAACATGTGTTGTGTCAGAGATAATCGCGCACACAACTTATGAAGCATGATCAATTGATTATGATTTCTGATGGTTGTTGCGCTTCGGGAAAGCCTTCCCTTTGTTTTGTTCTTCTTGTCTGTTCACGCTTTCTTGTGGTGCTCCCTGGTGTTATCATTTATTTTGTGTGATCTTCGACTAATCTGCACAGTTGCCGTTTTTCAAACAAAACACACATGTTTTGGGGGCACAAGACACGGTTTTCCCTAGTGCCGAATCGAATTCATAAGAAATCAGGCTTCGAAGAATTGCTATGAACGTCACCGGACCGTCCGATCCGGCTTGTCTACTTAATCGACGTTTTCAAACTCTCTGTACATGAACTAGTATTTCTTAATGAATTCGTCCAAGTTTTATGATTTGGGTTGTAAGGCATTTGGAAACCAAACAACCGATTATGATCTTATCCAAATCTAGGGCCTTCTAGCTAATAGGAAGAAATAATGGGTCTAGGGCTGTGCTCCATTCAGAAAATTAAGCATAAGTCTTCAAAACTAAAAGTTTTAATAAATGGGTTTTTGGGGACATTACTTGAATGTCCTGTAACCCTCTAAAAAGTTGGCTGAGCCGTGGAGGCCAACGGATATATACTATTTCCTCACATATTCAGGTTAGTTTGCAACAATCTACACTTCGTTCTTTATTTTCTTCCGTTCACCGGTTTCCGCGACCCTCGGATTACCGGAACATCATTGTCGTGCTAATGCTCAGAGCTAAGATGATGTCTAGGTAAACAGGGTCAATCTCATTGTGTCACATCTTTGCCTGTGTTGACTCCCTCATAGGGGAATCCTACTGTTGTTGTTGGAAAGAGGGATGTACTCTTTTTCATTGTGTTCAATCAAATTCAGAACACAAAAACCAAAATTTTCTTCAGTGCAGATGCAGGGTAGTCTTTGCTCTAGGCCCTCCTGTTTACTGTTTTGTTTGTCGGTGAAACACATACACATACAAACATTCAATGAATTTTCGCCCTCAGTACTTGAATATTTTTTGCTTGTATTAATGTGGGAGGTACACCCGATGAGCCATATTGAGACAAGGGTATTCGTTCGGAAATAGAACACGAAACCATTTGAAATTTGTGAATTGTTTTGAATTAACTGGGAAATGATGATGTCATGATGGAAGATTTTAAAAGTTAGCAAAGCAGTGAAAATCACTATTCTGATAATAGAATTTCTGAGGTTGAGCTAAACATTATTTGATTTTTAAATTTCTCTGTCGACTTCTCAAAGCGGAAGTTCGCTTCGTAGAATTCTTCAATTTTTCTAGATTCAAATGGAATCTAAGAAATGCATTTTTCAGATGTTTTGTCTGGAAAACCGAAACTTCTAGCAATAAGAATGTTTAACAAACGTTTGACTCCCTTTGAATTAGTATCTTCAAAGTCGTAGACATTCACTGATGACTTGAAAGCCTGTCGCTACTCATTACCGCGGTAGTCCCAGACTTCCAAGAATCAAAACAAAGAAAGATGGAGCTTCTTCTTTTTGCCTCGCTGCTAAATACCTTTTCCTCCGCAATGGTCGTTTGCCCATCAAACGAAAAAAAAAGAAGACGTCCTTCTTCAGAAACCTCTAGGAGTGTCCCGGTCGTGTGCTCCCGAATATTATATCAAGTGGCTCTGGAGCACACTGCTATGCTGCCTCCGAAAAAGCTCATAACTTTCTCGCCACGCCCATATTCTTGGGGTCCCGGTCCCCCGGAGCGCCTGGTCCAAGGGTCCATTCAATTCTTCCACTCCCCAGGCGACATCAAAACCCGTTTTGGTCACTATTTTTTGTTCATTTTCTTGTTTTTGGGTGTTCATTCTGTCACACAGAATGACCCTCTTTATCTCCGTTCCAGTTTGGGTTTAATGTGTCTTCAGAAAAATAGGTCTCTTTGAAAAAATTAAGATTAGTCTAGCAGTTTTAAGATGTATACTGTTCTGAAATGTTTTAGCCGCATATAGGCTACCGTAACCCGAGACGTTCATCTTTCTCGAACTTCTGTATCTCTTTCTTACATCACATCAATTTTTAAAAGTTTTTATTGAATAGACATGCTCCACCAGCACCTGCCTCCGAAATAAATATAACTTCCGGAATCTGCCCAATTTATAAAGTCTAGAAGCAGCATAAGCAGTCAACCAATTTTCTCATTTCAACAGAAAGCAACACTTTTTTGGCTCTCTCTCTCTCTCTCTCTTTCTTCGTTTTTCAACACCTCAAAGATAAACAAGCTTTTGGAAAAAGCAGGAGAGCTGCTTTCAGGGGGCAATTACCTCAAAGTGAGAAAGAGGAAAAGGAACACAGACCTTGTCTTCTGAGATGTTGTGTGGTGAGAAGAAGACGAAGTAGAAGAAGAGGCATAAAGTCGATTAGCGGTCGCCTAACAGCCTTCTTTTTTGTTCTCTCGTGGGAGCCCTTTTCAACTTTTTTTCGAGAATGTACCAAAGTGCAATTAAGCAATAAATTGTGCAACATTTGTTTGATGTTGTTGTTTCTTAAAACTGGCAAATACCGTCCCGTAAAATTCGTTAAAGTTATGAGTTCCAAAAATAGGTAGATTACCTGAAAAAGTTCATCGAAATAAGAGGACTTCTTCAGGAATCTGAAAATTACAAACTTAGTTGGTATTTGGTTTCAAATGTATTCTGTGAATGTTGCAAATTCGAAGTCTTAATTATGATCAGGCCGATTTTTTTAAATATATTTTCGCCATCAGATAAGACATGTGACCCTGAAGAAATTCCATGAAATAGTCGTCAGCCAAAGTTATAGATCCAGATACCGTATTTCCTCTAATAGAAGCCCACCTCTATTTGATGCCCACTTCTGATAGAAGCCAACCTTCCGACGTGCTTAAAAACACAGATGCGTACCATCTAACAGAAGTTCGCGCAGCTCAGTTCGTGCAGTTTGTACAGTGCAGTTCGTCTATTCGGTCATTGCAGCAATATTCTTTCTATTTCAAAAAATTTCTGGTAATTTCAGTCTTTGCTAATTTTTTGATAAGGAGATTGAAAATAGAAGCCCTTGGGCTTCAATTAGAAAAAATACGGTATGTCTATTACATTTTAAAGACCCTAGATCTCGCTAATAAGCCTCCAACATGAAATTTGTAAAACGCTTTTCTTTTTCTGGATTCATAAATTCCAGAAACTCAAAAAATTTTTTTTAGAACTCTTTCTCAATGCTCAAAGTGTTATGATTCGGCGTAGCTTCATTCAAATTCTATTCTATCTAACAGGTAGCTCAGTTTCTACAGTCTTCTATCATGCATTTTTCATTATTTCAGTATTATTCCGTTCCACTTGGAGCTCTTTCCCGGGTGGAAACTGCATAGAACCATGTATTGCTGAGATGCAACAGGTAAGATTTTGGAATTATTATCACTTGTGTGCTTTTCGCTTTTTTTCATCCCGTCTTCAATTTTCTTTGATAATTGTTTAATCACTAATCTCCACTCGCACTTTGCCATGTGTTGTGTCGCCTATTCCAGTCACTCGAAGCAACTCCACTGCTGCAGAGCGAACAGTTGGGACAGTTGAGTCTGAGTTCTCTGGTTTCCACGTCTTCTAATAAAGAGTTAACGGAGAGAAGCTTCTACGATATATGCCAGTGAGTAACAAACATTTTTAGAGAGGGAGAGAGATTGAAAAAAAAAATACATTTTCCGATTTTTCCACTTTCTCCAAGTACCCATTCTCTCCTTGACACGCCACCATCTTCTACCTCTTTACAAAACCTTGTTTCGTTTTTCTTCCAGAGCCTATACACGTGTCGATTTGTGCCTTCACTCATGCGAAAAGGTGTCGCAACACTCGGCAAGCATTCGAAAAACCTACGCAGGCATACGATTCATTTGTGTGGAGCATCGAGAAGGTGAGAATGAAGTTAAGAAAAAAAAGAAGGCGTTGGGTTAGTTAGAAGACGTCATTGTTAGAAGGGGGTCTTCTGAATAATTGACACAAAAAGAGGTTAAAGAAGAGGAAGAAGATGCGATGTGGGAAAAAAGAGAAAATAATGGGTAGAGATTAGGTAGGGAGAAGCAATTGAAACGAGGTTAAGAAATTTTGAAGTGCAACTTTTGGAATTGTTATTTGGTATTTATGCACAGAACGGAGATGCTCAAGTTGAACTTTCTGAAGTGAAACAATAAGTGGGGTCCATCATCGTATATTTGAATACTGTTACTTGAATGCTGTAAAATAGTGAACAACGAAACATTTATTAGGAGCCCAGAGTTGTTAGCTGAAATTAGACTGTCTGGAAACTATAAGACCACGGGAATTATTCTATACCTTGGAGTCATTAGTCATCTCATCAACTGAATGTCGCATGTCACTTTGCCTTCCTCTTTCTCTCTAGTGTCCTGTCTTTGCTCTTCCTCATGGGATTTGTTGATATGCCTGACACTTTGATTTACTAACACCCTCAACACTACGAAGTCAGGTTCTGGAGCTTTTTGGTTATCCTTTTTGGTGATGGGGGCAAAGGGAAAATAAGACGGGGAGGAGAAGTACGCGCAAACGAAACCCACAAAAATGTCAAGCCTAATAAATCGGGTGTTGTGTGAATGTGAAGAAAAACGATTGAAGGGCAAACGAAATGGCGTCTCCGAGAGACTCGTCAATTTGGTAAATGGGCTCTTCTCCGTGAGCTGCCATTTTTATATGACAATGAAAAAGACAAGAGAGATATATTGACTGCAACGAGCATGGGGGTTCTGCGGGGAACTACAGTAATACATTCATGAATAAGTTATTATATTTTCAGAATTCTTCCGGTCACTGCCATGCCTTGCTGAGTAAGTGTGTTTCCCACAACTTCTTAATGATTCTTTAGAAGCGATAATTTTTTCCCACTCTTCAGACACGAGAAAATTGCACTTCAACAATGCCGTCCTCAAATTAATGCTTCTTTGGCTGCTAGCAATAGGTTCTCGGTAACAGTTCTTCGAAAAGAGCATCACAATTTGAGAACTCATTTTGAGACTCTTTGCAAGTGAGTAAAGGGAATTTTGACTGTTTAAGACACCGTTTCTCTGTGGTTCTCCGCTTTTTAAGCCCACTGTAAAGAAAAATTGAACTTTTTTTCTTTCATTAGTAATGGGAATATAGTGAATATCCAGAAATATCCATTATAAGATACACCAGTCATATATGGATGGAAATTTTCACCCATTCGAACTTTTCTGTACACCACTAAAACAAGTAAGGCGGGGTTGCCGGAGCGTACGAACGGCAGCTGAATATCTAAGATTTGACTGTAACTTGCGTCTTTAAGCAAACGGAAAAACATTTGTGACAAAAAATATGAATGAAGAACTATTTTTCAATTATGACCCAATTAGTAATGATTTCTTTTTATACTTTTTATCACAAATGTTTCTCTCGTTTGCTTAAAGACGCAGGTTATAGCCAATTCTTCGATCTTCAGCCGCCGTTCCTCCGCTTTTCGGCAACCCCGCTTACCTGTGAATACTGCTTTAAACCGAGAATCTGCTTATAATTCAAAATTTGATCGAAAAATCTATAATAGAAGGTCCTCTTTTCTTTGTCTTTATTTGTCTTGGTTCATATTAAGTAAAAGATAGAGAAGTGGTCCTGGCGCTTTTTCGTCTCTCCTCACTATAAAAAGTATACGGTTGACAACAGTTTGTCAGTTACAGAGTTTTTAATATTTTGAATAGGTTTCAAAGTCTACTGAATGCTCTTTTACAGAGTTAAAGTCAGGTTTCAACTTGATATGTATACTCAAATATTTCGAATTGATCAAGTCTGAATCAATTTACTAGTAACCGGTTAGTAACGACATTTTCAGAAAACTTGGTTCCATGATAGAATGTGTGGAACCTGTAACTAGGGCAGGATGTGGAGATCAAGCGGCAAAGATGATGCTACGATTCATAACAGTTGGATTTTCTAGGTGAGTCCTTCTTGAGAGCCTAATAATCACAAAATTTCAGTTTCGAGCAGCTCTACTCCCAACTTGGAATATCTGACCAGCTTCCAGCCGCTTGCAAATCCCTGCTATCTCTTCAGAAGCGTACGATTCTTCCAGAACGGCGACACTATGTTCTACCACACGCCTCTTCTGAATACAGTGTGCATAGCTCCCGTTCAGAGAGCTTGTTCAACGTATTTTCAATATTCTCAATTCTTCTTTTGAATCTCTGAACAACCCCACTTATTTTACTACCCAATACGGGTGAATTTTTTTTCAAAAACCTTTCAATGCCTTTTCATTAAACGTTTATAGATAAAACTGTATGAATAAATAACATGGAACCACTAAGAAGCTAAAATCTGTCATGTATATAATTTTTGTTAATTTTCTTGGATGTCTGGAATTGGATTGCACAGAGTTGAAAATTTTTCTTCGATTTTTTGTTATTAAATGTTTGGCTTTTTCCGGGAAGAGCGATCCCAAAGCAGGACCGCCGGTCCCATCATTAACTTTTTTTAATAAGGCTTTTTTTTCAAAAATCACGAAACGTGTCCAAATTTCAGACCGGGATCTCTACACTGTCACAAGTTATGGACAGGATTCTGATACCACATTTTTATTTAGGTCATAACTTCGTTCAAATGAGATTTTTGTGTTTGAATTTTGAAAAAAACGTTTGTTAATTTTTTGACATTTTTTGTTATACGAATGTTCTACGTTTTATTTTGAGCAGCATAATTTCAGACCAAGGATCTCTTTTCTGAAAAAAAGTTATGGACGAAAGCCTAAAACCGAATTTTGGCTTAAGTATAGGGTTAGAAAAATCCTTAATAACTTCGTTCAAATAAAAGATCTGGGCCTGAAATTTTGGGACGTAACTTGAAATTGAATGTGGAACGTTTCTAAAACAAAAAATCAAAAAAAATTTTTTTTGGGATTTCGAAAAAAATGCCTTATGTAAGACTTAGCTTTTTTTCGATCAAAACAAATGTTTGTCAATTTTTTGAGATTTTTTGTTAAGAAAACGTTTGACATTCAATTTCAGGTACCTGTTTCAGATATCAGATCGAGATCTCTTCTCGATACGAAGTTATGGACAAAAGCCTGAAAGCGAATTTTGGCTTAAGTATAGGCTTAGAAAAATCCTTAATAACTTTGTTCAAATAAGAGATTTGGACCTGAAATTTTGGGACGTAACTTGAAATTGAATGTGGAACGTTTCTAAGACAAAAAATCAAAAAAAAAATGCCTTATGTAAGACTTAGCTTTTTTTCGATCAAAAAAAATTTTTGTCAATTTTTTGAGATTTTTTGTTAAGAAAACGTTTGACATTCAATTTCAGGTACCTGTTTCAGATATCAGATCGAGATCTCTTCTCGATACGAAGTTATGGACAAAAGCCTAAAACCGAATTTTGGCTTAAGTACAGGCTTAGAAAAATCCTTAATAACTTTGTTCAAATAAGAGATTTGGGCCTGAAATTTTGGGACGTAACTTGAAATTGAATGTGGAACGTTTCTAAAACAAAAAATCGAGAAAAAACATTTTTTTGGGATTTCGAAAAAAATGCCTTATGTAAGACTTAGCTTTTTATCGATCAAAAAAAAATGTTTGTCAATTTTTTGAGAGTTTTTGTTGAGAAAACGTTTGACGTTCAATTTTAGGTACCGGATTCAAATATCAGATCGAGATCTCTTCTCGATACGAAGTTATGGACAAAAGCCTGAAACCGAATTTTGGCTTAAGTATAGGCTTAGAAAAATCCTTAATAACTTTGTTCAAATAAGAGATTTGGGCCTGAAATTTTGGGACGTAACTTCAAATTGAATGTGGAACGTTTCTAAGACAAAAAATCAAAAAAAAATGCCTTATGTAAGACTTAGCTTTTTTTCGATCAAAAAAAATTTTTGTCAATTTTTTGAGATTTTTTGTTAAGAAAACGTTTGACATTCAATTTCAGGTACCTGTTTCAGATATCAGATCGAGATCTCTTCTCGATACGAAGTTATGGACAAAAGCCTAAAACCGAATTTTGGCTTAAGTACAGGCTTAGAAAAATCCTTAATAACTTTGTTCAAATAAGAGATTTGGGCCTGAAATTTTGGGACGTAACTTGAAATTGAATGTGGAACGTTTCTAAAACAAAAAATCGAGAAAAAACATTTTTTTGGGATTTCGAAAAAAATGCCTTATGTAAGACTTAGCTTTTTATCGATCAAAAAAAAATGTTTGTCAATTTTTTGAGAGTTTTTGTTGAGAAAACGTTTGACGTTCAATTTTAGGTACCGGATTCAAATATCAGATCGAGATCTCTTCTCGATACGAAGTTATGGACAAAAGCCTGAAACCGAATTTTGGCTTAAGTATAGGCTTAGAAAAATCCTTAATAACTTTGTTCAAATAAGAGATTTGGGCCTGAAATTTTGGGACGTAACTTCAAATTGAATGTGGAACGTTTCTAAAACAAAAAATCGAGAAAAAACATTTTTTTGGGATTTCGAAAAAAATGCCTTATGTAAGACTTAGCTTTTTATCGATAAAAAAAAATGTTTGTCAATTTTTTGAGAGTTTTTGTTGAGAAAACGTTTGACGTTCAATTTTAGGTACCGGATTCAAATATCAGATCGAGATCTCTTCTCGATACGAAGTTATGGACAAAAGCCTGAAACCGAATTTTGGCTTAAGTACAGGCTTAGAAAAACCCTTAATGACTTTGTTCAAATAAGAGATTTGGGCCTGAAATTTTGGGACGTAACTTGAAATTGAATGTGGAACGTTTCTAAGACAAAAAATCAAAAAAAAATGCCTTATGTAAGACTTAGCTTTTTTTCGATCAAAAAAAATGTTTGTCAATTTTTTGAGATTTTTTGTTAAGAAAACGTTTGACATTCAATTTCAGATACCTGTTTCAGATATCAGATCGAGATCTCTTCTCGATACGAAGTTATGGACGAAAGCCTAAAACCGAATTTTGGCTTAAGTATAGGCTTAGAAAAATCCTTAATAACTTTGTTCAAATAAGAGATTTGGGACTGAAATTTTGGGACGTAACTTGAAATTGAATGTGGAACGTTTCTAAGACAAAAAATCAAAAAAAAATTTTTTTTGGGATTTCGAAAAAAATGCCTTATGTAAGACTTAGCTTTTTTTCGATCAAAAAAAATGTTTGTCAATTTTTTGAGATTTTTTGTTAAGAAAACGTTTGACATTCAATTTCAGGTACCTGTTTCAGATATCAGATCGAGATCTCTTCTCGATACGAAGTTATGGACAAAAGCCTGAAACCGAATTTTGGCTTAAGTATAGGCTTAGAAAAATCCTTAATAACTTTGTTCAAATAAGAGATTTGGGCCTGAAATTTTGGGACGTAACTTGAAATTGAATGTGGAACGTTTCTAAAACAAAAGATCAAAAAAACATTTTTTTGGGATTTCGAAAAAAATGCCTTATGTAAGACTTAGCTTTTTATGGATCAAAAAAAAATGTTTGTCAATTTTTTGAGATTTTTTGTTAAGAAAACGTTTGACATTCAATTTCAGGTACCTGTTTCAGATATCAGATCGAGATCTCTTCTCGATACGAAGTTATGGACAAAAGCCTGAAACCGAATTTTGGCTTAAGTATAGGCTTAGAAAAATCCTTAATAACTTTGTTCAAATAAGAGATTTGGGCCTGAAATTTTGGGACGTAACTTGAAATTGAATGTGGAACGTTTCTAAAACAAAAGATCAAAAAAAACATTTTTTTGGGATTTCGAAAAAAATGCCTTATGTAAGACTTAGCTTTTTTTCGATCAAAAAAAATTTTTGTCAATTTTTTGAGATTTTTTGTTAAGAAAACGTTTGACATTCAATTTCAGGTACCTGTTTCAGATATCAGATCGAGATCTCTTCTCGATACGAAGTTATGGACGAAAGCCTAAAACCGAATTTTGGCTTAAGTATAGGCTTAAAAAAATCCTTAATAACTTTGTTCAAATAAGAGATTTGGGCCTGAAATTTTTGGGACGTAACTTGAAATTGAATGTGGAACGTTTCTAAAACAAAAGATCAAAAAAACATTTTTTTGGGATTTCGAAAAAAATGCCTTACGTAAGACTTAGCTTTTTATGGATCAAAAAAAAATGTTTGTCAATTTTTTGAGATTTTTTGTTAAGAAAACGTTGACATTCAATTTCAGGTACCTGTTTCAGATATCAGATCGAGATCTCTTCTCGATACGAAGTTATGGACGAAAGCCTAAAACCGAATTTTGGCTTAAGTATAGGCTTAGAAAAATCCTTAATAACTTTGTTCAATTAAGAGATTTGGGCCTGAAATTTTGGGACGTAACTTGAAATTGAATGTGGAACGTTTCTAAAACAAAAAATCAAAAAAAAAATTTTTTTTGGGATTTCGAAAAAAATGCCTTATATAAGACTTAGCTTTTTTTCGATCAAAAAAAATGTTTGTCAATTTTTTGAGATTTTTTGTTAAGAAAACGTTTGACATTCAATTTCAGGTACCTGTTTCAAATATCAGATCGAGATCTCTTCTCGATACGAAGTTATGGACGAAAGCCTGAAACCGAATTTTGGCTTAAGTACAGGCTTAGAAAAATCCTTAATGACTTTGTTCAATTAAGAGATTTGGGCCTGAAATTTTGGACGTAACTTGAAATTGAATGTGGAACGTTTCTAAGACAAAAAATAAAAAAAATTTTTTTTTTGTGATTTCGAAAAAAATGCCTTATATAAGACTTAGCTTTTTTTCGATCAAAAAAAATGTTTGTCAATTTTTTGAGATTTTTTGTTAAGAAAACGTTTGACATTCAATTTCAGGTACCTGTTTCAAATATCAGATCGAGATCTCTTCTCGATACGAAGTTATGGACAAAAGCCTGAAACCGAATTTTGGCTTAAGTACAGGCTTAGAAAAATCTTTAATGACTTTGTTCAAATAAGAGATTTGGGCCTGAAATTTTGGGACGTAACTTGAAATTGAATGTGGAACGTTTCTAAGACAAAAAATCAAAAAAAAAATTTTTTTTTTGGGATTTCGAAAAAAATGCCTTATGTAAGACTTAGCTTTTTTGGCTCTTTTCTAGTTAAGAGGTCTCAAAAAAATTTAGAGGTCCGAAAAAAAATTAGAGGTCCAAAAATAAAATAGATGTCCCAAAAAAAGTTAGAGGTCTCAAAAAAGTTTAGAGGTCCCAAGAAAAAATAGAGGACCAAAATACGAAAAACGCGCAGATGTTGGAATAATGTACTAGTATTTGAACTGTGCGAGTAGTTTGAGTTTTAGGGTCTTATAGGATGACATGACTACTCCTAACAATTTTAGCTCCAATTCTCTCGCATCTTGCCGATGAACCCAATTTACATATGAGGAAAATTTGGGCAATACAGTAATCACTCCGTGATTATGCTGTCTCTCAGGCTTAGATAATTGTCAGAAAATATGCATTCCTAAGCCTATTAGAAGTATAAAATATATCATCAACAATTATTTTGCTATAAGACCTCAAAACTTTAAATTCTTACACAATTCAAATTTTAGTACATTATTCCGGTATCTGTGCATTTTTAAGTTTTGGACCACTATTTTTTCTTGGGACCACTAAACTTTTTTGGGACCTCTAATTTTTTTTCGGACCTCTATTCTTTTTTGGGACCTCTATTCTTTTTTGGGATCTCTAAACTAGAAAAGAGCCGCTTTTTTTCGATCAAAAAAATGTTTATCAATTTTTTGAGATTTTTTGTTAAGAAAACGTTTGACATTCAATTTCAGGTACCTGTTTCAGATATCAGATCGAGATCTCTTCTCGATACGAAGTTATGGACAAAAGCCTGAAACCGAACTTTGGCTTAAGTATAGGCTTAGAAAAATCCTTAATGACTTTGTTCAAATAAGAGATTTGGGCCTGAAATTTTGGGACGTAACTTGAAATCGAATGTGGAACGTTTCTAAGACAAAAGATCAAAAAAAAATTTTTTTGGGATTTCGAAAAAAATGCCTTATGTAAGACTTAGCTTTTTTTCGATCAAAAAAATGTTTGTCAATTTTTTGAGGTTTTTTGTTAAGAAAACGTTTGACGTTCAATTTTAGGTACCGGATTCAAATATCAGATCGAGATCTCTTCTCGATACGAAGTTGTGGACAAAAGCCTGAAACCGAATTTTGGCTTAAGTACAGGCTTAGAAAAATTCTTGATAAATTCGAAAAAGTGAGGTGTGAAGCGACGAACAAGTGAAGAACTAGATTGAATCGCGCCGAAGGCGCACCAGCTTGCTGGTATCCTGATAATAATGTTACTACTTTATTTTGTTTTTGGTAATTTCTCATTTAATATAAGACCAGCCTCCGGCGCTTCAAACATAAGCTGGCTGTTGTTGATGAAGAGAAAAAACAGGATTTTCTTCGGATTTTGTGTACTGGATTAGTCAGACAAATGTAGTCTGTTGATCCCTTTCGCCACGTAGAGGCTCAGTACATAGAAAAGGAAAATGATTTATTACCAGGGAAAAACCAGCCAAAAACGCTATTGTTCTCAGTCTGATCAGTGTTCGCAGTATGAGTCCTGTTCTAGTGATAAGCTCTTCCAGTATGAACCGAAGTCCAACTGACCGATCAGACCAGCTAGCCCATTACTCAACTGGCCTACTTTCACAAACGTCGAACAATTGAACTGAATTTTTTCGCCCGTATAGGGATAAAAGGGGGCGGGGCTTAGCACACCTGCACCTGGCCTAATCCTTCCCGTGGGAAACTCGGCCCCTTTTCAAACATTTCAGGTATTTTTATCGTCACCAGATAAGTAATTAGGGAGCAATAAATCAAAATTGTGAGCGATGTTTCGACATGAATGTGACAAGGTGAAGAAGAAAATACGGCTCTAGTATCAAATTCTTTAAAAGTAAATGGAAATAACGAAATTCACGAATTTCGACTAAATTTACAGATGAAAAATATATATTTACATGAACACCTGTTAAGGACGAGAAGTTCATACTAGAGCGATTGAGTCATCCAACCGACATTGACTATTCTCTTCGGTTGGATTTACCGTAAAACCTAAAGAAAGGTCGGCCCTTCTAATACTCGAGGGGTCCCTAGGGGGGCACTTCAAATAGAGGGGCCCTTCAATTAAAGGGGCACTTATATTTTTCATGGGGTTTCTGACGAGGGTACTTCCATAAGAGGGAGAATTTTAGTTTTTTTCTATTTAAAATACTAGAAAATTTCTTCATAAAAAAATAAAAACACTAACAATTCGATGAAAACAATAAAAACAACAGAAAATCAGTTTTTTCAAGTTAATTATTTAATTGGACTTCATAAGACTTCTATCTTTGAGCACATTGACTAGAAACGTTATATTTCTCTGCTGCTTCTCAGTAATTTAGCAATGGGGCACTTCAATTAAAGGGGTACTCCAAATAGAGGGACCCTTCAAATAAAGGGTGCCCTTCTATTTTCATCGGGTCTCTATGGGGGCACTTCAAATAGAGGGGCTCTTCAATTTCAGGGTCCTTCTAATACAGATTTTACCGTATCTGTATTTTAAGCCTAATTTTTTCTTTTGATTTTTCAAATGAAATTTCTACAAAGTGTCAAAAATGGAGGTACGCGATTTATACGGAGAGTAAGGCGGAACCAAAAAGAAGCTAACAACTGAAATGTGTATAATTTTTGTGCATTTTCTTGGATGTCTGGAATAGCATTGCACCAAGTTGCCGTCCCGGTCCAACTTCGTAGAATCGAGGGAATACTTCGTTCTAAAAGATATGTGAAATTAGATTTCATAGGAATATTTGTAAATACCTGATGTTTTCTGAACAAAAATTGCTGAATCTGTTCCCATCTGACAGGCGAGTTGACTTGCTTTGCTACCGCCCCCCTCACATCTCCTTTTTTCGAAGACATCACTTTTCCGGTGTAATTCGAATAGACATTACAAACCGGACGGTGCATTTCGATATTTCGGAACGCTTGAGCCACTTTGTCCACTGCCGATTCCATTTGTCTTGTGTGAAACGCCGCTGAAACAGCGAGTCTTTTCAGTACTTGAATTTTATACTTGTCTTGGTTGTCTTCTAGAAACTTTAGACATGTTTCTGATCCTCCGATAACACGAACACCACAGTAGAGATAGTTGGCAACTTCACAAATATCCAATTCGCGTTTTTCGCTGGAAAATAAAGGCATGAGAAACAGTAGGCTTCAGACAAAAGTAACTCACATCGCTACTTTTCGAGCATCTGTCATAGCCTTATCAAGCTTTGATGTCGCTTTCACTCGAACCGTAACCATTCCACTTTTAACTAGCTTCCCACACTCTGACATCGCATCTGCTCTGGTTTTGACAATTCTAATCGCGTCACCAAAACTAAGACATTTTCCGGCGACAAGTGCTGCATACTCTCCAACAGAAAAGCCAGCAGCGTCTGTCAAGTTTTCCTCAATTGATGGATCTGAAGCTTTGAGTGCCTCGAAGGCAGCAACAGATGATGTGACAACTGCTGGTTGGCAGTAGAGCGTTTGTTCAAGCCTAAAATGTTCAATGTCCATCAATTATTTAAAAGAAATAAATACTCTCACTTTTGCCTTGGACCTTCCAGACACACCTTCAGCATATCGTAACCAAGAACTTCAGATGCTTCATCAAAGATTCGTTTCGCTGCGGGAACTTCCACAACTTTCTGACCCATTCCTACGAATTGAGCTCCTTGGCCAGGAAACAGTGCCACAACGTGATCTTCAATCGGCAAATGACTGAAATCAATGAGACCCAAGTCTTTCTTTTTCCGCGTTCCATATCGTTGCTTGTTTCTTTCTTTCATGATTTCAGACGATGTCTTCTCCAGATGATCACGCAACTCTTCTTCCGGGTATGGTAGCCGTGTTGTGGGAGTTAGAATCACATTGTGGACGTCTGAGAAAGTCACGCCTTCATCCAGAATTCCTTTTTCGACTGGTGGTTTTCTTCGAATCAATCGAATGGAAAGGCGAGAGAGTCGAAGTGGGGAGAGCATTTCATGAGCTTCATTGGACTTTGATTGAGTTGATCATGAGAAAACCAAATAAAAAAGGTTGAGAAACCGAAGAAAAGCATTTGCAAAGCCAGTAGATTTTTATTACTATTTATTACAAAAGATAAATATTTACAGAAAAGAATACATATAAATTCTACAAGGCACATATAAATACATTATGGCTAGGGAAATGTTACAATGGAAATTTTTTCGAAAAACAGTAGGGGAGTTGGGAAATCTAAAAAGCAATCTTTGGGAGAAAAATGATACCTGAAAAGTGGGAACAATAGAAAAACCGGTTGGCCGGGCTTTTTCCCGAATTTCGGAGGTCCGGCCCGGCCCGGCCTGGCGGGCCTGTCATTCCACAAGTTTTGAAAATTTCAAAAAACACATAAGAGGGGTCCCTTATGTGATTTTTTTCGAGTTTTTAAAAAAATATTTTTTGATCAAACAGACAAACAATTCAAAAAGCGCAAAAAAATATAGAAAATTGTATTGAGAGCTCAAAATGCGGTTCAAAATGACAAAATTTTTGCTACCGGGCTTTCCGGGCAGGGCCCGGGCCTTGAAATTTTTCTCAGGCTCGGGCCGGGCCCGGAATTTTACAAGTATGCGGTTGTGAAAAATGGTCTACCAATGGGTTGGTCTACCCAATCGATAAAATTGAGAATACAAAAGTCCTGTGGCTGAAATTGCATCATCAATTCCGACGGTTTTTGATGGCAAACGGCACACCAAAACAGGAGTGAAAACGAAGAGCACATCTTCACGCATCCATGATGCAATTGGGCTGGAAAGAAATATTCTTAATTGGCATGATAAACGAAATCTTACTTATGGGACTCGAACTGATAATGCTTTTCCATCTTTTTGTCGAGTACAAAATTAGCGGCAGTTCTAATTTCCAGCAGTTCTGAGTCCATGGTGTTGGCTCCTATGTTACATGAGAGTCGCCCGGCAATTCTTGCGCCAGCAGCAAGTCCAGCAGCAAGGTTGGACCAATCGGTACCCGATGAAACCATGATATGATAGGTGAGACAGTGGAAATGAATTCGTGACAAACGGTATCCCACTTTGTTTGGATTTTGTCCCGTCGGATCTCTTCCGTAGGTTTTCAGAAGCCAGTGAAGCATCTCAACAACCTTGTGGACGTGTACTGTTCCTGCCTGAACTGGATACTCCTCTCTATAAGGCCCATCAGCGATATGAGACAAGAATGTCAGTTCCTGTTCATTGATTCCTAACGAATCTACATATGGAAGAATCTTGCTGATGACGTCAGTAGAGAAAGCTTCATCAGCCAAACTTCCAAGTTCCAAATGAATTGGGGTTTTCGGATTGATTTGCAGAAGATTCCGTTTGATGAGTCGCATTTTTTCCTGTCTCATTTCTTTCGACTGGAATTCCAACAAGTGAACTCCTGTAATAATGACAAGATCCGGACGGAACTGAGCGATTGCCTTGAAGAACATCTCCATTACAACCATGGAACCACTGAAGTGATCGTGACTCGTGATAAAACGACTGCTACTAGGGGCAACCCAATCGCCCAGAATTTCTCCTTGTTTGTATTCTAGAATCACATGAAGCTCGTCTTTTAGAATCCTTGTAGAATTAGTTCTCTTGACACTTGGATGAATAAGAGCTTGACTTCGTGGACCGATTGGCCCAACTAGATAGACTTCAGTGCTCGGGAAGTTGGCAGCGATTCTGTCAGCCATCAATGCGGCGTTTCCTCCAATGTGATGATGAGATCTTGTGGATGCTTCTGCTTCATTGACAAGAATGTTGAATTGTTCTTCTGATGACATGTATCTTTCCGCTGCAGCGCCTCTTTGGAAGAAGTGCGCGAAGGTTTGATGTAAGTCTGCCAAGCTCTCCATTGATTCCTGATCCTTTCCTTCTGAACATGTAGTGTTCAGCGCCTCCACTACACGTACTCCGCTCACAATTAGATCTACGTTGCAATTGAATCCTATCACCGCTTTTTTGAACATGGCGCCAGGCTTCACAATGGCTCTCTCCCATGATAGAAACATCGCAGTTTCCACGGAATAAGAGGAGAGACGGTGTTGTTCATTGTAATGGCTGAAATTTAAATTTAGAAACGATTTTTCTCAAGGAACATTTTGTACCTGTACCAATACGGAACTATAAAGAACAATACTGATAGATGAAGTAGGCGGTGCTTATAGGAGAATATGGACGGTACGAATGTTTCAGAAAACATTCGAGACGCTGAAATCTAATCTTTTGTGATGAAATAAATACAAAGTTTGATATAGAGAAGGTCAGAACCTATAAGCTGAAAAATATCAACGCAAATTACTCTGCAAAATTTATTTAATTCGGATAAAAACTATAAATTTCAGCAGCATAGTTGAACTTTGATAACAACAGAGAGAATTGGTACAGAATAGAGAGAAGAAACTTTGAAAGATGAGATAGACAGCAAATTTAATTAGAGAATGACAAGACAGTAGAGGACGCAAAAAAATAAAACAAGAATGTGAGAGACGGAAAGAGGGGGCTAATTAAAAGGAGATAATTGAAATGATTGGAATTTGAAAAATCGATTTTCTTGAACTTCTAGTAGCGACGATCTCTATGTCGGTGGTCTCTGCGATGATCACGGTCATTTCCTCGTCGATAATCACGGTCTCTGTCTCGACGGGAGTCTCGCGAACGTTCATCTCGACTGGAACGATGTGGTGAACGACTACGATGACGGCCATCTTTGCTGTTCTTATCAGTTGACTCCTCTGCACGAGTTCTGTAAGAAAAACATTCTTTCTAGAACACTTTAACATGGAACACTCACTTTCTTCGCTCCTCTCGTCGTTGCTCTTCGGCATCTCCGAACTCTTTTATTTTATCCTAAAAAGTATAACTTTTGAAAAGCTGAATTATTTCAGTAAAAAATTCCCTATGCTGTAAATATACCTGTACGAATTGACCAAGAAAAATTCGAAAAATCGGAAAAATTGGGGGGAGACCTGAACCATTTTTGGTGGGTAATAATACCTGGTTTTATTTTCAGCTTCTGTGGATTATCTGCTTTTTAGGAGAGACCGCCCATTTCTAATAGAGAAAAGCTTGAAAATCAAGATACAACAATACAACACACACTTACCTTCAAATGCTGAATCATTGTACGGATTTTCTGAAAACCTGTGTGCATTTTTCCTGTCAAATGTTCCTCGATACGTTGTTGAGCGTCGTTGATAATCAGCATACTTCCACAAACTTCGCACACCTAAACAGGCTAATAGGAAATTTAGTGCAAGAAAAAAAAATTATAAATACCTCCATTGGTTTCATGGACATCTCCTCAATACCTGGTGCAGTTTGTGGTGGTGGTTCGTTGAGTTTCTCTAGTCGTTCTTCTAGCGAGTGCTTTTCTGCTTCAATTAGCTCACTTTTAGCAACCAATTCCTGACACTTTGAAATGTCTCCCTCGATGCCTGCCTGCTCTGCACCAGCCATTAGAGTTTTCAACTCTTCATCCATTGTACTTATATCGCGTAGAATTTGCCGCTTCTCCTCTTCTAATTTTCTCTACAAAAAGATTTTTATGAAACACAACCGATATTTTAAACTTACTTTCCCTCCGTCATCCATTCCCGACAGTTTGTCTTTATTCTTTCGGATTCTTCTCAGATTATCTTCATCCAAGTGAACTAGAAAGCGGAGAAGACGACGCTCAAAACCTAGTTGTCCATACTCTGGAGATTCTGGATACATCCTTCGAAGGTTGTCGTCATGAACTAATTGACAAGCGCCCAAATCGGCTTTCGTATTGGTGAACATGTCGTGTGGGCAGAAACCGACTAAGTAATATGTGCATATGTTAGGATCCTGAAAAATGTATCATTTATTTAAGCTATCAAATGAGGAAAACAACTGACATCAAACGATACTTTGGTATCTTTACCCAGCTCGACGTTTCGTTTAGGGCCCATTAGCTCGTCGAGCATCGCTGCCATTGCATCTCGAGCGGACATCTTTTTCTCGCTATCTGAAAATGAGAATAATATTTAAGAACATGAGCATTGATCATTGAAAAAAACCATTGGAAAAACAACAGATTTTTGAGCTGTGTAGATTTACGGTAAACAACGCGCACAAGCGGGATAGCGGAGTGTCGTTCCTTTTTCTTCTGCTCAATAAATTTTCGAATTTAGAAGGTATTGATTTGTTTTCTCTTTTCTTGGAAATATTCAGAAATTTGTATTATTCCCAATTTTTCATGTTTTTTCTAATATTTTCTTCTTTTTTTCACAATCGTTGCTCTTTTTCTGTTTCGCAAACCAGCAATCTTCCGCCTAACCTCAAACAGACGTTTCCTTTTCGATATTCATATTTCTATGTTGCAGTTACAATATGGCTATGGCAAATCGTCAAAACCGCGGAGCTAAGCTTCCGCCAGAGGTTAATCGAATCCTCTATATCAAAAATCTGCCCTACAAGATCACAACGGAAGAAATGTACGAGATCTTCGGAAAGTTCGGAGCTGTTCGACAGATTCGAGTGTGAGTGAATTCGATGATTTTCAGTAATTCAATCTTTTTTTCAGCGGCAACACAGCAGAAACTCGTGGAACAGCATTTGTCGTCTACGAAGACATCTTTGATGCCAAAACAGCGTGTGAGCACCTGTCCGGTTACAACGTATCGAATCGATACCTGGTGGTGTTGTACTATCAAGCGACAAAGGCCTGGAAACGGATGGACACAGAAAAAGCGCGTGCGAAGCTCGAGGATATCAAGGAACGATATGGAATCGGCGGAGACATCGATAAGGAGAAGGAGAAAATGGGCATTTACACTCCAAGAAGAAACTAAAACGATCTCTAAATGTTTTTTGAATATTTTCCTTACTAAATATCATAAATCTTCCAATATATTCGAAACAGTTTATTTGACATTTCCAGAACCAAATTTCAGGAAGAAAAAAATGCATAATTGTGGGGAATGGGGAAGGACACCACTTGAAAAGTGAAAACTGGTCCTTTAACCCCAAATGTATCGTTTACCTTCCAAATTGTTTTCACTTCTTTTCTCTTCAGAACCGAAACTATCCCCCACTCTTCGAACAATTACCCATTCATCTCCTTTTTTTGTTTCGAGATGTCAATCCTTGCATTCCTAAAAAGATTGATTGATTTTTATTGTTGTTCTATTCCCTGAAAATCAAGAAGGAAAAATTGTCAAGTGCAATCGGAAAAAAGAGAAGGATTTCGGAAAAAAAAAACGAAAAGCTGTTGTGTAATGAATTCCTCTCACTTGAGTGTCCGTGTCCAAAATGAATGAATTGAATTGATGCATGTTGCGACACTTTTTGACTGTTAATATTAATAGTGGTCTTCGATTTATTAAAGGACGTTGGCTGGGAAATAGATCAAGCTAGATTTATTAACAAGCAAATATTGTTTGGGATTAGAGCAGCTTTTCCTAAAAATAATATTCAGGCAGAAAAAGAGTATACTCATGTTCAACCTTTCTCTAGGAAAACTTCAAAGGAGTTCTCAGAGAGATACGACAAATTTTATATGTTATTTTACCCATCTGGAAATTGGCCTTCTTTCTGAAAGGAACACTGAAAGTTGATATCTTCTGTTTGCAAGTCTAGTTTTTTTCTGGATAATTAGGTGTTATTTTCCTGGTAAGTTTAATTTCAAATACACCACACTAATAATCTTTTTATGATCAACTTATTAGAAATGAGTTAAAGTTTTGAATGTTAAAGTTAATAGTGTCATCTGAAGAAACTCGGTCACACCTCATCCATCCGATTCCCTCTCTCTTCTTTTAGTTTCAATCCTTCTTTTTCCCATATGGAGACAGAGAGGGGTACAGTCATTACTACTTTCCTTAATGGTCACCTCAATTTGCTTCATCATGTTCTTCTTCTTCTTCTCAATCTTCTTATTTTCTTGTGTTTTCGCTCTGCCATTTCTACATTATATTCTAATTCTAGTCACCTTCTCCTCATCTAACGGCTTGCCTATCAAACGCAAAACTCCGCCCTTTTTTTGCCAGAGAGATTCTCCATATAAATGTGAAGTGTGTGCCCACCTTTCACTAAAATACTTCCTTTTCATTGGTTTCAATTTTTCTAGATTTTTAAAAACCTTTTGATATTTCCTTCCGAATTCTTTTTTCTCTATATGGGCCCAAGTCATGCCACTAACCATAACTGCCGTAGGCTTAAATCACACTCTCCTGAAAAAGTCATAAAATTCTAAAGTTGTCTAGCCCCTTGTTTCTTTTCGCACATAATTTGTCTCATTTTACTATCCCGCGACTACTCAACCTGAAGTCGTTACTTTTTGAATCACTTTTTGAAATGCGAACGATCTCCTACTCAATTCTCATTTTGTTCATTTTCTTTCAGAAGAATGTCATCGGAATCCTCTCACGATGATCCCAAACATGAAGCACTAGAAGCTGATGCAATGAGGAAGTTGGCTTTCTTCGGTGAGTCTCAACTCTGTAAGAGAACTTGGGTGAAATTCCCAAGTAATAGTAAGCTTGTGTAAAACAGTTTAGGAAACGTCGTAGCTTTGTGTCCCAAACCTAGACCAAGGGATACTCCCAAATATAAAGCTATTTCTTTTAGGTATCGCTATCTCCACAGTTGCCACGTTGACAGCAATTATGGCAGTTCCGATGCTTTACAACTACATGCAACATGTACAATCGGCTCTACAGTCTGAAGTACGTACTTGTAACGTAACCCATATATCCACACGAATATAATTTCAGGTAGATTTTTGTCGTCATCGTACTAATGGTTTATGGGATGAGTATAATAAGGTTCGTAACTAACATATATCTTCAAAACATTATTAACGTTTTTTCTCAGTTCGAGACTGTTGCTGGAGTTCGTGGACGTATTAAACGTGCCACCTATCAAAAATCCAACGGTGTCACTGGTCGTCTGGCACATCGGCGTCGTGCAGTTGCTCGCGGAGCATCTAGTTACGATGGTGGATACAACGATGACGTTGCAGTTGGAGGAGGCGGAGGCGGGCCAGCGTGTTGTTCGTGTGGTGTTGGACCACCAGGACCTCCAGGGCAGCCTGGAACTGATGGAAATCCTGGAAACGACGGGTCGCCGGGAAATCCAGGAACTCCAGGACAAGATGCTATTGGTGATGAGTCTCCAACTGCCGCAGACTTTTGTTTCGATTGCCCAACTGGTCCACCAGGACCACCTGGAAGGCCAGGACCTAAAGGACCAAATGGAGAACCAGGAGCACCTGGTAGCCCAGGAGGAAACGCGTTACCAGGACCTCCAGGACCACCAGGGCCACAAGGTCCACCAGGAGCGGATGGACTACCAGGTTAAATACTTGTAGCAAATCACAAAAATAATTATGGTTTTAGGTAACCCTGGAACTCCTGGAGCACCAGGACAAGTAATCGAAGTTCCCGGAACGCCAGGACCAGCTGGACCACCAGGACCACCAGGACCAATCGGCGCGCCTGGACAGCCAGGAGCACCAGGGAACTCTCAACCAGGGCCACAAGGACCTCCAGGAGATCCTGGAATCGATGGAGCTCCAGGAAATCCAGGATCTCCAGGAGAGCCAGGACCACCAGGACAACCAGGAACTGGAGGAGGATGCGATCATTGTCCACCACCAAGAACAGCCCCTGGATACTAGTTTCTCCGAATTTCAGATTTACATTTTCATGTCTTTCATAGCCCTCACGACCGGTAGATTTATTCAAAAGTTAATTGCTTCATGTAGCAAAACCATTACGAAAATAAATATCCTCACAAATATGTTGTTCAACTTTTTTTATACAGAATTCGTAAAGTATCAGGGAGGAAGTTTTTTTGAACAAGGAAAAATCAACGATTCGGTTGATTAATCAGTTGGAAATAAGAGCAATATACACTCCTGGCCCAAAAGATATGCTCAATATAATCAACGCAGTTCGATTGAACTGAAAGTTGTAAGTATGGAAAATGAACATCGAGAATTTTCAACGTAAAAATTTAATGAGGTGATCGTTCAGTCAGTAATAAAATAAAAAACAAGGTTACCATTACCACGTCATGCTGTCTCTAATAAGTTGCTGTCTCTAAAAATTATATTTTCCAAGTTACAAAAAATAAGGAGTTTCCGGAATTCCTATTCCACACTCTTTCTCAAATAAATATGAGTAATCCTGCATCTTCATCTGCCAGCTCGAAATGTAAATCAGCCGAGAACACTGATGATGACAGAGTGAGGGAAATATGACTCTATCAAAATTCTAAAAGTTTCAACTTTCAGACCCTAGCAGAAGATGACCAGATAGATCAAAATTCCGGCTCAATGGATCACCGTTTTGAGCGAGTCACAGTCACTTTGGAGAAGGTCGTTGGGAAAAAGTTCGGACTCGGAATCGTTTCGGTCCACCAACGTATTCTCGTATGCAAGGTGGAGAACGGTGGGTTCAGTTCAGTTCTTATACTAAATAATAAGATATTTATTCCAGACTCCCTGGTGAGCGGTGTTCTCAGATACGGTGATCAGATAATGGAAATTAACAAGAAAGAGGTGTTGAACAAAATCGACTGCAAGAAGCGATTGATGTCTTGTCTCAAAGACAAGGGACATGTAGAAATATTGCTGATGCGTCCAAAGACGCCGGATGCAGTAAAGATGATTGAACAAGAAATTCAGTTGTCTCAACAGCCAAGCAGTACTGTACAATCGAAACAATAGAAGAAGTTCGAACTATTTTTCTAAACTTCGTAAGAATAAAGAATATTTGAAGGTTTTATTGTTTTGTTTTTTTTACCGATTTCGGAAGTTCAGAATTCAAGATTCCAATAGTTCGAAAATTCAGAAGTTTTCAATAAAAATGCGTTAACTCAAAAGTTGGTGAATTTATATAATTTTGAGAAATGATTCTTGCAAAAATGATTCTTGCTGAAAGTGCTGAAACTTGAAAGAAATTAAAAATGCTAAAATTAGGCAAATCGGAGTTCAGAAATTTCTAGGAAGTCTCGTCTCTAAAGGGAAAGCGACCAAAAAACTATATCTCACAGCTCACACAATTCACTTATATGTATCCAAACAAATAAGCATTCACTCAATTTTCTCGTCCATCATCTCCGTCGTTTTTTCTATTCTGAGAGCCCTTTCTCCCATACATAAACGCCATCCTACTTTTTCTCCTCCTCCTCCACCACCTTTCACTTTCACTATTTTGGTTATTTCCTTTGCTCTTTTACTTTCGACTTTTTTCTCGTTTCAAGAATTCGACGTCATTGTTTTCGAGATGAAAACCGAAAAAAGAATTGTATGCAGTGTCTACAAGGCACAAAAAATTTAATCAAAAATATGCCATAAACATAAATCCAAATAAAGAATCTAATATATGGAAATACATGGTAGTCTAATCCAATTTTCCCTTTCCATCCTATCCAGAAGATTTATTTTACTAATGCCACTGGTTCTTGATTTGTAATTTCATTAAATTTTTCCCAAAATCAACTGTTTAGTTCAAATTATTTGGAAATGCTGTATTTAGAACCCTTCCAATTTCTCTATTCCATGTTTGTATTGCTTCAAGCTAGCATCGTATGTGCTTGCCTCAGGCGGTAATTAATGGGCTCCGAGAGCAAGAGATGAGCAAGTTAAAGCAGAAGGTGGAGACGCAGAAGAGAGCTCAGTGAAAGGGACCGAAACTGAACCTTCTTCTTTTTCTCCTTTTTCTTCTTCTATTTCGTTTTCTGCCTTCTCCATCCTTTCTATGCTTATTTGTAGGGTTTTCAGCTTTCCGCTTCATTTTGTTGTGGTGTGGAGTGTTCCATATTGGTCACAAATTTAACTGCTTTTATAATCTTCTGATAAAATATTTCCTGTTGAATTAGTTCCAGTAAAATTGAGAGAGTTTTCGTTTTTCAAAAAGGAGAACTAAGGGTTTCGTTTATTACAGCTTTTACCATGCGAATTTTTTCAGAAGCCAGAACTCCTGATATTTTGTATATGAAATTGGTTCGTACACTACGAACTGGAAAACAGAACACTACTAATGATTAAAAGTGTCAATGATTATCTGACAACTGTCCGATTTCCAATGAGTCCGGTTAGCTTGCATTTCCCGAAAAAAACGTCTTTGTTTATCTTCGCTCACTCGTTGCGCAAGCGGTCTCTTCTGTTTCTCTTCATATTCCATTTTCCATACTTTCGCCTATTTCATCTGTGTTATTTGTCTCACTGGTCTCCACGAACATAATTGAATCGATTTGTTCTGCAATCCCCTGAAAACAGTTGAATTGTTTCTGTTATGTTCTCTGCATAAACTTTTATTTGATCGAAACCACCCAACGTTATTTTTTTGCCGTCCATTTTATGTCTTCTTGTTCCGTTTGCAAATTCGATATTTCAGAAAATACAAAACCAATAGTTCACACTGACACGAAGATGCGCTTCTCGGCGCTTCGGGAACGTGTCTTCCGGCTGAAACATTTGCCAGCCGGAGAGTTATCCACTCCACTTAGAAGATGCTTGAGCACTTTCGATATCACACTTCTTGGAGTGGGACATATGATTGGTGCTGGAATTTATGTTCTGACTGGATCGGTTGTGAGGAATACTGCGGGACCTTCGATTGTGTTGTCCTTTTTATTAGCAGGTTTGAGTGAACCCTCTAAAATTGATCTTGATTCATTCATTACAGGTTTCGCATCTCTGCTCTCTGCACTCTGCTATGCTGAATTTGGAGCTCGTTTCCCAAAAGCTGGTAGTGCTTACACATATGGTTATGTTGGAGTGGGAGAGCTCTGGGCTTTTGTCATAGGATGGAATATTGTTCTGGAACATATGCTGGGTGCCGCTGCAGTGGCTCGTTCATGGTCAGGATATTTGGATTCGCTGCTTGGAAATGTCATTTCTAACTCGACTATTGCAAGAACTGGGCATCTTCATGAGGTCATGAGTAATAAAACAGTACTTAAATTCAAATACCATGTTTCAGGCATCTTCATTCTTTGGTGACTACCCAGACCTTTTGGCTTTTCTTCTAATTGTTCTCGTTGCCTTCTTTGTTGCCTTGGGTTCAAAAGTGTCTACCAACTTCAATTCGTTTTTAACTATCCTCAACATTGGTGTAGTTGTGATTGTTGTTTTTTATGGTATCACTTTTGCTGACTTCTCTCTTTGGAGTGGTGTCGACGACAAAGGAAACTCGAAGTTCTTTCCGTATGGAGTATCTGGAATGTTCGCTGGAGCTGCGTCTTGCTTCTTCGCTTACATTGGTTTTGATGGACTTGCGACTGCCGGAGAAGAAGCTAAAGAACCGGCAAAGTAATTTCTGAAGAAGAAGAGTATATCTAAAAATCTTATATTTCAGGTCTATCCCAATTGCAACATTTTCTTCGATGACCATTGTCACCCTATCTTATGTTCTCATGTCTGCCTCTCTCACTCTCATGATTCCATACAACATGGTTCATCCAACAGCAGCTTTTTCTGATGCATTCACAATGCGAGGAGCTGAATTCGCAAGTTATGCAGTTTCTTTAGGAGCTCTTTTTGGAATGACCACAAGTTTGGTTGGAGGAATGTTCGCTTTACCAAGATGTGTATTTGCAATGGCTGATGATGGACTTCTCTTCAGTTCTCTGGCTTCTGTAAACTCAAAAACTCAAGTTCCTATTCAAGCATTACTTGTTTTTGGATTTCTCACTGCTATCATCGCGTTGCTGTTCGATATAACTACTTTGGTAAGATCCTTGGTTCTCATTATAGTAAAATTGAACCGATCTCAGGTCGAGTTCCTATCAATCGGTACTCTGTTGGCTTATTCGATTGTCTCCGCGTGTGTGATTATTCTCCGGTACCAACCAGCCTATAATGTAGATGAAGGTCAATTCGATAACGGAGGAAAACTTCGATTCAGTATTCCATTTTGTAAATTCCTTGATCAACTTCAACCAGGGCACTCCATCTACTATGGAATGAGTGTGATGATTACGTCCATGTTCTTATCTGGTCTTGGATTCAGTTCCGGATATTTCAACGGACCTTACTTATGCCAGGCTTTCCTTTTGATCAATGTCATTCTAGTAATTCTTTCCTTCCTCTTCATCTGTGCTCACTATCCAAATAACACTCCATTGGACTTTAAAGTAAGATTCAATTCAAATCTTTATTAAAATCAAAGCATTTTGGCTCTTTATGACAAGGGGGGCCCATGAGAAAAGGGGGGGGGCCCCATGAGAAAAGGGGGGGGGGCCAAGTCAAAAGGGGGGGGGGCCAAGTGGAAAAATTATGCCTGAGTTGATTTTTACCGATTTTTTCAAGTTTTGTGACCATTTCCATTAAAATTTCGAACTTTGAACACTTTCCATAATTTTTTGAAAATTTCAGTTTATGTCATTTTTTGTATATTTTTTTTGTTACTAAGTCTGAAAAAATCTGGAACTAGCTGAATAACTTCAAATTACACAGTTACAATGGAAAAAATAGTGTTGTTCATGCAAAAAACCGGCCTAAACTGAAATAGTTTGAAGTTACAAATTTTTGTGGGAACATGCGCAAAGTACGAAATTTTTATAGAAACATTCGAAAAACTTGAAAAATTGGTAAATCTTAACTTAGTCCACATTTTTACCTATGGGCCCCCCCCCCCCTTGTCATAAAGAGCCGGCATTTTTAGGTTCCTCTGGTTCCTCTAATCCCCGCTCTGTCCCTGCTCATCAACACATTGATGATGGTCCATTTAGCATGGATCACATGGGTTCGTCTTGCAGTTTGGATGGGTGTTGGTTTTGCTATCTACTTTGGATATGGTATTCACCATAGCAAGGAGGAGATTCAGGATTCGGAGAGATTCACAAAAAGTTCTACTTATGAGTCGGTGGTCTCTGGAGTTGTAGCAGGTGCCACATCGCCCTGATTTATTTTTGTACAACACTAATTTATTTGTTTATATTTATTTTAACCTACATTTTACTAGAACACTGGTTCCCTGTCCACGCATTTCCCTGTCCTGCCCACTGTTTCAATTTTTCTGTAGCTAGACATCTTCCTGTTAATAAAAAAGTGCGAATCATAGGTTGCGTAACGTTTCATATTTTCTCAGTATCTTATCACTTGGCTAATTCTTCCGTCTCTTTCTTATCGCCTCGTAATTTTCGGCTTCTTCGTGTAGCATTTGAAACAAAAGAGATAAATAGGGGCGGTTAGGGAAGCATGATGACGAGAAATCCCGTTTATCGAGTTTCGACCACCACCTTTCGGATGAAGACGTAATCCGAGGCAGAAGCTGAAGACGTCGGCATTTTTTTGTTTTTTTTTTCACAATCACCATGCGGAGGAAATTCCAAGTCGGTTATATTTTATTCCTGCTACTTGTTGTTTCAAGGATAGATGCTTCAGGTAAGAGTTTTAGTAAAATCAAAATCTGATTCTAGCAAAGCTGGAAGTTTTCTTTTATAGAACTTCCTTTTTCAACAAACCAGGTTGTTGACTGATTAAAAAATTTCAAAAAAATACCCCAGTTATTACATTGCCACAAGCTCTTTTACAGAGCCTGAGTTAAGCGAGTGTACTATTTTTGAATACTATATGATATACATATTTCAGTTTTTAAAACTTTCACTGTTTTGGCATTCATGTAAGGTATCTCTCTAGACGGTCGATATTAAAAAAGAGCAATGAATAATTGTAACTAGAATTTACAAGCGGACCTTCAATTCCTAGTTTTTAAAACTTTCAAGCTACATATTATTTGTACTACAAAGATCTAACTCTCATTGCTACAACAGCGTCCTGGTTATCTTGTCACGAACGAACCTGATTTCCACTTTCTAGTCTTGCGTAGCCTACGAATTTTATAAAACATTAGCTATCAGTCAACCTTTTTTGTCTTATCGATCCGCAATTTTTAGTGATCAACAGAAGATTACGTCGAGACACAGAAGCGCCCGTTGCGCATAGTCTTCATCGTGAAGTCCGACGAAAACCGCCAGCAATACTCCAGATGATTGGCCCGCTGGCATTTGGAAGGAAAGACGGAGACGACGCGAAAATGCATGTTCCTCTGTTGGGTCAATTTGGAGTTGGAGATGTTAATCAGATGACTGCAAAGTTTACACCCGAAGGAATGAAAGGGCAGAAAGCAAATGGAGGAACATTTGACATTGATGATGAGAAAGGTCCACAGTTAGGGTATATGGACAGAGAAACTACAATGGGAGAAAGATCAGGAAGTACTGGAAAAGTAGGAAATGGATGAGATGAGGAGTTGCTTTGAATTAATTTGTTCAGATGTCAATCCTCGGACTTGGAAACATTGAAATGGGAGATGTGAAAGAGCAAGGAACAGGTCTTTTAGATTTTTCTAAATCTTGTGAGTGATATGAACTAATCTTGAATACAAATCAGCCAGCATTTTCAGTGTTCCCATTTCTCGAGTTACCTGCGCTGAAAAACGAAACGGAAAAGGAAACGCACACTCAAGTGGATCCAACTTATACAGAATATTACTACCCAAAACCTAGATCTTATTTGGAATCATCTTATGACGTGAGCAGACCTCAGACAACGTCTCTTGCCTCTTTAGGAAAAAATCGAGAAGACATAGAGTTCCCAAAACTTGTCACTGATGAACCTCCAGCCAAGAAGTACAGTAACCCTTTCGATAGTGTTCAAATCCGACCAAGAGTCCATGCCGCAGTTACCAAGACCGCAGAGGATACAAAAGAAAAGGAGGGATTCATTGCACAAAACGGGAAACAAGTGGATCCAGATGAAGACACATCACCTCTTTTGACTGCAGAAAATAAGGTTTCACAAGTGACAACGCGAAAATCCATTCATGAAGTTGGTCTGTCACCAACAGAAATTTATGCTCTATGTGCGAAATTTGCCCCAATGGCTAATCAGGTTGGATTGAATAGGCATTCAGAAATAGATACACTTGATTTCAGCACTGTTACAAAAGCAAAGTAGAGGAACAGTTTGTGGAGAGATGTAGAGGATACCAGAAAGATTGTGTTGAATTCATTGCAAAGGCGAGTTTGACACATTTTGAGATCAAAAATTTGTAAATCCTTGCAGGCTCGCCCTCTTGGAGCTATTGCAAACTCATTCTCGTCCGGAGTTGGTTTAACATACTATGATTGGAATGTCAATGGTATTCCATATTACCCAGTGAATGAAGAAGGATCTATTGGAAACGGACACCATGGAAAAGTCGATTTTGGAACTTGGGGAGGAGGATATTCTGATAACCTCGGGGTCAGAGATTTCTGGTCTCAGACTCAAGAGTATGGGGCAAATTGGTATGAAGGTAAACATAGTACCATTTTACCATTTCGGTTACATCTGAACATTCAGGCCAGTATGGATACAAAACAGGATGGAGTATTCCTCTTGTTCAAGGACTTGGAGTAGAAGGAGGACAGGGTGCCCAAGTTTCAGTGCCAATAAAAGAGGGAGAGTTGGGTAAACCGATTACTGTGACAAATGGATATCATGTTGGTCCATTCATGGGATTAGCGGATAGGGTTGGAATAGATTGGCTCAATGGAGGAGTTTCTTGGAACAAAGTAAGTTTTTTTAAATCTGAAATGAACTGTATCTTTCAACTTGTAGGGATTTGCTGTTCCTTTTGTCGGTGTGGGCGTGAACACTGGAACCGCAGTCGGCTTCCCATCGGTAGGGATGATAATGAATAGAATGGGATTGAATAGTGTGGAAACTTTAAACACGATGGCAAGAGCAGCAGCTGCAGAAACAGCGCAAGTTGCAGAACAACGATCTACGAAAATTGATCTCGGAAATCTCTAAAAAGGAATTTTTAAAAACAAAAACCAATTACATTGAATGCAATACTAATAATGCTTGTAAATAAAGAAAGTTTATAATTATTTGATTTGGAAAATAAAGATCTTAAGAAAGCTCTCGTCTTGCATGAGCCATAGCAATTTGAAGACAATGCAACCATTCCTCCGCATTCTTCTCATCCTTTGCTTTCAGAATCATTGACGTGTTATCAGCAGTAAAAATTTCAAAGGCTTTCCGCAAACTCTTCCTAGCCTTTTTTCCTCGTCCGAGTGATCGAACTGATCGAATAGATCGGAGATCGATTGATGGGAGAAGTGCACGAGAGTCAGTCTGAAAGATAGGTATTTTTTCAATGTGGCAATGACCACATCACTTACCGGCATATGCTGAGTACTATAATTTAGAGCAGCCGAAGACAATGTAAAGTATTTCGTATTCCATCTCTTCAAGAATCTCCACCGACCCTTCTTTTCCTTTAACTGTCCTTCGAGAACCTTCTCAACTCCTCCTTCTTCCACAAAGTATTTTACTTTTTCTGGGTTGGTACAACTGATGCAGTTCCACATATTATTTGAAGAATCCATAGTGAAATAAGCGAAGAATCCAGCTTCATCAAGTTCTTTGATCAGCTTGTCTTGGTCTTTCGAATTGGGGAACGCCGCCGTGATCATTGTATCAAATAACACATTTTTGGTGGTTGAACTTGGAAGACACTTCCAGCAATGTTCAAGTGTCTGATATTGCTGGGAGTCTTTTCCAGCAACCTCACCGAATTGTGTGATTGCAGAGCATTCCATTTGGAGAAACATGAAATGGAGCCAGAAAGCTGGATACTTGGTTTTGAAAGCGAACAAGTACTCTTTGGTGAAAACACAACATGGTGAAGATCGAGTTTGACAAGAGAAATGAATTACCATACGATGCTTGGAGCCTGAAAATATCTATTGTAGTGCCGTTGGATCTCTGGTTGACTCACTTTTCGAACCTTCTACAGTGCATTGTACTGGAATCGGAAATCGTGTATTCACTTCTCCAATGTACCTACGTATTTTATTTTTTCTATGCTCCACAAATTTGTATACGACATCGTTTCTATCACTCTGGAAATCGCTAAAATTGTAACCAAAGATTTTTTTGGCCTACGTTTATCCATTTTTCATCTTCTTCATTCAACGCACACATTTTCGAAGTGGTTACGGGCCCCAGATGAGCAGGGAATGTAGTCTCAGTGCTGCCAGCTGGCCATTGAACAGGGCGACGGCCTCCAGCCACCGGACGAACTCTTCCATCTTTTCCCATTTGAATTTGTGTCATAGCTTGAGGAGAAAATGTTTGTGGAAGACTATGACCACGAGAAGATGATGCTGCTTGAGACAAATGAACATTGGTTCGAGAACTTGATGGCATTGAAATCATGGACAATTCCCTAGATTCATTGATATCAGAATACGGTCTATAAATTTAATGTTTTTCTCAGAACGTATAGACTGAAATAACAAACCCATGGGTTCCAGCTCCCAATGAATGAGCAATACTTGCGTGGCTTCTTCTGCTCAATGATCCACTTGATCTATTATTCTGATACTGCATTGCCAAAGAATGTGTGTTTCTATCAAGTTCACACAATTCCACAGTTGGCGATTCACAAACTTCAAAAACCGTACGCCCGCCACTTGTTATCAAATTTCCGAACACTTTCGAATTCTTTGAAAGCAAAGATTCCGTTGACTGCTTTTTGACTTCTAATGGAATATTTTCATTATTCAGGTTCAAATGACCCAAAATCCTCTCTATTGTTCGACTAGAAGGTAATGTTTGGAAGAATGCCACGTGTCTCCGTAAGGAAGTTGGATACATCGAACCAATTGCCTCGATTTCGTTTAGAACAGATTGCAGAAGTTGTGGTTCGGCCAGATTGTGCCTTGCCATCAGTACCAGCTCGTCAACCGCTTCAGAAGCAAGTGTTGAAGATACACGACCAATATTAGCAATTATCTGAAATCTAGTTGTAAGTTAACTTGAATTTATTCTTCTGATCATTTGTCAAACTACAGGGACTCACCTTACAGATGGTAGTCCGATTGTTAACAAACTCATTCGATTGAGCTGCTAATTTCAGTGTTGGTAGGAATTGAGAGAGGGCTTTTGTACGATTCTGAGAGATCAATGACATATAAATGTTGAGGAGCGCTGTGGACAATTGAGGAGAGAGCAGGTAAACATCAAATCGTGGCAAGTAAGGAATGAGTACCTGAAGAATTCAACTTTGGAAGAAATGATAAAATCTTGGATTTCACCTCAGGTTTTGTATTAGCAACCATTGAAGCCAATTGCAAAAGTGATAGTTTTTCACTACAATCCACTTCTTGGTTTTGGAGGAGCTGAAGATAATTCTTTTGTGTTATAGATCTGTATGTGAGAACTTACATCAATAAGCTGTGACAATTGAGCATGGAAAGGTTCTTTGTTATCTTGATAAATGTGTGGAAGAACTCGAATAAGAGAGTAATTTCCTTTGACAACTTTAGTAATGATTTGTAGAGCATGAGATGATAAGGATTTTCCGTTATGTATTGCAGCCAAGGAAATGTAACTGGTTGTGTTCTTCACTAGTTCAGCATTTTCCGAATTCAAACATTTCAGAGCAACCGGAATAGTAAGCGTCATTACAGATTTTTTACCGTAGTGCTGTAAATAAGAAATTCTAAGTTTTAATATTTTCTTGTTTGACTTACCAAAAAAAGACTAGACAGAAGATCGGAAGCAATTTTGCAGTGAGGACTGTCCACATCCCGGCTTTTCTCATTCAGAGTTGTCATTGGATGCTTGAGTACTTCATCCAGAACATCTACTAATTCTGCAGCATAGGATTCGATGCTCCCAGTTTCCCGAATTGCTGCCGTTAAACGAGCAATCACAATTTCTACTACGCTCTGGTCAACTTTATTAAATGGATAAGTTGGATCATTGATGATTTCTTTCAGACATGTGAATGTATTTGACTGAAAAGTAATTTTTAGAAATTTGAACCTAGCGAAGGTTTCTCACCATATCTGTGATAACATCATAATGACTGACATTGAAAAGTTGAGCGGAGGCGTTGAGTTGGCGTTGGTGAAGTAGCCGACTCAGTAAATAGTGCATCTATATTTTCACTAACTGATGCCTGTAAGTGTCTTAAATGAGAAGTTATTGAACTTGCAACTAAGGTACAAAGAGAACGATTTCGAATTGAAAGGTGAAAAGTGAAACATTTCAAAAACTTTGATTGAACGGGGAGTGGAAGGGGAGAGGAGACGGCTGGCCTAGTGTGTCAACAAATGAAAAGAGAGCTAGTGATGCCAACTCACTGTAAAATATATCCGGATTATTCTCGCCAGGTGTGCCACTACTGATTATTAGGCCTGACAAATACCGGTTCTCTCGGTGAAATTAAATTTTTGGCTCGGACCTATAGCTTCGTATTTACTGAGTTTTATGAACATAACCCTACAAGATTCTGAGTGAGAGAGAGAGAGAGAGAGAGAGAGAGAGAGAAATTATGTGTCAAGACATTAAACAATGAGCCTACAGTACGTTTCAGAATTGAGGTGAAAAAAAATCTGAAAAAGAAATGACTCATTTCCTTTTTTGAATGGATTGAAATTGAGGAAAAAAAATTGAAGATGTTACGAAACTTCAAAAAACCAGAGCTTCTTAAAGTTAATAACACAAAAAAACTGGCCTGAATTAGAAATTCGATTGAAAAAACTTTCCTTTTAGATTTCGATTGAGAATAAGTAGATGACGACCTTGTCTTCATCCTTCACTCTTCCTTCTTTCGGGAATAAATGAGTATGTATGTGAATGTGGATGGTAAGAAGAAGAACGTGAACGGTACGGATGGGTTGAGAGAAGGAAAGACAGAAAGATACAAAGAGTGGAAAAAGTATAGTCAAATCTGGTGAGAATTAGATAGAAAAATGAGAGAGAGAAAGAAGCGAAGAGAAGCAAATAAACCGTTTCTTGAATGACAGAGGAGGGTGGGCGACAAAAGTCTTTAATGGTAGGGTAGGTTGTGTTTGGGAGTGACAGGTGATGTGGGAGTGAAAAGAACGAGAACGAAAGAGTTGAAATGAAATTGAAAAAAAATAGCTCAGTAAACAAGAAACATTTTGAAATAGCAGGTTTCGATTATTTACTCATGTTTTGAAACTGGAAACTCTGGGAATTCCACTGGAAATAAAAAAAAACATTAATGTATTCAGAATACATATTTTGGATTTTATGAAATTCAAGACACCGTAAAACAAGAAACATTTGGCTCTTACTGTCAAGTCAAATATAAAAATCTAGTTCCCTATATCTGTAAGGAAGGATGTATTATTGTTTTATAATATTTTTTCTGAAGCGAACACTCACTAGAAAAAAATTAGATGCATTTGAGTCTAAACTAGTTCATGGAAAGTTTCAACATTCAACGAAAAAGTTGGGCTCTATCTAGTGTATGCAGCGCCTCACACCGGTCATTACATCTATGATAACCATGTGAATAAGGAAAGAGTGCCAGAGAGAGGTAAACGGGTGATGGAATAGTGATAAGGTGAACGGGACACGGGAGTCTCTCTATCTTTCTTCAATGACTCCCTCTCTTTTTATTCATTAGTATGTATGTATGTATGCGTGTGAGTCTCTTCTAAACGTTATGTACATATGGATGCAAAACCAACACGGCAAATAAATGAACGGAGAGGGAAGCGAGGAGAAGTGAATGGATAGAATAATAGAAAAGCAGGTTCATTGTTTAAAAAAATATTTAACACATGTGGCACCATGTATTCAGATCCATTGAGTTTTGATATTAAAGTGGGATTCCTCTTTCTGCAAAATAAAAACTTTGCTGTTACGTCACATAAAAAGCAGGTCTAGTTAGTCAGTTTTCTTCTGTTGAGGCGAATGCGAGAAAAAAAGGAAAGAGGAGAAAGAGACGAGTTGGTTCTATTTTGCAACAGCTTTTATGGTATGATTGGAACGTCACACAAACTACTTGACTACGTAACAGATTGTGTTTGGTTGTTTGAAGGACAAAGATACAATAGGAATAAAAATATTCCTGTGAAGTTTGATTACTCTGAAAATGCATCAAATAGTCATACTAACTGAGAAATTTGAGAAGAAATACATTTAACGTCTACACAGCGAGTGAATCCCATTGAACATGAGGTAAAATGAACACGGCAAGAACCGGTAAACGATTGACCACGGAGTACCCTCACTCCTCCTCACCATCAGACGAATGACCTTGTTTTTGTTCTTACTTACCTTTTTTCCTTTTTCTTTTCTCTAAAAAATCTTTTAAATTATTTTTCAAGGTATGAGTTCGGTACTTGTCCTTAAAAATTGTGTTATTTTATAATATTTTAAAATATAACATGAACAAACAGATAAACGAAACAAAAATCAGTAATTAGAAATTTCTAAATTTCGAAGCGGTTTTTGTGGATTCTGATTTCTGGAGTCAATTCGAACGCTGGCGCGTGTCATGAGAGTCTTCTGTTCACCATCAGTGGACGAAGAACATCTTCTGAAAATAAAGTATTTAAAATGTATATCTTAAATTTCTTCAACTCACTTAGCTTGTCCAGCTTTCTGGCTCCCTTTGAAGATCCAGTTCCCGAGATTCTCTCCCAAAATAGTCCGACAGAAGGCACTTCGATACTTTTGAGAGAGCAGATTATAGAGAATGGGATTTGCTGCAGAATTAGAGTAGTAACAAAAGCCAGAGATGTAAAATACTATCATTGACAAAAATTGAACTGCTGGAGAAATCGTATCATTTTCAGACCACATTATGTAGACTGATAGCAGTCTTTGGATATGGAATGGCAGCCAGCATATGAAGAAGGTTATCACAACAGAAACTGGAAAACAATTATTATCAACTTTTGATGTAAATTTTTCTACATACGCAACATTTTAAGAACAGTCCTGTTGTTTTTGATCCGCCGTTTCTTGGATTTGTTATCTTCTTTCAAAGACTTGTCAATTTCAGAGGACTCTAGCTTAATCGCAATATGTGCATACATGATGACTATTGCAATAGCCGGAATAATAAAAAACACAGTGAAAGCAAACACAATTATTGTTTTCTGTTGATCCGGTCGACCTTGATCCATTGCACAAAATTCAGTATGGAGTACTGTCGTTCCATCGGTAGACACCTGTGGAAATAATAGGGGTTTGCAAAAGTAATGCGTGTCAAGTTTGGTGTTTTGTATCTCACCCAAAACAAACGGTTTGTGTTCAATTTTTTTGTTTTAAAAAGCGCGTTCTTGGGCTTCATTTTGTTATATTATATTGCTGTTTCAATTTGATTTCTATGAAAAAAACATTCTAGAAGATGTCCGACCAAAAATTTCGCCTTCGAGCATTTTTGTGGCACCAATTTAAGGAAGGGAAATCGGCTGCCGAAGCTCACCGCTCACTTTCTTCTGTATTCGGTGAAGAAGCTATATCCAAAAGTCAGTGTCGCCGCTGGTTTCAGCGCTTGAGGAGCGGAGATAAAAGATTGGAAGATGAATCGCGCCCTGGTCGTCCAGAGCAGGTGGACAACGATGTCTTGAGAGCAGCAATTGAAGTGGATCCTTGCCAAACTACTCTCAGTCTCTCGGAGCAGTTCGACTGCGATTTTTCCACAATTTCCAGACATTTGCATGCAATCGGAAAGACAAACAGATGTGGAAAATGGGTCCCTCATGAACTTTCCGATTTGAACAAGGAAATACGTGTTGAAGTTGCCAATATTCTGATGCGCCGCTCCAAAAATCGTGGTTTCTTCGATTCGATTTTGACATCGGATGAGAAATGGATTCAGTGGGACAATAATGGGAGAAAAAAACAGTGGCTGAGTCCTGGCGAGACTCCGAAACCGACTCCAAAACCGGACATCCACGGAAAGAAGGTGATGATATGTGTCTGGTGGAACACACGAGGTCTCGTGCATTTTGAACTTCTGAGACCTGGTCAAACGGTGAAAGATCAGCTGGACCATGTCGACCAAGCTCTCAAACGTCAAGGCGTGGACACTTCGACAACACTCTTGCTCCATGACAACGCTCGACCACACACTGCAAAAATCATTCAGCAGAAAACTCAGGAGCTGGGCTGAGAAGTGCTGCCTCATCCGCTATATAGTCCCGATTTGGCACCATCGGACTATCACCTATTCCGATCCATGCAACATCATCTGGCCGAGAAAAAATTCGAAAGCGGTGAAGAAGTGCAAATTTGGATGGCGGACTATTTTGAGTCACAGCCAGAGGAGTTCTTCAAGAAAGGCATCGCTGAATTGCGCACACGTTGGCAGCAAGTAGTGAACAATAATGGAGAATATCTTATTGATTGATGATCTCTTGTTTTGGTTTTACAATAAAAGGAAGTTGCATCAAAAACGCGCATTACTTTTGCAAACCCCTGATACATATGCACATATATTGAAACATTTAATTCTTGTGTAGAATACCTCATAAGACCAAGATTGATTCCTTGCAAACTCTGGTAATGGTAGTTTGTTGATCTGGACGATGATTGCTATGGGAAGAGCACAAATGAACGAAATGATCCATGCAAGAACGATGAGGACATTAGCCCGCCATAATGTTGAAAACAATTTGGTTTGCAAGGGATAACTGAACGGAAGAAATATTTATGTTCCAAGAAAAAAGAACTCACCAAATAGCCAGCCATCTTTCAAATGAAAAACAGCAAATAATCATAATAGACGCATAAGAAGTGAATTCGATCAGAAAAGCTCTGGCTTTACAAATCCATTCACTGAATCTATAGGGGTAGGAATAGTCCAAGGATTGGTAAAACTCCATTGGCAGACCTAGAATGTAAAATTACTGATGATCTATCAAGTGTAAAACCTCACCTAGTATCAATGCGATAATATCAGATATGGCCAGACTGAATAGATAGTAGTTAGTCGGATTGTGCATTGACTTGTTAGCTGCAATTACAATGCAAGTGCAGATGTTTCCGAACAATCCTAATAGAAAAATGGTTCCATATATGATGACCGTTGGAATGACTATGGCAACCTTAAAATAATCATCGTCTTAGAAGTTCGCAAAACAGAATAACTAACCGATTGACACCTTTCTCCTAACGTAGCCAGAACATAGTTGGTGATATTAGACACATTATATTCCACAATACAAGATGACATCTAAAATTTCTTGAATTTCAGAAAAAGCAAAAACGAAGTTTCTCAATCGAATTGGGAAAAAAAGAAGATACTCAAACTTTACTCTTATTTGTTTGTTTTCTAGGTTGGTCCCAGCTTCCAAAACAATTGTGAGGCTAAGTAAGAAATGGATAGGCTTTTTGAAAAAAGAGAAATTAGATTAAGTATAGGTGTGAATAAAAAGTCCAAACTTCTTTGTCGGATGATCAGTAATCTTTTGAAACAGGACAACAGAATCAAAATGTGGGTTCAGTTCTACTTCCTTCTATGAAAAACCTTCCCAACGGTGTAATGCTCAATAAACACCTCATCGAGATCCCACTAATCTATTCAAGTGGTTAATTATTCAAAAAAAGAGGCATGGACAAATATACATTTTGCGACACCGACAAAAAAGTCACAAAAAAGCATTGTTGCAAAAACATGTGCAATTTAAAATGAGATGGAAGCTTTGAAAACATTTTCAGAAAGAAAAACTCTGTGGGATACCAAAAATATATGTGCAAAAAAACTGAAAAGCTCATAAAGCGCATCAAAATGGGTGATACTACTCTTTTGAAGGGAGTTCTACTCTGGGGAAACTGGCCAAAAATAACTGAAAAATTGAAAATATGTCATATATATGTGTCATGTTTTTTTAAAGGATGCCAGACACCAAAAAAAAAGTTTTCCTGATAATTTGCATAGAGAACCCCCATGAGGGGTTGAACTCATGACAGGCAGCTCAGAGGTACAGCGCCGCTACCGCCTGAGCTACGGGGGCGCGAATGCGCCTGACGACCGATGGTCTATATAAGCGCGGCGCGATTTCTTCCCCCGAACTGTCCCCCGAAATTTTTGCTGTCTCGCCTCCTTTAAGTAAAAAAGCGTAGTATGTTCATGACCTGAATAAAAAGGAAAAGAACCAGAGTAAAAATTGTTTTTAGCACTGTCATAGAGTATTTATTCCTCCGAAGCGTTCTCTCTAAAAGTTTAGCAGGATCAAAAATGAGCAAGTTCGTGCAAAATAAATGAAAGTTCTAACAGTTTTTGATAATTAAATAATCAACACAAACAAAGATCCTAGAAAAATTAGTTCCGCAAGAGGTCCTACCGCATGAAAAAAAAAGTAAATTGAATGAAGATTAATTTCTTCTGCATGAGCTAGTCCTTACTTCTGATGAGCGCTCCATCTTTTTGCGCCACGTGGATTCTGACACTTTTCCTACAAAGCATAGTTTTCTAAGCAAAATGCAACAAAAAGTTTTCTTCTCTCACTCCCCACCATTTTTCGTTTGTGATGACCATCTGAGTCCCATAGACCTATTTATTCGCTGACCAGTAAAAGATTGGGATAAATTCAAAGTACATATTTAAACAAAAAAAACACATATATACATAGAAAGGTGTTTGAAAACAGAAAGAAGATCCAAAAGTGTTGAATTGTAATTGAGTTTGGTCCGTCCTTTTGAAGAAAGTCGAAGATGAATAAAAAAGAAAGAAGGCGTCACGCACGTTGAAGGTTCGGAGAATATACTACAGCACTACTGGGAGCCCGTTCAAAGTGCTCAGCATTGCACTCAATATCACAGGTTTTATGAATGGATCGGGCAATATCCATCCACTTATCACAGATCTGAAATGTTTGGAGCATACGGATTTGAAAAATAAAACCTGCTTACCTATAGGGCCTCACAAAATATAATGAAATGAGAGGGGTAAGCATTGGCATGCATTCCATTATTCGGAATGGCACGTTTTCAAAAATGGCTCCATCAACAAGTTGAAACAGAAGAAGAAGATATAATGAGGAAGCCGTCAACCAAAATATTGGAACTATTGCTTGAATTGTTAGTGCTTTCATTAGTTGCTTGTGAGAAGTACGCGTTGATTTTGACATTGTGGTGCGACCACGACCGTCGAGTATCTTGAGAGCTCTATATCGGAAAATAACAATCACTGCGTATTGGGAAGCAAGGAATCGTCATGTACAGTACTGGCCAAAAAGGTATTCGGAAATAGTTTTTCGAGCATAACTTTTCTGAAACTTCCCGGATCAATCTGATATTTTAAGACAAAGTTTAAAACGGTAAAAGAAACTGATTCAACAACAAGAATAGTCAAAATTTCAAAAAATTGAAAAAAAATCGAAAAATTCATGAAAATTGCAAAAAACCGGTAAATGGAACTTTGACTTCTGAGATCTAGGATAGACCGGTAAACGAAAAATAACAATAGAAAATGAATAAAATAGCTTTAGTACTTCGTTGGGAAGCCTTTGGCGTCGATTACCGCCTGACATCTTCTTGGCATCGAGTCGAGAAAAGTGTCGATGACAGACATCGGGATGGCCTGCCAGACATCTTGGAGTTGGTCGAACTTCTGGTTGGCATTCGAGGCACGGATCCCTCTAAGCTGTCTCTCGACATGCTCCCAGAGGTGTTCGATCGGATTCAAGTCCGGAGATTGACTTGGCCAGTACAGAAGATCCACGTGGCGGCGTCGGAACCACTCCTTGATGTGCTTCGAGGTGTGCTTCGGGTCGTTATCCTGTTGGAAAACGAACGCCCGGCCCACAGTAGACCGTGCCCAGGGTCTCATTGTGTTCTCCAAGATGTCTTCATACACAAAGCGATCCATGATGCCCGTAATTCTTCTCAGCGGGCCGATTGAAGTCCCAGAGAAGCAGCCCCAGACCATCACCGATCCACCTCCATGCTTGACGGTTTGGAGCTGGTAGCTGGGATCGAACCGACATCCAACCGGACGGCGAATCCACTTGATACCGTCAGTACCGAACAGATTGAACTTGGATTCGTCGCTGAACACGTGATTAGCCCAATCCTGACGTCCCCAGTGGAATGAGCTCTGGCCCATGCTACGCGGGCGATTCTGTTCTTCTTGCTGATCGATGGTTTCTTAGCTGGCCGTCGTCCATGGAGTCCAGCATCTTGAAGACGTCTTCTGACGGTTCTCAGGGATGGTGTGACTTCATTTGGAGTCTTCACGACCATCTGAATGTCCGTAGAACTCCTCTGGAGATCCTCTCTTGAAGCTCGGACGATGTTCCGATCCATGTTCTTCGACGTGATACGCGGTCTTCCAGGCGATTTTCGCTCCACCAAGGCTCCCTAAACATTTTTTTTCCATAACTATACTATTTTCGAATATTACCTCATCCCGAAACTGCTTCAAGATCTTCTCGATGGCACGTTTAGTAACATTGAACTGCTGCGCCAAGAGGTCCTTGGAACATCCACTTCTGAAGCCGATGACGATGGCTTTACGGATGTCCTGAGAGATGTTTTTTTTTCCGAGGGGTCTGGCCATGTCTGTAAACAGTGTCTGTAAATACATAGGAGCCAAAACCAACATTCTTAGAAACCATAATATCCAAAAATATAAAAATATGAAAAAAGTGAAAAAACGAAAAAATTGAAAAAAACAAAAAATTTCTGAAAATGATGCAATTTCCTTGTACGCAATTTGTCGTCACCGTGTACGACATGCACAGTAAAATTTTCAGATCGATCCCTTAAGTTTCAGCAAAGTTACTCTCAAAAAATCGTTTGCGAATACCTTTTTGGCCAGTACTGTAGATTATCGCAGCAAATGTGGAGGGTGACCAAATACTTAGATTTCCGGCTATAACCACTTCTGAAATATCAGTCACAATGAATTTTCTGCTGTCTTTTTTATACGAATACCTCCCCAAAGCTCCTTTATATGATAGAAATACTTTTGATGAAATGAGTATACCACTTTTCTCAATGCCTCTTCATTGGCAAAATCTGATAAGTAAACCAGCACGAAAATCAAAGATGGGATGTAGGCAATTACACACAATCTCAGGATTTTTACTGGCTCTGGACTGATTCGTTCCAATATGTAGTATCGATGAAGAAATGATAACTGAAGTTTGAATTCTTTCACCTGCTTCATAAATCATTTACCATTAATATCCACTGAGAATGGGCAAAACTGTGACATACAAGGACATGTAAAAAGTAACAAAAATACGAGGATACATATCCGCAAGATCCATGAAATATATATGTCAATGACGAACCCGAAAATACTGTTCTGAAAACAAAACAATGTTTCAATATTAATTTTACAGGGGATTTACTTTTGCAAAGCTAGCAATCCGGCGAGTGAACTGAAGAAATCACAAAGTGCAAAGTTCAAATATAACATTGAATAACTTCGGAGCAGCTTAGGTGTCTTCGTAGATATAAAATAAATCAGAATGATGTTAAATATGACCCCAGAAAAAAGTTTATGTCAACATCAAGAAATTTTCAAAATACAAACCCAATGGATTGATGACGTATCCGATGATAATGAATATGTGATCCCAGTTTTGCGAAAATCGAATGAGGTCCACATAGGTGGAATTCAGCTCAACTGTCATATAAAAATAGCTCTGAAATCAAACATAGTTTGTTATCTCGTGTAGACAATCTACTGAAAAGAAATTCTTCAGAAGAAATGGAAAATGAAATTGTGGGTTGGGAAAAAGAATGAGGAGAGTGTTGTAATTTCCGGGCAACGAATTTTAGTTCAGCGATACATATGAACTCGTCCTACACAAACTCTTAATACAGTTAGTTTGGCTTAAGTTTTTGTTTTGAACTAACGGATCTCTGAGAAATTGACAATAGTATCTAAGTTCTGTTTTCGAAAACAAGAGCTCTTGATAATGAGTCTAGAGTTAATCCATTTAAATGAAAAATACCTACAGAGAAGAAAACGAATGACGAACAAAACAGAATTTATAAGTCTTGAAACGAACGCATTCTTTTCATTTTTGAGAAAAATGATGAGAAGTTTACAAAATGATCTCAAAATGTTGGAGTGAGTTGTTAAATTATAGTTAGATTTTCAGCTGAGTGTTTTGATATTAAGATGATGAGCTTACTCACAAGGGAAGTCGTTTCAGACACCGGTTGAGAATTTGCTCAAACTTTTGTCATTAGTACTTTCGGGCACGCTGATAACAGAACTGAACTCAGTTTTTCCACCCCGGCCCTGTGAAAAAAGTTATGAGCTCTGAAAGTGGTTTCAGTGCTATTTTCTCACTTTTGGAGTGAATTTTTGAGAGGGATTATAAGAGTTTTTCGATCCTCAATTAATATAAGAAAGGGGGAAGGCGCGGCGCCCAAAGGCGCTTAAAAGCACGTTAAAATTTCAGACGCGAATTTTCAGCATCTGGAGGCCGGGGTGGAAAAACAAAAAATGACACCATGTTAAGGGACTCATATAAAATACTTGTTCAAAATTTCAAGAGATTCTCAACCGGTATCTGAAACGACTTCCTTTGTCAGCACAAAGAAAAAGTAAAACATAGTGCACTCATGGAGGCAATTAGGTTTTTCTTTTACTATAGATAAATATTTTCAACAGAAGTCAAAAAAAACTATGAAAGAAATAAAAGAACATATCACACAGACGACGAATGCTTTTAGTAAAAAAAACTAAGTGCAATCAAAAAGAGATAGACATAGAATGTCGCCGGGTTAGAAGAGAACGAAAAAGCGTAGAAAAGGAAAATGTACGAGAAGAGGCCCATCCATCCCAAAAACATTTTTTAGACGTCCAATGAAATAAATGAAGATGGAGAAAAAACAACAACAAGGCGGAATTTTAGATTAATGATTTTCTTTTTTGTAATGGAGTTCATGGAAATTTCGAAAAGGGATAAGCGAAAATTGAAATAGGTTATGAAAATATATGCTGCAGAAGAATTCTTCTGGTATTCCTGGAGACCTGGGAGGCGTCACTTGCCTTTTCTCTAATTTTCTCGTGATTTCTCCCACCCAAGAATTTTTGAGAACTCTTGATGTTGTAACGAAATTAGCAAGCAAGTTAGATAGGCGTTGGTAGTACAGGAAAACTGAATAAACTTCCGGAAGAAGGTTTTCGAACTTCATAGAAAATTGTAGACACGTCTTGTGGGAAACTTCACACAATGACATAAACCTAGTTGGTGAATATTTCATATTGAGTGAGTGTTACTTAGTATTTGCATACACAATCTTACAGAGTGCCCATTGCGTATGTTGTTATTTTTTCAAAAGGATGCTTATAGAATTAAAAATAAAAATGATATCGAATAGATGAAGAACTAGCTGAAACTGGAATTAACAACCTGAACAATTGATGTAATGCCTATTTAGAATTCGGAATTTCGAAAAAAAGTGAAAATCTGAAGAAGTATTCATTGCAACTCCTACTAGCAAACTATCTGGAAATCAAACCTCACTTTATGATTTTCCTGATGATGCTAATTTCAGAAAGTGCAATATTCTAAAGACTGAACATTTAAAAAGCTCAGGAGAATCAGAAAACCCAGTTTCCGAATTTGTACCAGACCTTATTTGAAGAATGAGTTCCTAATTGAAAATCTTTAGTTTTTCCCCTAAAAATTGAATATCAAAATATATTGTTTTAAGGTTTGTTCTAAGAGTGTAGTAAGGCTCAAATGGTGTGAAAGTTTTAAAAAATAGATTTGTCATTTCATTGGTCTTCCGCTGGAAAAATTATGACGAATAGTTTGGTTTTGCAGAGTTTAGAAAGGTAGCATTTAAGAGAATACACATAGATATAGCGAAGAACAGAGAGAAAAAAACCAACAAAAAACTGAGAAAAATGAGAACAGAGGAAATATAAAATGCTGACTAGGAAATTGTATTGCAACGGACCCATAAAAGTGTAAGTCATGAGACATTGAGAGAACGAATTACAAACAGAAATATTTTTCTATGCGTTTTTGGCAGGGTTGACATTTGACTTCACAGCAGTAGATGAATTTGCAATTGCACTTCTCCTCAACAATTTGCACTTTCTTCTCGTAACCACGACCACAGCACAGCTAGAATAATTACCTTGGATATTCAACAATTCTACAACTAGACTCAGCAACTTACCAAACTACAATCGTCGATAGCATTCGGTGCCAGAGTGCACTGTCTTCCTTTCGTGCCCATGATTCCTCGTAATGGATCTGCTTCACAGAAGTCTGGCGATGGTGTCATGTATACCAGATCTGCATTAGTGTGACGCTTGAACTGCGAATTCTTCATTACAATTCTGGGCTTCTCTACTCCTTGATCCTTAACAACCTTCACTTCCGCTGCCCCATCAAATTTATCTTTGATAGCCATTCCGATATCTCTGAATGTTTAATTGTCATCAATGATGTTTACAAGCACATACCTAAAGTTCGGCAAAGACTCCCAGCAAGTTTTCATTTCACAAGAGCCGCTCATTCCGTGACACTTGCATTCTCTTTTGAGAGATTTTTCCAGAACTTGTCTTCCAGCCTGATTATTATGCAAATTAATCATATGCATCCCATCAGCTGATAGCTGACTTGGGCCCAATGAGCTCGTTCCATTATCATCTTTCATCACTAGAACTCTTCTCTGTGCAGAATCCACAAATTCTTTGGAAACTCCGATTCCAAATTTCACATTATCAGAGCATCCTTGATACATGTAAGCACCCTTCTGAAGATGAATTTGTTTTCAAGGTTCTTCTAAGTTTTTTCTTACCCCTGAATTGTCATTCTTTGAATAATCACAGCCACACCGTTCGCTAACTCCTCTAGCACAGTCACGGGTCACTCTGAAACTTGTACACTAATCATTTCTAGCCAATGTTCCACTCACTTATAAGCAACAGCAGCTGACGAAATTGCATGTACAAATGCTGATTCTCGAGTGTTTTCGTGAAGAAAAACATCGGGAATCACTTCATGAGTCATCGGATCAATCAGAGTGCAGTTCCACCTAAAATATATATATCATAAGAAGAACCCTTCTTCTGTTCAAAGTTTACCTTCGCTTATGAAACTGAAACTGACACTCTGCATGAGCCGCCAACGCTCCAGTGCGAACACTCTCCATTAAGTCGATGTTCTTTTTGCAGAACCTAAATTCTGGACTTCATCCTTTACCATAATTTTTAAAATAATTTACCTCATCTGTCTCCTAGTCAATCCTTTTAAGGATTTACATGATGTTCCTGGTTTGTCTCTGTCGAATCGACTGGATGCCAGACCCAATGATAACCATGACAGACTTTCAACAATGGAAACTGATACAGTAAGGAAAAGTAGAATTTTGGTGGGTTTCAGCATTTCGAAATACAGAAGAATCTGAAGGTGAAAATAAGTTTGAATAGATGAAAAAATAAAATAACTGATGGAAGAATGTTTTTGGCGAAAAATCAATGGTCATGTACTGGTAGTAAAGAAAGAGTAATAAATCAAGACGAAGAGAAAGAAGGAGACCTGTGGTGCACTTTTAGACACTGCTACTAGACATCCGGTATTATTGTAATATGGGAGGAATTAGTGATAGGACGTATTTTTCTTAAGAAAACGCTATAAATTATTTTCAGAGAGAAAGAAACTGTGGAATGGATTTCAGAGAATGAAAGTAATTCTTTGCAGCAATTTGCTTATTAGGAGCAATTTTCAGGCTCTCTTTGAAACTGTAGACAACAAAGATGAATAATCAAAAGAATATTGTATTCAGAAAACAGCTGCTAATAAGGAAGCTTTCGAAATTTTGGAGGACTCGGAGATAAAGAGAAACTGAGATAAAACAGAAGAGTCCCGAGAGGAAGAGAAAAAGAATGGGGTCCTATCATCCAACCGTTGGGGAAGAGTGGGGCGATATAGCAACACATACGAAAAGCCATAAAACAAGATGATTTAGTAGTGGTCGTCGTTGTGTCCGACGCACACATACACACAGACACACCCGACACCCAACATTCGAAACAGCAGCACGGCACATCGTGGCAGAAGAATGAGAAAGAAAGACGACGTTGTGGTGACACGGGCCGATTGTAAAACAGATGTGAGAAAGCGAAGAAGAATTAGAAGAGTTGGCACACGAAACGATGAGCAATTTGGGACCATGAAACACCGGTGGGAGGAGTATACCCAAAAAAATCTCTCTCAGCACGGTTAGCTGCATTTTGGAAGATTCTCCATAAAGATAGTAGACGCTAGAAGTTAAGATGATTTGTCGCGGCATAACTCCTTCAGAAGAAGTGATAGAAATACGTTGTCCACTACAAAAATGTAGCTCTATTTATGGTCGAAACACCTTAAGATTTTCAAAGCTCATTTGTAGCTACTCGAAGTTTGATTCTACTATATTGAGATACTGTTGCCCAATTTTAATCGAAATTTCGAGAAAAACCACAAAACCAAATTACACTCTGATAATTTAAAATAATCACTGTATTCATTTAAAATATATTAGATCAAAAAAGAAACACTCTAGTTTTTTCCTGATACACCCATACCTTTGGAAGTCGCGGTTCTTAGATCATTCACAACTTGGCTCATCGTACACCCGGTGAGCTGAAATTTGTCTCAAACATAATCATTTTCAGCCTTTTATCCATTTCCGGCGAAAAAACCAAGAAAATATCTAAACTCTCCAAAATCGTGTTTTTCTCTGAAAACGCATTTCCTCTCTTTGCCTCTCCTCGCTTTCAATAGAAAAAGTGGGCGGAGTCTCCTACACACAAAGTATAGTGGCCGGCGCGAACCCAGGAAGTGTCGGCTGCTTGATGTGGAACGCGCGCTTGGCTCTATCTGTTGCACTGTTCTGCAACGGACATTCGAGGGGAATCGCTGAAAATTGATAGTATGACACTTTGAAATATATAGAATCCGAAAATCTTCTTTTTAAAATATAAAGTATTCAAAAGGTATGGTAATTTTGGTATAAAAGTAGTCAATTCATGGTTATAAATTATGGTTATAAATTTTTTCTGTTGCTTTTCTGAAAAGCCATTGAAGCGTTTATTATGGCTCGACAAAAGGGAAAACAAAACATTTTCCCGAAAGTCAATGGTCATCTATAAAACTGAAGCTATTTATCAGTGTGCTCTGAAATTCCGGTATCATCTGGACAAATTGTCTTTTTTTTTACTTTTCAGTATCAACCAGTTGTCAAACCTCATGTACAATATCTTTCGTTCTATTGAAACAGTTATCCGATATCCGTTATTCAGAATCATGGAAATAAACGACATAAAGATACATTCAAGAATATACAACAATGATGGGAAAAGTGACGAGGTCTTTCTGGAAGAAAAAAGGGCACAAATGCTGTCATTTCTCATTCATTCAAGCAAACTGGATCATGATCTACAATGAATGCATCGCAGTTTTCTATATGTCTGCTTTTTTGCTGAACATATTCTTCTACTTTCGATGAGGGGAAGAGACTAGACCTACTTTCCGGAAAGATTATCCTGACTTTCTGTATTTGTATTTGCCAGTTAACATGATCAGGATTTTCTTTCTTCTGTTATTCGTTAGTTCCAGTTTGGTTGCAGATGGTAGACAATATTTTAATGGTAAGAAGATTAACAATTTCAAAATCTTAGTTTTCTTTTCCAGACAAAGTCCAGCGCGCTTTTCAGCAAGCGGAGTCTGAGATTCTTTCATTTCGACCCCATTCCGACTTTTCCCAAGAAAGTTCACTGATGATCAATTACAGCATTGCAGCTTTAGCTGCCATAAAAATCTCTCAAACCAATAGAGATAATGATGGGAATCTTCCACATCGTCTATGTCCCTTGAAGAAATATAAATGCTCTTATGGGAAATATCGACACTTTGATGGACGGTGCACTAACATTTTTTCACCTTTATCTGGCAGTGCATTTTCACCGTTTTCCCGAAGATTAAAGGCCAATTATGATGATGATATCTCGCTTCCAAGATTCCACGGATTCCGTAATAAACTTCTCCCACAAGTGGAAATTATTGAAAAACAAATTGCCAAAGTTGCTGCATCATTCCCTATACCACTGACGTCTACATTTTTGGATTTCTCAGATTTTCTATACAACGATCTGGCGAAGTTCGTAAAGCTTCAAGAAGGGCTGGGATGTTGTGGAATTGGAAGAAGTGGAGAATGTGTAAGCATTGGGGAACAGTGAGTCCTTATTTTGTTTCCAATTTTTCAAAAATGTTTCAGCTTACTCGATTGCTATATTCGGTCTGCTGCAGCTCCATACAATCATTGCTCGCTGGGTCAAAGAGAACAAATGAACTTGGCAACAGCATTTATCGATGGAGGACCGATTTATCAGGACTTGAAAGATCTTACCAAAGCCAAAATTACATCTACAGTCACCCTGGATTCTAAATCTTCCATTTACAACTTGCTCATAGACGAACACAATTGGGTTGTCAATCAAATTCAGACCGCTTTTCCAGATATGAGTGTAGAACTAGTTTTTGAAGAGGCTAGAAAATTTGTGATTGCTGAAATCCAGCACATTGCATTTGAGCATTTCTTACCTATTGTGTTGGGAGAAGAAACCATGGTAGGCGGTTCAGAGGAAATAAAAAACTTAGATACTTTGCAGGAAAAATACGATTTGCGTGCTTCTCATTGTGATGGCGGCGCTTGCCATGAAGTCGATGCAAACACATTGAATGAGTATGGGAGTGCTGTGGGATTGTTTTACAAATATATGACAGCACCTGACAAGTCATTGTTAGCTTTTTCGGAAGCTTTTCCGTTTGATTATTTTAGTATTCTAGAATCTTCAATCCTTCTCATTACTCTACATCGGAATTCTCAACATCAACATCCACAACAACATCATCTAGTTCAACATTTATTGAGATTTTAATGAAAGGAAGAGATCATGGAATCCCAACTTATTCTGAATGGAGGAAAGAGTGTGGTGGTGGAAAGTTAGAATCGTATGAGCAATTGATAGGATTGATTGATGATCGAGTGTTGAAAAGTGTTAGAGATCTGTTCCCAGATGTAGTCACGTCACGAATACTTCCACGGTGAATTTAAGTGTTTCAGATCCGAGATGTTGATCTGATAATTTTGGGAATTGCTGAGAATCCTGTATATGGAAGTTTACTAGGACCAACCTTTGGCTGCATCATGGCCCTTCAGTTTCAAAAAGTGTGTTTGTGATTTTCAAAAATTCTTCATCTACCTCAACTAAAAGGAACACCTCTTCAGACTAAATTTGGAGACTCCTATTGGTACACTAACAAACTGAACAACGAGCAACTGGAAGAAGTTCAGAAAGCTTCTATTAGTTCATTGATTTGTAGACATCAAAAAGCATCTATAATCCAAAAAGATGGGTTCAGAGCAGCAGATAATTTTCAGTAAGTTGTCACTTTGAAAAATGCAAAAAAAAAAAACAATTTCGATTCAGAAATATCCCCATATTTTGTAATTCCTCTGTTTTTACATGGCCGGATTTTTCGAAATGGGTTTCTGCGCCGGAAAAACAGAAAAACACTCAATTCGACGTTATTCTTGGAGAATGCATTCAGGAAGTATCCGCTGCCAGAAATCGTCAAAAATCTGAAGTTCTTCAAGACGGACTTCACAATTCTGTAGCTTTGAAGTCATATGGAAGTATGATGCTGGCCAAAGATGAAGCTGTATATGAAGCAAATGTGTCTTTCATTTTATTGGAAGCCACTAGGAAGTTGGTGAAGCTTCAAAACATCGAGTTGGACTCCATACAGGGAGTTTATATTGGAGAAGACTTTGGAGTGAAAAGTGATACTCAATGCAATCCCAAAGACTTTCCGTGTGACCCAACAAATCCATATAGGTAAAATAAATAGTTTGCCTGAAAACTTGTAAATTTAAAATCAGATCCTACACTGGATGGTGCAACAATTTGGAATCGCCTTCTCTGGCGAACACTTTTCGAGAACTGAAACGTCTTCTACCACCTGTTTATGAAGATGGAATAAACTTGCCGCGATCCAAGACTACCACTGGGTCTAGATTACCTTCTCCAAGAGCCATTTCAAATGTTGTTCATCATGCCAAGAAACTAGAGCATGCCAAATACTCGCATTTTGTGATGGAGTTTGGTCAGTTCATTGACCACGACATAACCCATTCTCCTGTTGATCAAAACACCGACGGTACTCCATTGAATTGTTCTCGATGTGACTCTAATCGTTCTGTATCACCATCCTGCTTTCCAATTCCAGTTCTAGCAACTGATCTGCATTTTGAACCATTCTCCTGTCTGTCCTTTGTTCGCTCCCTACCTTCCCAGAAGGCATTAGGTTATCGTAATCAAATGAATCAAGTGAGTTATCATTTGCCATTGCTCTTCTATTTTTTCTATTTAAGGTTAGTGCCTATCTGGATGGTTCTGTTATGTACGGCTCGACGAAATGCGAGGGAGATAGATTGAGGACATTTCAGGATGGCAAAATGAAAACAACACAGATTTCGAAATCGAGGAGGCACTATGGAATCACTTTGAGTCAATCAGACGAATCTGAACAAGATGGTTGTGTCTCTTCTCCAGATTCACCGTGTTTTATTGCAGGTTTCTAAAGAAAAAAAAGAGAAAAAGAAAACACCTCATAATTAAGATATGTTTTCAGGAGACGATAGAAACTCTCAACAGGCTCTCCTTATTGCTGTTCACACTGTTTTCCATCGTGAGCATGAACGATTAACCAGTCTGTTCAAAAAAGTCAATCCGCATTGGGAGGATGAGAGGATTTATCAGGAGACAAGAAAATTGATTTCTGCAGAGTTTGCACATATTGTCTACAACGAATACCTTCCGATTATTGTCGGTCAAAAAATGATGGATGATTATGACCTGAGACCCAGACAAGAAGGATATTACAAAGGTGCGCCATTCTGAAAAAAACTCTTTCGGAAACACATAGCATTTCAGGATATGAAAACTGTGATGCATCAATCCTTCAACCATTCGCCACTGCTGCTTTTCGGTTCGGCCATTCTACAGTAACCCGGTTCACTCCAATGCAAGAAACTGTACTCTCTCCTGCCACCAGAGTAGTAGACTTAGCTTCTGATTTTTTGAACATGTCTAAAATTTATAACAATGAGGCAGTGGAGCAGATATTGGGAGGAATGCACGGAAGACATCAGATGATGACTGATAGATTTGTCGATGATTCTGTAAGAAACTTTTTGTTTTCTGATCGTGGAAGACGCGGAACTGGATTAGACTTGATTGCAATTAATATTCAAAGGGGACGAGATCATGGGATTCCGCCGTATAATCAATATAGGTTATTTTGAATTTCAGCGGTTTGATTTCTGCTATAAGCCATTTCAGATCATTCTGTGGTCTGTCTCGCCTCACTTCTTTCTACTCGATTTTCTCGGATATTGATCAGGATGGTTTAACGGCCATTGGAAACGTATACGAATCTCCGGATGACATTGATTTATTCACTGGAATTGTCTCGGAAAAAGTTATTCCTGGAGGGATAGTTGGCCCCACTGCTTCATGTATCATTGCGGAACAATTCAGAAGATTGAAAAAATGTGATAGATTTTATTACGAGAACGGAAAGGATTACTCAAAATTCACCGTCGAACAGTTGAAGGAGATTAGAAAAGTGACAATGAGCTCGTTAATTTGTGCAAACACGAAAGTTCCTAAAATAGCCAAAGATGTATTTTCCGTGCCAGATCCTTTTAGGTAAGTTGACATAAATAGTTAAATCTTACAATTAATTTCGTTTATTACAGTAATCCGCTAATTGACTGTGACCTGTACTCAAAACTGGATATATCGAAATGGCGAGAAGCTAAATATTGCATCTACAGAGACAAGTCTATTCCTTTACATTCAACAATGAAAATCAGTCCGTGCACAAAATGTACATGTACCAGTGATGGGGTAGGTTCAACCATATTTGTTGCAACAATACAAAAACAAAATCCGCATTTGAACCACTTTGTTATTTAAAAGCATTTTCCAGATAAAATGTGCATTTCTATCCCCCGATTGCTCGTCATACAGCAATGAGATACTGGCAGAGGTATTTGTTTAGTTCCGGGTATAATTAATGATAGCCTTCCTCTTTTTTTCAGGATCCAATCTGCTTTATGCAATGTGTCAACCGAATCAGAGACGATTTGGGAAATGGAAAATGGAGAATAAAATAAACATAATAGGAAGAGAAACGCATGAAACTTTTGAAATTCTTCTTCTTATTTTTTTTGAAGTTTCACACAGGCTATTAGTTATTCAGAATCGACCGCTCCAAGAGTGAGAAACGAGAAACTAGATTATAGATACAGAGGACCGTGGAAGGTTTAAATTGTACTGCTCAGTCGGTATTCAGCGGTACCTGCATTCTATCGGAGAAAGTGCAAGAAAAAATTAATTTAAAGGAAAAGTCCTGGACGAAAAATCTTAAGTGAGTCTTTCTTTTGAGTACTCTCCATTAAATGAATAATCGGCATATCCAATTTGTACATCTCTCCTTCTTCTTCTTCTTTTGTATCAACATCTTCTTTTTCGTCGACGTCTCGTTTTTATTCTTCTTCTTTTCCCCATACCTGTTCAGTGTCCTAAGGAGGGTATAATGCCCGATATACATCTCTCGTTGTCTCTTTTCTTATGTTTTCTTCATCTTCCCTCGCGCGGGCTTTTCTTCCCTAAACCGGCCGTTAGAATATCCACGATTTTTTTTTCAGGATTTTTGAATTTTTGTAACGTATATTTGATAAATAGCTCTGAAATTTCAGCTGAAACTAATTTAAATTTCTGATTTTCGAGCCAAATTTGGCCTTAGTGCAATAGAGCGCGCTTTCATAGCTCCCCGTCATTTAAGATTTTTTCCAGTTTCAATTGATTTACAAAATTTTTTAAAAAATAAGTGAGAAATATGTTCAAAGTATCGTACTCGATAACTTCCAGCATAGTGGCGACCAAACACAATGGAATGAGCCAACAAGTGTCGCCGCGGTGCACGACATCAAGTTTGCAATATTCTCAGTTGCCGAAGGTTTTTATAGTTTCCACAAAATATCGTAAACTTTTCAAAAGATTTTCAGGTAAAACCGGACGACCATTTGTCGCCCAATACTCGTGTACTCATCACAAAGCTCGAGGTTTGTCAGTGATTAATTGAAAATTGACCGACAGTGACTGATGCCAATCATCAGACTGATGCCAAAAGCGAAAATGGACCGGTCTTGGTCAGCGCAGAACGGCTTTCGCTTAGCGAATTTATTGATTTTTACACTTCCAAGAGAAACTATCTTTCGGTTGTTTTCAACATTCAGTTAATCTGAGTGAAAACAAGGGAAAGCTAGAAAAACTGAAGAATACTAACTAAAAAACGAAAGAAAACAGTTTTCAGTAACTAATTGTGAGAAATGTTTTTATTTCGCGCTCTCATGTGTCTGAAAATCTCAAGAAAAATGTAAAAACCTTTGTCTTTTGCCTTTATTTGCTAAGCTGAGAAACTCTGAGTCATCCGGCCGTGGCCTAGCACCCTCTCTTCCATCTCCTGTTTTTAGCAGAATTGAGCTCGCAAAAGCAAAAACATAACAACACCCTGGGTATTTACAGGATAGTATGCTAAGAAAAAGCCGATCAATAATGTCCATGGTTTTCGGAAGGAAAAAAGCAAAGGATCGTGCGGAGAAAGGACATCCGTATGTAGAAGTGAGTTGCCCTTATATATATTTTTGTGAAAAGGAGGCTATAATCTAAAGTGAAACTTAAAAAAACCGATAATACCTATTTATTTCAGGCATCAGTATCTCACGCCCTCGTTGTAATATTTCTTGAATACTTTGCATGGGGACTGCTGACAGTGCCCGTTATAAATGTAAATACTCTATATTCAAAAGTATCAATTTTAAAAAATTGTTCCAGGTTCTTGCCGAAACGTTTCCAACTAATAAGTTTCTGATGAATGGGCTTGTGTTAGGAGTTAAAGTAAGTTTTTAATTTATTGAAACTCGAGTAACTTATGGAGAAATTCGTGTCACCACTTACCCACTAGTTTAACTTTCTCAGGGTTCAAAAAGAAAAAAATTCCGGAAATTTTTTCCTTCCATTCTGCCCTTTTAAAGCGATTGCTGCTAAAATCGCCCCAACAAAAAGGAAAAAAAAACCAAATTATAGTCATCATCGCTGATTGTGTTTGTTTTACTAGAAAATACTTTAAAGCTATTCTTGTCAGCTGACTAAAGTATAATTATCTTTTTTCCAGGGCCTCCTATCGTTCTTGTCGGCTCCTCTTGTCGGTGCACTTTCCGATGTATGGGGTCGTAAAGCATTTCTGATTTTGACGGTGTTATGTACCTGTATGCCGATTCCATGTCTGAAAATCAGTCCATGGTGGTACTTCTCTCTGTTCAGTCTCAGTGGTCTTTTCTCCGTAACGTTCAGTGTAATATTGGCATATGTAGCAGATATCACGGATAAATCGGTCAGATTTTGTATACTGTCCACTAGCAATCATCTTTAAAATTTGTAGGAGCGATCTTCAGCATATGGTCTTGTCTCTGCTACATTCGCAGCTTCCCTCGTGACTTCGCCAGCTCTTGGGGCCTACATATCAGAAGTATATGGAGACAGTTTTGTCGTTCTTCTTGCCACAATCGTCTCTATCGCCGACGTCGTCTTTATTGTTCTTTTTGTTCCCGAATCGTTGCCATCACGTCGAAACACTGGATCCTCTTCACAGATCACACCGAACGAGGTGTTCAATTGGCAACAGGCAGATCCTTTCGGATCGTTGAGAATCGTGTGGGAAGATAAGTTGGTGAGTTTCTGATGTGTATCAATATAACATTATATACAACAAAAAATCAGTATTTCCATTTTTTTCAGGTTCTTCAACTCGCCACTATAGTCTTCTTATCATACCTGCCCGAGTCTGGTCAGTTCTCATGCTTCTTTGTCTATCTTAAGCTTGTTGTCGGCTTCTCACCGGAAGCCGTCGCCATGTACATTGGACTTGTTGGAATTCTCTCAGTTGTGGCTCAAACTGGTTTTCTTCATTGTCTGACAAGCAGATTTGGTACAAAGCACACAATCACGCTCGGTTTGATATTTCAGCTGATCCAACTGACGTGGTATGGACTCGGCACTCAGTAAGTATTGATGTTTCTACTCTCATTTAAACCTCTGGTTACAGATACTGGATGATGTGGGCAGCTGGAGTATTGGCTGCCATGAGCAGTATCACTTATCCATCAATCTCGGCATTCGTCTCAATTCTTTCGGACAAGGATAAACAAGGAACGGTCCAGGGTGTGATCACGGGAATTCGTGGGTTGTGTACCGGATTTGGACCCGCACTTTTTGGCACAGTCTTCTACTTGTTCGACGTAGATTTAGAGGATGAGAAAAGCGCCGGACCGTTATCGCTGATGGCACCAAGGAAGATTCCAGAAAAAATATTGGCGCCTAGTAGAAATGAGAGTTCGTGGGTGAGAATCCACTTGAAATTGCTTGAAATTTTTACGAATAATTTTTAGATCCAACAACAAGTAGAACGAGCAGCTGCGTTTGACTGGCAGTTCATTCCGGGACCTCCGTTCTTGATAGGTGCCATGATGGTACTATTCGCTTTACTCATAAACTCAACACTTCCTCACACGCCGGCAGCATCGAAATATTTCCGAAGGTCACCAACCCATTCTCGACAGTCATCAGATACTGCACGTCTTCTGAGCAATTCGGATTCTTCACCTCATTGCTGATTCCGAACAAGACAACTACAAGGAATTCGCATATCTTTTTCTCAAACGGAAAAACTTGTGATACATATTTATTTTATACATACACATTTCTCGATTCGTTTTTTTCTCTCCTAAAATGGTCCATTATTTTCGGGTATTTTTCTCTCTGTCTCTTCTTTACATGATGAATTCTTTTGACCCTTCAATAAGTAAGTAACTTCATCATCTGAAACCATCATAATTTCCATCCTTCCCCCGTTTTTTGCAATTCTTTGGGTATTAATTTCTTGTATCAAAGCAACGGAAAAATGTATAATAATCAGCAAATTTTTTCGCACCTCTTTCTTCCGGAATGGTTTTTTTTCATTCTTCTCATGAATCATTCGAGATTCTTTTTCATTCGAAACATACAATGACAACATCAGAAGCATAAATTTTTATTTCTATTCTTTTGAAAATGACTCCACCCACATAACGTCCAGCACACCTGGAATTCATTATAGACACAGAATGATTTCTGACCATATTGTCTTCCTATTAAGTGCTTGTCTACTGACCAACACTGCCTTTTTAGTAGTTAGTCAACAACAACATACTGAAATTTCGTATTCCCCTAAAGACCAGCTCACAGGTGGAATTTGGTGAAATAATTTCAAAAATGTTCTAGTTCAGAATCCAAAGAATGGACCCGTTTAGCAATCCAGAGACTATGGGCGGAGCGAGAACTAATGGGAACCACTCCAATCCACGTGGTAGTTCCGACTGGCATGACAAATGTGAAAATTGTATTCAAAAATGAATCAGCCTCTCCAACTGGGTCACTTAAGCATCGATACTCATGGGCACTAATGATGTGGGCGTTGCTAGAAGGGCATGTCAAAAATGGAACACATGTTTTTGAAGCGTCATCTGGGAATACTGCTTGCTCGCTGGGGTACATGTGTAGACTGTTGGGGTTGCAATTTACTGCGGTGGTGGGTTTTTGAGTACCATTCTAGAAAATCTAAATTGAGTTAGTGCAGGTTCCTGATACAATTGAATTAGTGAAAGTTCAACGCATTGAAGAGCAGGGTGGATCGGTGGTTAGAGTTCCTATTTCTGATAGGTTGTTTACCAAATATCTGTCAAACACAATCGTTCCGTTTTCAGATTAATAATAGCCGAACAGCTAGCCAAATCAACTGGTGGATTTTTTATGAATCAGTTTAAGAATGCTTTCCATGCAGAGGAATTCCATGAGAGTAATACCCTAACAGCACTTTCCCAAATAGTTGAACTTTGCAGGCGGTTCTTCTACTAAAAAGTCTGCAAATCTCATGGATGAACTCTTGATTCAGCTGAACCACACACCTCCAGGTGTCTTTATTCACCCTGCTGGAACAGGAGGTACACTCTCTTCAATTGGAAGATATGCCAAAAAGTACGGGTTGAACACCCAGATCGTTTTGGCAGATACTCAGTTTTCAATTTACTATGATTATGTGCTCAATGGAACGTAAGTGAAACTTTGTTTTTGCCTCTGACTTAAAATCCTCAAAAGACTTCTATTGACCAACTAACAAAAAAGTCTCACCACATTTAATACAAGATACCTATTGAAGTTTCTCAAAACAAACCGGTGCTCATCACTGGATCACTCCTGGTATGGCTGGAATTGGTTATGGAGCTATGGGACCTGCAAAAATAGCAGAGACAACTAGTCTAGATCCAGCAGTTATTGATCGTGTTTTAAAAATTCCTGATCTTGCCAGTACTGCTGCTATGAAAGTGGCAAGAGATATTGGAATAAATGGAGGGACAAGTACTGGAGTGAATTTTCTAGCTGCTTTGCATATTGGGGCATTGTATAAAACTCAACCGGTGAGCATAGCAACAATACTAGCAGATTCCGGGAAATACTACGAGATGACGTATTTTGAGAGGAATTGGATTGCTCAGAAATTTGAATTTCATGGCGGCCTTCCGGTATCGAAACAAATCAAAAATTTTATTGAATCTATTGTTTTTCCAGATATATGATTGCTGGATTCAGGTTATCACAAAATCGTTTGCCACTGGAAAAGATCCATTGGAACGTGGACAAAAAATATGCTCAGTACAAAGTTTTTAGTTACAATTCGTGATTCCCTGAAAACAAAAAAAGAATAAATTATGAATAACGCTTCGATGAATTAGTTAATCATTCTAGTAATAGCAAATAACTTGAATTCGATATTCAGAACATTTATATTGATAGAACATAAAAGACTGAAGCTTAGCAACATCTTGTGGCCAACAAGAATAAAAGATCAATTTCCAAGAAGTGAAAACTTCTGGGTGCAAAAATCAAATTTCTCCATCTCCAGCGTCACGTAAACGCCCTGTGGTAATGGAAACTGATTGAATTAATCTGTCTCCCTCCTTCTTCTCCGGCACACGACTCTAACCCATTTTTAGGTACAACATTACTTTTTTTTTCACTCCGATTTCCTTGATATTTCTTATGTATTATGAAAACTATTTTTATTCCATTAATGTTAGTGATGATGTTGTATGGCCTCAAATGGAGAAATGGGATCAGTTCCCGATATGGCAGACTCTGTTTTATATGTGTTTGAATGTTCACCATGTCTTGGTTTTGATTACAGTTCGAAAGTTTATGAAAGGCAGTTCGTTTTTCTTCATTTATTTTGTGACCGGTAATTTTGATACATAATGAACTGAGCCAATCATCTAAAAACACTTCCAGGTTGCTTTGATGTCTATTATTGCTACACACTTACCACATACAACATTTTCAAAAACACAATGAGTGGACCAATTTATGTGTGGTTATCTCAATTAAACAGTTCTAGTCTTTTCTTTGGGCTGTTCAATAATTTATTTGGCAATGGAATGATGGCAATAAATCGGTTTTGTGCAACTTTCTTGTCTTATGAGCGGTCAGTTTTTCTAACAGTACTACTCAGAGAATTTTTAGCGTCGAGTGGCGCCTTCCTGGCTCCTTCATGGATATTAGCGGAGGTATTCGGCTATCAGCCGGTGTTTTTGGCTAATATCGGCAGATATTGGCTAATAGCCAACTCAGCAACCACCATGCGTCTAGGCGGCGGCTGGAACTGTAGAGGGCCAGAGACTCGTGATAATTGAATCGAGCGGTGTGTTTCTGAAAAACATACCAAATTACTTCCCAAGAAATTTGAGAGTTCCCAAAAAAAGATTTACCGTAAAAACTGTAATATAACGCCACCTGTAATAGAAGGCCCCTCTAATACATCGCCATCATTAAAGAGTTCCTACAGATAGCAAAACAAAGTTTTTATGTTAATTAACATAGTAGAAGAGGAATCTAAAAGTTTAGTACCATTTGTTCTTATTTTGGTGTTAATCAAGTTAAAACCAATTTTTGTTACTTCACATCATCCCAAAACACCACTTCGAAAAATAGAACGCCATGGCGCTATAATACAGTTTTTACGGTCAATGTGTTATATTTTCTTTTGCGACTTCTGAGTTTTCCAGAAAAGAAACCATTCGGGGTTTTCAGATACTGGCGTCCCTTACACATCCTAATTTATTTTTCTTTGACTGCAACCATATCTTTGGCTTGTTGTACTCCTTATATCCTCCGCCATCGCTCATTTTATGTATCCAATGGGAACTGGGCTTACACAAATGTCAACTCGACGCTAATACTACAAAGATCTATTGCAATAGCAATCATTGGAATGTATGAAGTTATTGGAATTTCCATGAGTATTCTAACAGTTTACCGGCTGAAAATTCATGGAATTCGAAGTAAAAAGAATGAGAAGGTAGGTAAAATAATCGAACCACTTCCCACAGGAAAACTTTTTCAGAATCTAGTACTTGTGACTTCCCTTCATATTCTAGTTGACATCGTTGCTATGTTAATTATGATTGCGGAATTTCTTGAGTGGCAATTCTCATTGGCACTGTTTGCTGTGAAAAATGTTTTCCCTGTTACTTATACTGTAGTCATCCTAAATTCGGTCACAATGGTTGTCACAAACAAGCGGGTTCGGGATGCATACCTAATGACGATTAAGTTTTGGAAGAAGAGAGTGGAAGATCAGAACAGCTCATCCAGGCAACACACATCTTTACCGGCGACTCCAACGAACATAGGAAAGATTGCAGTTTTTTGACAACTAATTGAATGAAAACGTTCTCTATTTTTATTCCTACTAAAGGTTATAACATCTACAAAACAAAAAAAACAATTAACAGATCGAAAATTAATTGGTGGCACTTCGAAGTTTCTTTCCAATCGGGTTCAAATATTTTCCAAGCATTTTTTCTCCGAACTTTGATTCTGTTCTCACTGGTCCTTCTGGATTCTCCAATTCTTGGGAAATGTCGTCAGTGCCGTTTCGAAGACGTTCAACGAGAGATTTTTCTAGTCTAAAGTTATTATAATAGCTTTTTGAAAAGTCTGAAATAGCTTACCCATATTTAAGTGGCACTGGCGCTACGGAATCCTCTAAATCTTGTTGTTTTCTGGCTGCCTCATTCAATTCTAACCCGATCCATTCAGCTTCTTCCTCGGGAATACAAAATTCTGAATACTTTTCTTTGATATATGCCTTCTTGTCATCGTCATAGTCGTAGTAGGTCCCAGCTGCAAGCGTGAGAAGCATCTCGCGTTTCAACCTAAAAAAACGGTCTAAAAGTTTTCCAGCCGAATTATATTTACAAATTAGCGAATTTGGAATCCAAATCGATTTCTTTGCTTTTCAGAATATAATAATCTAGTCCGAAGTTCTCATCGATCAGCCTCATTGCTCGCTCAGTAACTGTGACTTTCATATACTTATCGAGAATTTCGGAGTGAAGAACAACGGTCTTGAGAGCAGGGAAAAATAGTTTCGGAACCCAGTATCTTGGCAAAATTTTTTTCTTTGTGTATGGCGCCGATTCGATCCATCCTTTAACGACTCTCTCACCACCCCACAATCCTTGATCGCCTTCTGGAGTTCGAATACCAACGATCGGATTATTTTCAAGCTGGACTTCTTGATTTTTGAAAGAATCATAAGCGACTCGAGAATTTGGTGGGCTGAAAAATGTCAATGAAAACGTCTTCATGTATATTTTAAATCAGTACCTGTAGTGGACAGGAGCTTTGTCAGACAAAATCATCTCCCAATATCTTTTCTTGTAGTGATCGGGTAATCGGTGAACAACACTTTCTTGATCTTTGAAAATTTCTTCGTTTCTCCGAATTCTTTCGGCTTTGTCCCAAGTGACGATAGCTCGAGGCACACTTGGTGTTAAACTTTTTAGATTCTTCACCAGCGATGACATTCCTACAAAAATGTATATTTAAATTCGGAAAATACGGGAATAGACTGAAAATGGGTTAAAAAGACAGAAAAGTTCCTTTTGCACGAGAGGAGTACACGATGTCCCCAACGAAGCACACTTGCTTCTTGTGTGCACATAGACGTGAAGGTGTTTGCGTACCACAACTTTATCAAATTTGCGCGAAAATAAAAATATTTATTGGTCAAGTTCTTTTTTCTTCTCTGCCTACTTTTTTTCGTTTCTTCACCTGTTTCAATAATTTGTGTCTAATTTATGTTATGCTTCCGCATCAGTGGCTTGGGGGCGACCGTTGTAGGAGCTTTAATTACCTCCCATTCTTGTTAATTACTCCAAGTTTTTTCTACCAGTTTCCAGGTCAGAAAACTTCATTTTTTTTCTTTAAAAGTTTCTTCGTTGAAATATAGAAACATTTTCAAAACTTCCTGACCTACAAGCTGAATTCCTCTTTTCACTTCAAACAGATACAATCACCCACTTTATTCCCCACTCTTCCGAATATGTGTCTCTTTTTCTATTTCTTCTACTTTGCAAATCCTCCTCCCGAAGTCTTAATCCCGCGGTACCGCCCGACTTCGTCTTCCAATGTAGGCAGAAGGACATTATTTCATTTTGACTATTTCAACTACTTTCGGCTCATCCCTGTATGAAGCGTTGACCTAGATATAAAACTGAAAGCTGGAAATTTCAGTCATGAATCTGTTACTTTGGAAACAAGAATTAAGTTGACGCAGTTTGTATTATGCAATCAGCTGTCAGAAGGAACAACTTGTTGTGTGGATAAGAAACCAATTTCCAGCCTTTCTAGTCCACACACACACACACACACACAGATTCTCAAAAACATACAGAAAACCAGCTTGCCAACGAAAAAAACCAGGCAAAATAACCAAAAGCGAAGAATAACACACTTTATATGCCCGGGAATCGTCAACATAGGGGTAGAAGGCGTTAATTGTCTTGCCTCCTAAAAGACAGTGCCTTAGTTCTCTTCCTCCTTCTCGCTTCTGGCTGGTATTTGTTTGTTGTGTCATCACCAACCATCTATGGCGTGGAATATTCTTCTTTACCGCGCATACATGTTTCTCTCTTGTGCCCGGAAAAGAAATAGCTGACGCTCCTTTATTGATGCATCACGTTTTCGTATTGCCCTGTTTTTTGAAAATTCATCGCCATTGATTGGTATTGTGTCAATTTTCGAGAACTTTCCTGTCTTTTTGGAATCTTGAAACCCCTCTTTATCAATCCTATTATTGAGCATTTTTCTTCCAACTCCCTGCGAAACCCCTGTACTCCAGGACCGTCGCACTCTAAACCAATCTAACAAATACGAAAAGTACTCGGTGACGTCGTCTGCTTCTTACTTCTAAATTGGCTTCGCGTTAAACTTTCAACTGGATTAAATCCTGGGAAGGCTTATTTTTTTTCTGTGAAACGTCGACCACCAGCAAAGCACAACGACTACAAATTACGGACACGGGAGTATAGTCATTAGCCTTTCCCCGCTCAAACGGCAGGTGAATTCGACTCGAATTTTCGAGTCGCGGATTTACGTAAATTAGTTTGCTCGGCTCTCTAGAGAGAAAGACACACGCGCAAACTGAAGTGTACTGCAAGTTGGTCGTCAGAAATGATTTTGTTGTTTTGCGGACTAGGAATAATCTAGTTAGTAAAGTTACAACCCGATTGTTTTTCGGCTTCCATTTCTGATGCAAAAAAATTAAGGAGTCCTACTGTTTCCGTATCTATCTCCCTTGTTTCTAAACGACAAGTGCTATCCCCCTTTCTTAGAAGGTCAAACCACTCACGATTGACGACTACTAGGGCGGTGTCTTTTTTCCAATTTAGACCTTCGTTCTTTCTTCTTTGGTTTAGTAAGTGATAGCAAATGGAACATTCCGATTCACGGTCCGAAAACTGGGTCACCAGAATTGAAATCGAAAGTGAGAGAAGAAGAATGAAGGGAATATAGGGAAATAAAGAAACACCTGTATTCCACGGTTTCCATGATAAGAGAACTTCTTCAAGTAGTAAAAGTGTACTTTCTCAGAATCTTACTGAACATTCGCAACACATACATATCATGATCCCCATGAAAATATTAGAAATTTAGGAATATTCCTGGACATTCATTTTTAAAAAGTTCTTTCTGCAAAGCTAATCTAGGCTCTGACCAGGTGACAGGAACAACTGACGCCGATCCGTCACTTCATTTCCCTTCCCATGTCGACGCTTTTCTTTTTTACGTATTGTCTCTATCGATTCGATTGAAAGAAGACGACGGAGTATCTTCAGTCTCCAAACCCTCCCCATCTTGCATACTATCTCATCATAAAACTGTCTGCCATCTCTAAGACCCTGTCCATCGCACTGTTTTCCTTTCTTTCAGCCTTGCAGTACAACTGATACATTTGTATCGTTTTCTCGAGTTTTTTTCTGTTTCCATTTTTTTTTCTTCACTATTCTTCTGTACTAAGTTTCCTTCGTATTACTACTGTAATGAACCCCCGATTGGAGCAAATATGAACATGAGCAAACAAGTTTTTTGTTGCGGGAGATGTCTCTCAATAGACAGTCGAATTATTCCGTTTTCGGAATCCGGCAGCTGCAAAAATCCATTGTCTTCCAACGAAAAAAAAAACACCCCCAATTCATTCTGTGAATCTAAGGATTCCCATTTATTTTTATGCCCTCCACACATCCTCGCCTTTTCCGCCTCTTTCCTCTCGAACGAAACGTACCCATGAATTAGATGAGCTCTCCTTTCCGTCTTCTTCATTCTTTCCGCCTTTTGTCCCGAAAGCTTGTCTCCTGATTTCTGAGAATCTTGGGGGAGGATGTTCAGATGTTGAGCTCCTTCTAGCCAATCAGAAAATTACTTCTCTCCTTTTATGGCCCACGTTGATAACTTCAGGACTTTCCGGCGGCTTCTCCCTAATCAATTAACAATTCGTTTACCTCAACCTTTGTAGTAAAATATCAAAATTCTCTGGCGATTTTCGAGTTGAATATATTAACATCATATGTTTTCTCAATTCCCACACATCTTCTGGTTCTTAGCATATCCTCCTCCTACACTCTTTAATTTTGAAGTCGAACCATATGGTGACCAGATGTTCTTTTCTGTGAGGTTCCACAAGGTTATTAGAGGTACTATTTTTCCGATGTTTCGAGGACGTTTGTCTGCTTTTCATCTTGTAAACTTAATCACAGCTTCTCCAAAGCTTTCCCGGAGGGCCTGATTATGCTTTCGGCCGCTGTAGCCAAATTACATACTGAAGAGCTGATGTGTTGGAAAACAGATGTGCGGACTCAAAGTCGATAGTTTTTCGTAGAAGTGCACTGCATAAACCCTGTCACGACCCTACTCGTCATCCTCCCCAGGTGGTCCTCAGTGACATACATTCTCCATCTTGGATAATGGATAATCATGTCAAGACCCTGACCCTGCCGTTTTGTGTTAATGATGTCTTTACGTTTACACGAAAGATTTTTTTGAATTGTTCTCATCATCATCACGATTCCGAAGCGAAACGGCCCCGTCGAATACACAAAAAGAAGACATATCCCATACGACGTAAAGATTGACAAATGGTCAGTTCAACACAATTAGCTGGAGAAAGTCGTCCCCCTGCTTTTCTCGTTTTCCAAACGGACCAGTCTGTGGTGTACACTAAAATCAATCGGGAGCAATCCGATGCTCTCTGTGCTGTTACACAGTGCGATCTCGTGAGCAGCTCTCCCAGAAGCAGTTGTCATCCTGAGATGTTAGGACGAAAAGAGTTTACACTGGTGTTCTTCCGATCCGCCTCAACTTTTGATGATAGAGATTCACCATCGTCTTAAACAATTTTTTTCGCTTAGGTTCACTCGCGAACTTGGCTAGCCGGTTCTCGAATGATTTTGCGCCAAGATATATTTTATATTCTTGTCATTGTTTCTTTCTCTTTTCACTTCTCTTGCCAACCAAACCGACGACAGCAGTCGACTGCTTCTCCATGTATAATCGGTTTTCTTCCGGCTCTCGTTTCTCTACTATAAACGTTGCTTTTATTGTCTGTGGAGGAAAACGGGGATTTCGATGACTGACATTCCAAGACTGAACGTTTTGTCGTTTTGTCGTGATCTTGCAGTTTCACTGAATCTAGAATAGAATTCCAGTACGCTTTCGTGTTTCTAAAACAAACAGAAGGCGTCGTCTTATTTTGGAACATTCCATATTTGTTTTTCTACCGAAAGTGATAGTTGTTGGCAGACGGCTGTGGCTGTGGCTGTATTTTTTAATTTTTCTCATAGACGAAAACAATATTCTTTAAGACGTCCTGAACATCTTCAGTTCAGGACTCTTCCATATTACCATTCATTTCATTTGAACTGATTGATGTTTAGAGGTGGTTTGATAAGGATCACTCTTATTCCGCAGCGGCCAAAACTTTACACACCTTGTGCCCGAGAAGAGAGCGCGCAAGTACTGATAAACTCGGCTGATAACACAAGTATTTCCATCGCTTTCTATTCTCTCTTCATCGTCTTATAGTTCGCCTCATTTTCTTTTTCTTCTCATCTCAATCATTACCAATGGGGGTTGAGTGATTGGTTGGGGTCTGGCCTTCTCGGAGGTAGACGATGCGACATTCGGAATCCGATAGTACGATTTTCCGAATTATTTATCACTGCTGCCCCAGTTTCCTATTCTAAAAAATCTCATTTCCGTTTCTCCTGGCTTTCTCACCGCACACTTCAATTACTCATTTCTCTCACTCTCCTCATTTCATAATATTTTCAGCAGCTCCATTTCTCAAACCCTGCACTTAGATTGAGTGTGTGATATGAGTGGAGCAGTACTGCCAGCCGCTGTCCACGTTCATCCAAAAATGGATCCAGCGGTTCCGGATATTGATGGCAAGGATGACGTTAAAGATGTCCCATCGACAGCGAACAATGATGCGTCACCATCTCCATCGGAGCCCGATTCTGATGCCATCAAGATGTTTGTGGGTCAGGTAAGAATTGCTTCTCTTCTAGTCGTTTCCCATTTCCCAAAAGTTGATATAATTGAGAGGAGGGCTCTCTTGTGTATATACCCGCCTTTTTCTATTCACCCCCAAATTGGAAAGAGAGGGGACATGTCTATTCACTAAAAGAGTCTTCTCCACAAATTTGATAAAAAGAATGAGATTTGTTTTCCATTCTCTTTTAGAATTGAGCGATACCAAATGGAACAGGAAAGCAATATATAAAAGATATTACCATTTAAATTGAGATAGAGGGGGTTATTTTTGATTCAATTCGCTGTCTCAAGGGCATTGGAATTAAAATGATGATCATCAATTTAAAATGAGAAGTAGGCCAGCATTAAAGGAGAGATAGCACACATGAAATAAGGTATAGATAAAGTTCTATCCGATGATAAATTCCCAGCGGAAGTACAAAATATAGGATAAAAGAGAGAAACAAAAATAAAAAAAGATAATAAGCCATGGGAATATTCAATACACGAGGCAAAACATGCATCATACACAGAGTCAACTATAGCGCTATTGTCACTTTTCCTCGCCTTTCTCTGTTTGATGAGAATCGATTTGGCTCAAATTTTCTGTTTCGTTTAATTGTCATTTTTTACAGATTCCTCGCCAGTGGAACGAAGTTGATTGCCGTCGTCTTTTCGAGCAGTACGGTTCGGTTTACTCGTGCAACATCCTTCGCGACAAATCGACACAGACCAGCAAAGGCTGCTGCTTCGTCACATTCTTCCATCGCAAAGACGCCATAGAAGCGCAGGGAGCACTCCATAATATCAAAGTGATCGACGGAATGCATCATCCTGTTCAAATGAAACCAGCTGATACTGAGAATCGCAATGGTGTGAATGTTTTCTAAAAGTCTAAAGATCTATAGTTTTCAGAGAGGAAACTCTTTATCGGCCAATTGAGTAAGAAGCACAACGAGGAGAACCTTCGTGAAATATTCGCAAAATTTGGGCTAATCGAAGATTGCAGTGTTCTTCGTGATAATGATGGCAAGAGCAGAGGTATTTCAGAGGGTTTGGTGTGATTCTAATCAAGTCCCGAGAAATTTTTCTTTTGGCCGACAGAAACCTTTTTGCATATAAGAGAAGTCGTCTCTAAATGTGACGTGGCACAGTACAAATACTTTGTAAATTGTCTCAAACTCTTTTTTCTTTCTATGTCTTCTTTTCTGTGTCAACATGCATGTGAAAGTAAGCCCAGGTGGGTGTGAGTGCCTGAAAATATATGAAGACAAAACAGAACTATTCCCCCTACCCCCAGGTGTATTTCATCCTGTGTCCGAGATCGAATCTTTCCCAGATGACGTTCAAACTTTTTTTTTTCTATATTTATATGTTTTCCATTCTGACAGGATGTGCATTTGTAACGTTCACGAATCGCAGCTGTGCCGTCGTCGCCACCAAAGAAATGCATCACTCGCAGACGATGGAGGTTCGCAATTATATTGCTTTTTGTCTAGTTTTTATCTTTTTTCATGTACTTTCACTCTATGTGACTCTCGCTATATGTGGGGATCCCTATATTATTGGTAGACGAACGAAAAAAGTTAGAATACATATCTAGAAACAACTTTTCACTAATTTCAATGTGGTTTAAATGTTTAAGTGTTCTGAGAATCTCACTTCTGAAATCCTACCAATTATTGTTTAATGTGTTCTTTCTACCAGATCTAGTTTATCTCATACTTTTAACTATGCGAAATTCGGTTTCCATAACAACGTTTTTCAGGGTTGCTCAGCACCACTCGTTGTCAAATTCGCGGATACTCAGAAAGATAAAGATGTCAAGACCAAGTCGTTAATCACTGGAAACGGTGCTGGATCACCGAAAGGAGGAGCTAACTTGCTTCATGGCCTGACTCCAGCGCTTTTGCAGCAGGTATCGGATTAGTTTGCGAAACGTGTGCTTATTCCTCGAAAGTTGTTTCAGCTCAGTGGTGGTCAAAACATACAAGCTGTTGCCAACCTTCTTTCTTTCATCAATGGACCACAAGGACAACAACCACAGCCACAACAGAATGTTCTCGGACTTTTGGGTCAAGGTAAAATTTTTAATTTTTTTCAACGTTTCAGATAGTTGTCAAGAACAATTTATATGTACCGAAAAAATTCAGTGCTTTCCACTCTTGGTAAAATAGCTGAAGGCGATGACGTGGCTAGTAAAAATGGCTCATCAGCCTCTACGGAGAAAAGGGTAACGTCAGTTATGACGTCACCACATACTTCTGGAGCTACCACCGCTGTTGCACCCCTACATCTTCATCAGCAACAGCAAAAACAACAGCAGTTATCTCAACAACAACAAGGTTTAGGTGGGAGTTATTGCCACTGTTATGGAAAGGCGTGTGGCTTGATAGCATGGAACTCTCTTTTTCTCTGCTTCGTGTGTTTTTTCTATTCGGTTTTCTACCTGCAATTACCCGTGGAATGATGAATCCCCGTTAATATGTCCTCTCTGTTTCAGGGAGTTGTTCTTATATATGGGTCACTAACAAAATGTTCTTGAGCTCCTTTCTTATTACAGCATGACGAACATGTTCTTAGATGAAATTCATTCTCCTGATATCATATCTCTCTTCACTTACAGGTGCTCAACTCCTTGCGAATCCAGTCACTGCTCAGAGTCAGTTTGATGCGATGGCAATGGCTCAGGCTCAGATTGCTCATCAGAATCAATTGTTAGCTCTTCAAGGATTCGCCGTTCAACAGAGCGCACCATCCCAACCACAACAAGGTAAAAAACAGAGTTTCGTGTGGTGTTTTCTTTAGCTCCTAACCTTCCGCTTCGATTTCCCACCTACTACCTTTTGCTAAGTTTGGAATCCTAACCTATCCTATGCTTGCCCCCAGTTCCAGGTTACCATCACCATCAAAATCAATATCAATACTCTACTGGATCGCCTGACTCGCCAAGCAACGCCACAGATTCATCTGATGAACCGACTCGAACTTCGCCGAATCATAGGCATCAGCCGTACTTAAATTTGCCGCCACCTCCACTGATGGGACGTCCAATGTGGCAGCAACGTCAGATACATCCACAGCTGTTTCACACTACTTATGGTACTGACTTTTGCATGCTTTTCCCCCTTTCTGCACTGTTCGCTAACTTGAAACCACAAAGAATTGAAATAACTGTTTTAAGTTCCAGGTCTGGCTGGGGGTCTCGCTGGGGCCAAGACTACTTCGCCAGTAGCTGCCACGTTGGCCAATCATCAACCAATTGCCCTCACTCCATTTGCTGGTGGAAACGCTGCTTTGGATCATTTTACAGCTATGCAACAGCAATATGCTCGTAAGTGCTCGTTCAATAATTCAATAATTCGTTTTTTGTTATAAAAAAATCCTCTTCAGTACTCGCAAATCTCCATGCCAACTCAGGAGTTCAAACAGCCACCACTTCATCTGGTCAACTAGTTGGCAATGGAGACGTCAGAGGTCCAGATGGAGCTAATCTCTTCATATACCACTTACCACAAGATTTTGGAGACACTGACTTGATTAACACCTTTGCACCATTCGGACAGATTCTCTCCGCAAAAGTGTTCATTGATAAAGTAACTAATCTATCAAAGTGTTACGGTGAGATCACTGAAAATTGCTCTCGAAATAGTCTGGTTTATAGGATTTGTGTCATATGAAACCCCACAATCGGCAAACAATGCTATTGCTGCGATGAACGGATTCCAAATCGGATCGAAGCGTTTGAAGGTGCAGCTGAAGGTTGATCGTGGGAATCCATACAACCGTTAGATGCGACTACAATCAAAAGGTTCATACTGCCTACATGTCTCTCCGTCTATTGTCTTAATAATATCTTTGTGTCCTTTGAAATATCATACGCATTTTTGTGTCCATCTTTTCATAGAATTCGCCTCTTGATATATTTTGTCCTGAAAAATCATCATGCACGTTTCAACATTGTCCATCTTGTCTTCATTTTTTTCATGTCTTTTTTACTTCGCAAGAATTCCATACACACACACACGCTCTTGCCTTTTTCTTTAAAAAAGTAGCATGCCCGTCCTCAGTTCTTCATACTGCTTTTATTTTTGTCCTTCCTTCTTTGCGTCGTTATTGTCACCTGCTCAACAGAGTTCGCCATTATTTTTCGGTTTTTTCAATGTGTTTTAGGTGTCCGTGGACAAAAAATAAAAGTGTAATGTGTGCATGAAACGTTTTATGTCTTCATTTTTCAACTATAAAATTCAGGTCATTACAGAACTCAATAAATGCTGATCGTCTTTTCTGGAGAACCAATTCACGGGATATACTTGCCTCTTTCGAAACCCATCCAAAAATAATAATACAAAACCTAACATTGAATATTCTAGTCATATTCTTGCCTTCTGTATTTATTTTGTTTTGTGCTTTTTTCTTGTTGCCAACGACTTCATGTGTATAGATTTTCAGAGTTTATATAGATTTCTATAAGACCTGTTCAAATAAATTTATTTTTCAATTTTAAACTATTTTATGCATGTTTGATTATCCGACACATATAGGCTGTATGATATAGCTTGTAAACATTGTATTTGAAATTATCGAGTTAAATAAATCATCCCTGCTGGTGGAACTTTCCACAGTATCTCCAATACTTGTCACAAGCTGCTCTATACTGGCTCTGTGCGGTAAGCAGTGGATTATTACAGTAGTTCATTGCGAATCCTTGATAACTTCTGCATAATTGATTGATAGCACCTCCTCCGCCACGTCGCTTTGATGACTTTCGTTGTGGGACCACTGGTTTGTCAGGAAGAGGAACGTTGCACTTTTCCGAATAGACTGGACAGAATACGATAGCCTGAATTAAATGAGATTGAATTCATATTCAATAAAAAGTTAAGTAGTTCACCTTCTGACCGAACCGGAATGGATCCGGACAAACATAAAGATACCGATTCTTAAATTCTTTACAGAATCTGGTAAAATTTATTTTCTTATGAGACTGCTCTCCATTTATAGCAGCAGCGCTTGGGGAGATAGCTGCTGTTCGGGGACTGAATTTTCCAATGTTAAATTTTAAAACGAATCTTAAGATTCGTCTACCTCGCCGATGTGTCCGAGTCTTGTGCTTTATCCGGTTCACCTTCTGGAATTGAGAAACAAATATTCTCAAATGCATTGCAAAAGTCTTTGTCTTTCTGTTCCCTTCGTTTTGTATTTGCACCAGTGCATACTCGGACGTATTCTTCTCGAAGTTCTCCACAAGCAACCTAGAAATTGTACATTTTAAAATCTTTTCATCTTCATGATTCTGATGTACCACTTATTCTTAACAAATGTGCTCGGAAAAACTCTAAAATTGAAAAATGGTTCTCGAGATTTCATCCTACATAACTCAATGTCACTGGATGAAAAAGGATCGGGAAACTCCCCAGAACTTACATTATCATGCTTTCTTTCTGTCTCCCAAGAAGCTCTTCCTAGCACGTCTCCAACAACAACAAGCAGAGAAAACAAAAGCAACCGCATTGAGCTAGAAATATAATTATTTTCAAGTTATCCGAAAAAAAAACTATACACGAACAAAAATATATCAATTACGCAACACAAAAGTCGGTGTCTTTAGAAGCAAAACGACAAGGAAAGACGAAAATGGAAAGTTTTTTTGGTGGGAGAAGGAGAAAGACCGGATTCTGTGTCTCTTTGAATTGTTATCATTATCATGATCATCATTGAAATTAATTATCAACTATGTTTAACTTCTCTCAAAATTTCAATGGTTACGGGAATTCATCTGAATATGTCTCACCGCAAATGGCAAGAAAAGAATCATGATTGCTTCTATTAGAGGTGGCCTTCAATTAGAGGGTGGGCTTCTATTTTTCAATGATTTATTTTCAAAAATTGTTATTCAAAAGTTCAGAAATTTGACAATTCGGAAGTTAAGAATTCTGAAATTCAGTATTTTGGAAAATTCGAAATGTTCAGTCTGCAATTCTAAATTCCAAAATACCAAATTTATGAAATTCAGAGATTCCAGGATCTCAAAATTCAAAGTTCATGTCGAGTTCTAAAGTCACGGTTCCAAAAATCCAGGAACTTTGAAGTACCCTATTTTCCCTAATAGAAGTCCATGAGCCCATGGCTTCTATTAGAGGGTGCGCTTCTATTAGAGGAAATACGGTAAACTTTCATCCAACGGACAGACAAGATAACAACTAAATTTCAAAAATAATATCATAGTTTTTTCTGTCGGTGTACTGAGATGGTTTATATTTAAACCTAAATTGTTGAACCGGGTTTTTACTGCTATCAATTATCGTCTTTTTTGGATAGATGTTGTAGTTGGTTAAATGTTTTCTTTTTGAGATTGTTTCGAGCTTGAATGAAAGTAGTTTATTGAATGTACTTAGATTTACATTTTACAAATTGATAATTTTCAAAAAGTGCAAAAATACATTGAACATTTAAACTTGTTGATTATTACAATACATTAAATGAATGGGCTGCATGGGATGGAGAGGGTGACGAAAAGTACAAAACACAGACAATCGGGGTTAAATAGAGTAGACAAGTAAGTGAATAATAGAAGAAGTTGTTTCAATGGAGTGGAACGACAAGTTTTGAATCGATTCAGAAGTTTGAAGTTTTTTTGGACAGGAAAGGTAGAATGCTTATCCTTGAGTTCCTTCGACCTTGCGAGAAAAGAAGCGTTGGATCTTGACAAAGTTCTGAAATCGACTGAATGTTTGGAAGTGCCCAAGATTGAATAAATACCTGTGGTGTGGTTGTGAATCTGTGAGAAAGCCCCTTTGGAATCACAATCAAATCTCCTTTCTCCAATTGAACGCGAATCCAGCTATCGTCCTCTGGCTCCACATCGTAGTAGCATGTTCCTTCGACGACCAAGCTGATGACATCTTCCTTTTGTGTTTGGGCCTCATAGAATTGCTCCATCTTGTCATCGAAATCAAGCATGGTCTCACTGACGGTGAATACATCCGTGAATGTCACATTTTTCTCGGTTTTCACTGCCGAGAGTCGTTTCTTCATTGAAGCGGTGTCCTCGAGGTCTACCTGGAACAAATTGATGAGAACTCATTCACAGGAGATGTTTATAACATTATTGTTTTTTATCTCATGCGGTCCCAACATTTAAATCAACCATATAATCAATTTAACTAAAGTTCCAATGCAAATATGTTCAAACATCAAAAATGTTGTTATTGTGGTTATTCTTTCGTCATCCTACATACAAAAACTGTTGGCAACACAATTTATGTATGTTTTCCATCTATCTCTCTCCCGTCACTTTCCCCTAATTGTTCGGTACGAAAAAAAGAAAGAGGAGGAGACGTTTTTTCCCTTTTCTTTTTTCGCAAACCAGAATTCAAGTTTTAAGGCTAGCTGCCGGCTACATGGGATCGGGTGGGCTACAATGCTATAATGCTGCAGCTATAACAAACTTTGTGAAATAAAGAGCTGCGTGGGATGGGATAGAAATTGCACGATGAAGTTTCAGATACACTTTACATCAAACTGGACTGTTGCGATGGAGCCTACAGTTTCCCAATAGTAGCACCTAATTGGATGCTCAATATGTTTACCGCCTGTTAAATTATCACCAGACTCACTAACTTTGTAGTACTGCACTCCAGCCAGTGCTCCCAACTGAGTTGTAGTGATCTTCTTTGGTGGGAAGACGTGGTGAGGGAGACGGCGGTCTCCGCATGGAAATGGTTCCATGTGCCAGATTTGCATTGTAAATTGGAAATGGAGAGAGCTCTATAAGATCAAAAGCTTTTATAAATGTTTTTCACACTATATCTAGTTTCAGTACAAAAGCGAGTAGAAGAAATAAACGTCAGACGACAAAAAAGTGTGGGGAACAATAACAAAGAGTTGAAAAATGTTCGGAACAGGACAGAGAGGTAAGGTTAATTCGGGATTACAGTGTGTTGAAAAAATGTATAGTTAAAGAAGGATTAGGTCGGTGTCATAGCCAAAAGAGGATTCGATGACCCAGCTGTTTGTTCAGTATTACTCTATTTGTATATGCAAAAGTGTTGAAGAAGAAACATTCATCTGAGAATCTAGATTCAAGATAAAGGAAGGAAATAATTCAACTAAAAACTTTGAAACAAGCAGAACTGTAAAAGATATAATGATAAAGCTGCCTCTCTCCTGTGGTACTTATATGCTCGCTGGCTACATGTAGCCTCTTTGGAATCCATGTGCAAAAAATTGTAGACGGAAGGCTGCGAGAATCCGAAAAAAACTAAAACAGCCATACCGATAGATGAAATGAAATTCAAAAATCCAAGAAGACGGGGTATCCATGAAATAAGGCAAAACTTGAAGCCTTTAAATCCGAAACGATCGGAATCTAGAAAAACGAAAAAGTGGGCGGGGCTTCGATTTTCTCCTCCCCATTTCCAACAGAACGCAAACAACAAGAGAAGACGGAGGAAGGAGACTGTGAGAGTTTCGGAAAAAAAACGGGATGAGGATTGCAGATAGCGAATCTGAAAAAGTCGGTTAGGACTTGCTGACCGGATATGTATCTAGCATGAAATTGGTGATATCTCATCCAGAAATCTGATTTTTCAGGATAAGCATACTGAAAGGGCTAACATTCAATCGGATAAAATGCTTAGATTGAGAGAGAGAGGCTGATGCTGTAATATTTTGAAGCGTTCGGTAAAATTAGTGTCAGCTCTACTTCACGGAGTCAACTTCTCTTTGTCAGAATAATCTCAAAAAAGTTTTTATCTTCATATTTGATTGAGTTTCGATGTTTTCTCTCAAGTTCTCTTGTTTTCTGTTCATCAAGCAAACAGTTGAAACCACTTTCTGCAAATCCGAATGAACTCAGATCTAATTCCGAATAGTTAACCTGAGAACGTGGAACCATGTTATTTGATTCAACTAGACTATACAAAGATCCTGATAAAAGTATTCTGTCAGACAAACAAACAGAGATGACGTTCCAGACGATCAAAGCTCACAGATTTAGCAGAACCAGATGGGAAAATGATCAAACTTATCTTATGAACTTTTGTATTTCCGGTGTGATCATAGGGTCTTTTGAATTGTTTGAAAGGTGATGCGGTAAACAAATATACGAAAAGTTGTGAGGTGAGAAACCTTGTGAATCGAGGTATACCATTGTTTGTTAGATTGGAAATAATGTTTAGATCAATTTTCTCCAAAAACCTTCATCTCCATCATTTATATGTTGCTAGGAACTTTTTTTAAAATGTCTTTGTTAAACACTGGTTAATTTTCTGCTAAAATATATCCAAGTTAGATATCATGATGAGCAAACTTATGAACAGAAACGGGAGCCAATTTTTCATTCAGAAAAAATTTTCAGAAACAAAGTTTTCGGGCAACTTTATTAATTCTCCATATCATTTTAATAGGAACTTCGGACTGATAAACTTCAACTTCTCCTTTTTGTTTTTCCTACTTTTGAATATCGACAGTGTCATAAACTCGACACTGTTCTTTCTTTCCTTTCTCTGTCAATAAAATTTAAATGAAACGACAGATTCATCGGAAAGATAGCTTATGCTTTTTGTGAATTGCAAAATCCTAGAAGAAAGAATTAGAATCTATGTGAGGGATCTAAATGAAAAGCAGTGAAAACACGAACAAAATTAGGAGGGAAAACAACAAACAGCGTAGAAAAATGGGAAGGGAATGGTCAATCATCATGCTGAACCTGCTGTTATTATACGACCTCTTGACATCCTAATTATTAGAATGAAAAGTCAAAGAAGAGAAACTGGAATCCGAACACTCTGGAAGCTAAGGTTTCTTCCAGATTTCGAGTATACTCACTACTATGGTATACTTGACATAGTTAGTAACTCTACAAGTCGGTAATTATTACTTAACTTCTTTTTTATTGTCTTCTGAACAGTTTTGCTCTTAGATTTTGAACCTTTTCATTTATTAAAATTTCTCTCCAAACAACAACAAAATCTTTGAAGATAGAGATCGAAAGATTATAAAAACAAGACAATATTGTCTAGAAGCTTAGTGTGTCAATTGAAAATAAAATGATGAAAAATTCAAAAATCAAAAACGAATTTGATTTTGAAAGATCAATTTTACTAGATGTTTGATAAAGAAAAGTTTAGGTTTCAAGATTCACACCTACTCGAAAAAAACGAATCTGCGATAATCTGAAAAAAATAATTTTTAACGGAATGCAACGGCGTGGACATCGGAAATAGAAGAAGCTATCTTTCGTACGGACAACTAATTTTTTATGCAGATAGCAATCAGACGGTAGGAAGAAAAGAAGTCGGCTTGGCAACACTAAGCCTGCCATTCTCCTAACATACACAAAAACCCGCTACAATTCCTTTCCTTATGTTAGCCATACGCGTGGGCGGACCGGCAGAGGTGATAAATTGGATATGTAAAGTCTGGTAACAACGAAAAAAAAATCTAGATCAGCTGTTTTCGTATGCCAAAAGCAGAAATTTGCCATTGATGGGGGACGATGATAATAGAAAAAGCTTGCATAATCTCTAATACTATGATAAAAGAGACGATTGCGTAAACGTAAGATGATTGAAGATGGAATGGTATCAAGAACTAGACTTCTTGAAGTATGTATTCAGAGAACGTGTTTTGTAGTGCACATTCCAGTGAGGAATTTGTTTTCAAACAGCTGGAATCACCTTTTTCTTTTACTGTTCGTCGCTTCGCGACTTACTCTATTTCAAGGTCACGTCAATTCATATTTAATTTTCAAGCTTTTCAAAATTTGCGGACAAACTGACAGAGAGATAGAGAGAGAGAGAAAGAGACGCAACTTCATTTATTTATTATAAGAATGATGATTAGCGAGCGTCGTGCATGCATACTGTATGTATTTTTTCTCCCCGATACGAAAAGTCATCATTTCGGGGAACACAATGTATTCTGTTTTTGTCAACTGAAGATGGAATTTGAAATTTTCCGATTCTATTAGACTATACTTAATTTTTGTTTTTTATCTACATTTTTCCAGAACCTCTTTAAAAAGTGTAAACAGCTCTACTTCTTGAGACAATAAGTATGAAATGTTCCAGCCGACCTATCTCTCCTAGAAGATATAATAGAAAAAAGTTGTCAAGTACAAAAATATAGCCCACGTTTTTCTTAATTTATCACAATATTTCCAGACAAATATGCTGAGCACTAATTGGTATTGTAGTTAATCGAATTCGACCTTTTTCTGAATGAAACTACATATGAAGCTCATGAATTTTTAGTAATAACTTCAAGAAAACCACTGAAGAAAACCTACCTTTCAAAAGTTATCCGCAATCTTGAACAGTTAACAAACATTTTAACACAGAAAATATGTATTCCAATGTTTTCCTGATCTACCCAGATCGTCGGAAGTCATCGTTTTTAGATCACTCATAACTTGGCTCATTGTACACCCTAGAAGCTGAAAACAGTTTCAAACATTATCATTTTTTGCCTTTCATCCATTTCCGTCGAAAAAACCATGAAAATATCAAAACTCTTCAAAATAGTAGTTTGTCTGAAAACGCATTTCCTCGCTTGACTCTATCGGTTGCGTTTATTAACCGTTCTGCAACGGAAAATCGAGGGAAATCGCTGAAAATTGAAATACTGAAACATTGAATTACGTAGAATTAGAAATTCAAATTTTCGAGATCAAATCGACAATCGAGTTCTGAAACGTTCAGCCGCAGTATTAATTCCATAAACTCGAACTTATCTTCTTCTCACACTACGCCGTTTAATGGTTGCGTCGTTCCCATCATTATCTTCTTCGTTTTCCATCGTCTTTGTCTATCAGTTCATCTTCACTTTATCACTTCTCGTCGCTATCATTACATATCTACAATATCGCTGTGACCGACTTATTCTCTCTAATCTTTACCACAATTTCTATTACTATGATACTGAAGATATCTTTCCTACTTGCTACTTTGGTAGCTGCAAACGGACAAACTCAAATAAGTGACAATTTTCCGGCCAGTGACATAATCGAACTTCCAATAGGCAGGTGTGAGTCTTTCCTTTTTTTAAAATGGGCCTTGTAAGTTGTAAGCGTTGAATATTGAATATTTATTTAAGTCAGAGAGAAGTTGAGTCTGATTGAGTGGTATATTGAAACAGTATCATTAAAAAACCACCGAAAAAAAGCAGTGCGAGATAGAACAAAAGTATATCGGTTGAAACTGCCCATGTACAATTAGGATAGATAGAAAAATCAGCAATAGCTAATGACTAATAGTAAGAAGACAACGATTATTGTTTGACAAACATGACAGATTTAGATAATTTAAACAGAAAGAAATTAACATTTAACTTTCTTCGAGGTTCAGATTTCCCGAACCCGAATGTCGATACAGTGTTCACCATGGCTCGAGCATGCGTGGCGAGTTAGTCAGAACGAAAGTGAACATCGGTGACGAGATATATCACTCATGGAACTGTAATTACAACGGAGACCATAAGAACTACCTGTTCTGTGTAATGGTGAATAATTGCACAATTTCGGATAATGGCGATGAGGAGACCGGAACAAGGAAGGTAAGTTGGTGATTTATTTTAGGCAAGTGTAAAGAAAAGCTTCATTTCAGGTGCAAATAATTGATGAAAATGGATGCTCAGTATTTCCCAACATCCTCCCGGACGTTACTTACCACGGAGACCTATCAGCTGGTATTAAAGTTCATGCATTCGCTCTGGATGTAGATAGTGTGGGTTAATTATTCCATGGCGGTTTTCTAGTCTAGACGTTTCAGACAGCTGTTCATTTCACTTGCAATATTAAGATGCTCTTCAAGGATCACGACCTTTGCCAACGGCCAATTTGTCGAAAACAACACAGATTTTCTAGGTGTCTTCATTGATTTACACTATTGCTTTTGGTTTCATAAATTGTTGTTTTTTTATTATTTCTTCTCGAAAATGGTGAAAACCCGAAACTCGTCGATTTTGAAGCATTTCAGGTATTCTGGTATGCCATGAGCTGAGGACACAATAATGAGAGACTAATGTGATAATAAATTTATTCGTTTAGTGCTTACTCCAAATATACAAAAAGAACAAAAATTAATAGTAATAATTAACTCCGACAATTTACTTTCTGCAGGAAGTGGCACAGCTTTGTTGACAAGCTGGTTGACACTGAGAAATTGGCTGTTGTTGCTGAATGCACTGGGTGTTGCATGACTGTTCACATTGTGGCTGGCACTGGGAAGACTGACGAGAAACTGGAACATTGATAGTCAACTGAACTTGTTGTTGGGCAACTGGAGCAGCTGGGGTGCAGGCTGGTTGGCATTGAGCATCACATTGTGGGGCACACTGGGCTTGTGAGGTTTTTTGGGCTTGGCATCCTTGGTTGCATTGTGTTTGGCAGGTGTTGCATTGCGAAATGGATCCTCCGGTCTGAAATGAATTCTTAAAAGTTAGATCAAATATGTGGTCGAAATCCTAACCTGAATATTGTTGGTATCTCTGTATGGTTGGTAGGTTGGGGCGGTGGTCTGGGTGGCTCCTTGGTAGGCCGGAATGGCTCCAGGTTGCTGGTAGTTGTTGTTGTTGTTGTTCTGGGAATAGTTGACCTGGTTGTAAGCGCTTGAAGTGGATCCACATGCTGGCTGACAGGTTTGGTCACAGGAAGATTGGCACTGTTGCACTGGCTGTTGTTGTTGTTGGCAGGTGTTCAGGCAAGAGTTCTGGCAGGTATTGCATTGGTTAGCTTGTTGAATTGGAGCTGCCGTTTGGGATGATCCTCCGGTATATGTTGGAATTTGTCCTGGCTGAGCATAGGTCATTTGTTGAACCAGTTGCTGATTGTACTGGTCATCGGATTGGCATGTGGTCTGACACTGTTGTTGGCACTGTGGCTGTTGTTGTGGTTGATGTGGGCAAGCAGCTTGACAGTCTTGTTGGCATTGCTGTTGAGCTGGCTGCTGGAGTTGAACAGGTTGAGCACAGGCAGATTGGCAGGTAGAAGCGCATGAACTTTGGCATTGAGCTACTGGCTGAAATTTTTCAAATTCGTGTTGTCATGAGAACAGAGATACTCACTTGTTGCTGGGCAACACAGCTTTGTTCGCACGAGCTCTGACAACTTGGAGCGCACTGTTGTTGTTGATATTGCTGAGCACATCCACAAGATGATGGCTGTTGAGACTGGGCGCATGAGCATGATTGTTGAACAGAGTTTGATTGAGATGGTTGACAGTTACAAGATGGGGCAGCTGGAATAGCACATCCGCAAGAGGACTGACGACGTGCACGGAGGAACTGAATGAAAAACTCATTGAAAAGTGGATGTTTGAGTTATTTATGTATTAAATCGTTTTCTCATTGGACATGATTTTTGGAAGATCATTTCGCAAATTAATTAATTGTTCAAGATAAAGGATTGCCATGAAAGTGAACAGAAAAAAAAGAAATCTGTTAAATAAGATGGAAATTCCTCACCACATCATCAGCAGCTACAAAAGCTGAAATAGCCAAAAGAGCAAAAATTGTAAATTTGGTGTTCATTTGAAATGTCAGGTGATTGTACTGAATGTCTCTTCCACCCAACTCTTCACTTATATATCCGCGTTGAAATCAGTTAAACATTCTCTACCTCCATCCTCTAGTTGAATTCCGGTTTTCTCCTCCTAAGTGATGCGTCTCCTCTCCCACTTTTTTGCACGAGTTTTTGCGTGTAGATGATTGAGCAATTGTGTGCTCATTTAGTGAGCATGAGTGGAACGCATAGGATAGTTTGTTGTGTATGATGGCTTGTTTCGTAACTTTAATTGAATGTTTATCAGTTCCTCATTGTGTTCAATTAGGTTAAATTCGTTTCTAAAAATGTTTGAAGAGTTATCATGAACTATGTGGACATTTGATGGTGGTGCTGTTTTATTAGAGTTTTGTATCTTTTTATGGTCTAGGAGACATTATGGACTACAGCTATGGGTTGCAGATAATAATGTTGATGCTAAATTCTGGTTGAGAAAAAGCTCGACCTTAACATTTGTATTTCGCATGATGTTTCATTATTAAAAATTAAGTTGATTACTGACAACCGGAAGTCATGGGGCTAAGGACTAATCGCTGATAAGTTCATAGACCCCACAAAATGTGATCCTAATTAATCAAATTTCTAAGTTTATTAAGACAAAACTCGTTCATTTTTTGTGTCCTTGGGTTGTTTATTGTTCCAAACCCGAAGCTTGTAGAAACTCAGTTTATTTTATGAGTAATTAATTCTTATCGATATCATTCAATATAACCTGACAGAACAGTTTGCACAAGTCGGTAAAATCGCAGTTATCCTATTAGCAAACAAAGGGTAACCCTCGCATGTATCCCGGGCTGCCAAACTTTTTTGGAGAAAGGCTCTTGCTCTTCCCCAATTCGCTTATGATTTTTTGTTACCAGTGACGCGCTCAAGAGATGAGTCTTCTGTTTCTCTTGGATCAAGAGCGAGAAGAACATTTGCTCCGAAAAAAAGAGAGAGAGAGCATGCAGAAATGACCGGTCTGTGAGTAGGGCAAACAGAAGTATTGCATGTTGCTCGACAAATAATCATTTAGTAGAACTAATGAGAAGAGTAGACAATTTTGCTTTGGGCATGCTTTTGAACCTCGCCGTAACTTTTAAGTTTATTCCAAAATTTATGGATTTGCTCGGAAAGAATCAGAATCAGGCAATCATTTTGATAGTTCCTATCTTCAAAATTAACACCTGCAATAGTACTGGTCTATGATGAAAATAAACTGTGAAAGACATTTCTAAACTTCCCAGACTCGAGATTTTAAAGTCAACCGTGGGATGACGTCCTACTTATTCCTGATCAACTGGTTTCAAAAAGGTTTATACAGAAAAACCCACTGCATCAAAAAGATCTTCCCTCAGAATATGCTGCATTGTTGTAACAAAATCAAAAATCTTCTCAAGAGATTTGGGGTACCAAACTTGAAAACACTTGAACATTTGATACATCCGATTCTTGATCATTGTCTCCACGTTTTCAGCAGACACCAATAAATTCTCACCACATTGCTCCGACATCCTGCACAGTAAACCTGTCCTATAGCGAGCTTGTCGGGTCATTGAATGCAACTAATTGTATGGGAGTTTTTGGCGGGCAAATATAATGGAGAAAACGGTTTTGAATGTGGAAGGGAAATCAAAATTGAAGGGAGGCGGGTAGTCGGAAGCACCCCAACACCTACAGGCCATTTCAACATTTTTTCTTTCTTCTTTCCATTTTCTTATGGGAAATACTGAAGAGGAATTGGTAGAAGAATGGGTTCAAGATTCACAAAATGGATCTCAAGTCCCGCTGGATCACTTAGTAAGTTTTATAAATTCACTGATTTTATCTGCTTGGCTTCGCAGGTTTCTCTCTATGGATACGCATTATTGGGCCTTGAAGACTCTGACGAAACTGTTAGATTTCGTAAAATCGAACCGAGCCATGAAGTTGAATACGTCAGCGACATGACAGGAGAAACAGAGCAGCACTATTCCGAGGAAACTGATCAGAAAGTTAAAGAAAGAGAGTACGAAGAGCCAAAAAGGAGAGTTAGGGTGAGTATTGTTCTTCCTGGGGTAATTCAAAAGAATACAATTGTTGGTTTTTCGGTATATATGTATATATATATATATATATATATATATATATATCTCAATATAGGTACATTAGTTTTATTTAAGTAAGAGTGTCGTTTGAAAAATGTTGAACCATACTTGTTTTCCGTTAGAATCATCTAATTTTCTGAAGATTTCGAAAAATGTTTCAATTGTGCGTTCAGTTAATCATAATACATATATATATTAGAAGTTTCAGTTTTATAAGTCGTGTCCTGTATTTTGATGTTCTAGTACAAAAATGTGTCAATTACGAAATTGTTCAACACTTTTGGAGAAATTGAACAAGTCATAATAAGCTTTAACATCAATTAGATACTGCCAGAAGAAAAAGAAGTTCTTTTGAACATTTCTGGGCTTCCCATATATCCCACAAGATCGAGCCAAGCCGTGAAACTCTCCTATAATATGTATCACTTTTTCATCGTAAACGTTTAAAACACCGTGTTTTCTCGCAAAAAAGTTCAGGAGTGTGGCGTTGTGCGATTAAACAGAACAAATAGGTTAAACACATTCGGACTCCTTTTGTCTATTGTTATGTGCTCCTCCTTTTTGGTCGTGGTGCTCGGTCTTTTTCTTCTAAAACCGTCTTAATTGTTTTCTGGTAGTTCGTTTTTCAAATAGACCCACGACCTTCTTTCTCTTGTTTTTCTTGACCATCATTTTCTGACTGAACGTTTTTGACACATTATTCAACTATTTTTTTGAATGAGCTATTTTCATGCTCAAAGCGAATTGACAATCCTCACAAAATGAGCGATGTAACATTTGAGAATAAGATCGATGAAGCCACAACATCTTCCGAACCGATTATTATGAATCCTGATTCCAAAAATTCGACTGCAACGAACACTAATATTGCAAACGCAACACTGACGAAGCCGCCAAAACGGGAAAAGGTTGGCTTTTATTCTGTATTACTGCAGTATTTCAAAATTTCCAATCTTCTACTATTGGCATACTCCAGTGAAATGTTGTATTTGGTAGTTTCTAATAGTAAATCAGGAGCATTTTGTGGCTCTTTCAACCGTCACATCGCATTGAAATCTAAGTCATCGAAAACGGGCGGTCTGTGTTTTTGGACATGTCAAAATTTTGTCTCGCGCAATTGTGCTCCCACCTCGGTTTGCACATTTTATCTTTGATATCACGATTTTCCTAGTCTATGCCTATTTGATACATTCTTCAACCACAATTTTGATGAATTTCACATATTCCTGATACCTCTTACTATTAGGTGAGCTCAAAAATGTTCAATTTAAATTTGAAAGTCAAGGAACAACAAAGGTTCAAAAAGGTTTTCAGACCGAAATGGATCGAACGATGGACCGACGCGATCGAGACGACAATCACTCAAACTACTATATAGCTGAAGGGTGAGTGTATTTTAAAGATACAAACGATGAAGCTTAACCCCATAATACTAATTGTACTAGCCATCCAGTTAATCGTGTTAATGGATTTATTTTCTCTGGGTTTGGTTTTTTTGACAAAATTTTCTCTCATGAAGTTCATAGCTAACTATAAAGTTCAGATATTGCTTACTGCCGAAGAAATGGAATACAAAATATACCACTTATGAAATTTAAGACAATTGATACTCTCTTCAATGTTTCTTTAAAACTTATAAGTGAAGAAAGTGTTAAAACTAAAATACTCGAAGAATTCTTTTCTGATTTCTCAGCTACTGCTATTGAGTAGATATCGCTTTTGCACAAGGAACTTCTACCCAGAACATCAAATTATTTTTATGGAGGAATTACTTCAGAATAACTATGAGTGTTTTTGGTCTTTAAAAAATCATGAATTCTCATAATTAAATTAGTCCTGATTTTTTAGTGTCCTAGTTCAAATAAATATGTTACGATGTCCTTAAAGGAGGTGAGATAGCAAAAAGTTTGGAGTACAGTTTGACAGACGAAATCGCGCCGAGCTTATGTAGGTCATCGGTCGACAGACGAGATCAACTTCTCATGAGGGTGCTCAAGGAAAAACATCTAGACAACTTTTTTTCATGTCTTGCTTCAACCCCTAGAACATGTATGTAGAAACATCCAAACACGACTACGCATTGATGTCATTCATGCTCATAACTTCGCATTATGTTTCTTTTTCCCGTTTTTCTTTCTTTAATACGAATTCCCAGTCAATTTGCCACATTCTTTCCCACCTGTTCTCTTCCTCAGTTTTGATTTTCTTTCGATATATTTCTGCCAAACAAAAAGGTGTCAATTTCTTGTTTGTTTGCACAACCGATTTAGACCCCGTTGATGAGAGATAAAAAGAGTCGCTGCTTTTTGGCGGTGGATGCGGAAAAAAAAACAGAAAAAGGAACTGAACCTAATACATTTCGATGGTGGCGACCCGGAAAAAAGACTGAGAAAAGAAAACACACATTGATCAGAGAAGTTTATTCTGGCTAGGCCTCTTGGGAACTCGAAACTTGAAGGTTTAGATAGACCGATGTCAACCAAAACGTTTCTTAAGTCATTGAACGATTTTCTTAAGTCATTGAACGAAAAAAAATAACTGATCTGCGAAAATAGAGTTTTAAATATGCCTCATAGATCCCGAAACGTTCAAACCAGACCGACAAATATTAAGTTTTTATTCAGGCACTCTAAGATTTCATGTTCATCTAAATCGTTCACTTGGGCATTTCTTTTTGGCCAATAATGTATGCCCATTCTACAACTAAAGGAAATCATTTAAAGGTGGTGTACGGTGAAATTTTTTATTGCATCAAAATGTGCAGAAATGCATGTAGATTGACATAAAAATAAAGAAACAATTCAAAAAAAATTCCTTCATCGAGAAAAACGCATCGAAAAATAGCCCTTAGGGACGATGTTTTTTCTAGGCCGCCCGGTGAGCAAAAGCGCGCGAATTCAAACTTTTAAAATTTTTTCGCTCGTTTTCATTTTTTTTTCGGTTTTTTGTTTTGTGAAGAGTTTTTGTCAATTTTTCTTCCAGATACATCGGAAAATTTGAAAAAACAGTGAAAACGAGCGAAACAATTTTAAAAGTTTGAATTCGCGCGCTTTTACTCACCGGGCGACCTAGAAAAAACCTCGTCCCTAAGGGCTTTCAGCGTATTTTTCGATGCGTTTTTCTCGATGAAGGAATTTTTTTTGAATTTTTTCTTTTTTTTTAATGCCAATCTACATGCATTTCCGCACGTTTTGATGCAATAAAAAATTTCACCGTACACCACCTTTAAATCGCGCAAAATTGACATTGGATAACATTTTGATTTTTAACCCCAAACTAGCGCTGGCCGCTAGACAAAACAATACTTCAAAATTTGAAGAAGTTCAAATAGAACAAATAAATTTTGTGGATGGTTATTCTCCCTCCGACTGTAGTTCGATCATGACATTTGATACACTCAATACGGTCGTCTGAATCCCATATACCATGTTCACCGTCTTTTTCTGTGTTCATCATCAGCATCACAAAAGCGTCAGAGGATTAGTGAGAATGTGCGGCCTCCAAGAACAACAGTAGAAAAGGGTTGTATTTGTTTTTATAAAATATGCGTATTATTTTCCTCATGCTCATCTTCCTAGTCGGGGGGTTGCGTGAACAAGCCTCATTGTCTTAGGAGCATGAGTCAACAACTATTTGATTCGAATCGGACTACTACTGTGCTTGCACAGTGACACGTTTGGAGAAGAGGGGAAACTGGAGACTTCGAGATGATCTAGGTTGTTTGAAATACAGATAAAAAGTGAATAGGGAAATAGTGATGGTGGATTCAACAGAAAGGAGAAATGAATACATATCAGTAGTAATACATTCCTCATTTATGATTATGATCCAATTAGAGTTGACACCCGCGTTACTGGCACTGTACTCATATAAAAAAAACCAACGGCATGTAAAGATCGTATTGTGGTTCCATTCCTCGAACATTGAAATTCTCAACAAATCAGTTTTCGCGTTTCACAATGCCAATGACGTTTTACCCGAAAATCCTCTATTCAAAACAGTGCGAATCAAGGTGGCGGTAGAGCTCGAAGGCGAACCTGTCTGTGCTACTGAGCATTACCTGCGACTCCAAGAATGCCTTAATGTTTCCATGGCTTTTCCGCCTAAACTTTCCGCATGCACGGTAGAAAAATGACCAACGGCGGAAGGCGCCGCGCGCGCTCTCTCTCGCTTTCTCTTTTTCTTCGGAGATACTTTTCGTTTTCGCATAAGCATACTGTGCTCCCTCTATTCCAACGGACGGAGAGCCTGCTCTTCTCAAGTGCTTTTTCGAGATACATATTGTTGAGACGACCTCCATTGGGTCATTCAATATATCGCTTTTCCACCTTATTTTCCAGCGAACTTCTCATATTTATAATTACCAAATTACTACCACAACAAATTCATGAGACCAAAAATGATCTGAAACAATGATGATGAACACATTGGATCACCGACCTATATGTCGGATGGAGACAGTGGAGGGCAAGGAAGACGATGAGCCGACGTCATCGAATGGAGTATCTGACGTGAAGGGGAAAGGTTACTATTATTCTAGCGGTACAGTCCCCGAGGATACAGTGCCTCCAGAAGAAAAGATTCGTCAGAAGACGTTCGATCCATCTTGTCCACCCATTAAAGCTCCTGTGCTCCCAAACAGAGAGTTTGAACCAAATTTCTCGTATGTCTCATTAATTAAAAAGTTAACTTGAACTAGTTGGATGTAAGCATTGAAAACTAACCCTAACATAGTTTTTCACCCAAACTATATCAACTCTAGTAAAAATAATAATTTCAGAACTGTGACAGAAAACAAAGGCTGGGACATATTTCGACTGTTGCCTCCGAAACCCGATCAAATTGGACATGGTTGGTTTTGTTTTTGGCCTATGATTTAAAAAAAACCTCACAAGTTTCTTTTGTAATTGAAATTCCCACGAAACAAAAACATCAAAAACCAAAGACTTCCTATTATTCTGATGATGTGTTTCTTATCTAATTGGTAGATACCGTAAGACCTGTAATAGAAAGGCCACACACTACCAAGTTTGAGCTCAGTTATCTCCGCTCCTATGCAAGATATCAAAATTTTTAAAACATATGAAATATTGTATTATGATAAACAATTTATCCGTTGACTACTTTTTTATATCTTTAACATCAACCGTTATAAATAGGCTCAACGTTAAAAGTTAGGGGCCCTTCTAATACAGATTTTACGGTAAACCGGGTTTTTTGATTTGACTACATACAGAGATAAACTAGCATCTACATATATCTCTAGCTTTGAACTCGCTTTAGTTTTAGGCCAAGAAATTAATGTAAGGTTCAATATCCGATATTTACATTGACTTTGTTCGTTCGAGAGAACCCATTTCAAACTAGCTTCAAAGGTTTTCGTATGAATCGATTCAGAAAAAATGTTCTGATGGACAATTTGAAAAATGATGGTTAAAAATTTTACAAAACAGTCAACGGAGTATCTCCGTTGGAGACCAAAAAGATTTTTAATTATTATGAAAAAACCTTCTTACCGTCACGTCGATTTTCAATGAAAAATCAACAGGTTTAACTAGCACTAACATGTCTTGTGACCTAATTTTCTCGAAGCTCACCCTCGTTTCGCAAAACAGAAAACATAATCCGAATCAGCATTTCATGGGCTTTCTAATGATATAGGTCATGAAGTGTAACTTGGAATCCCGCTCAGATAGTTCCCTAGTAAGATTACATTTTGAATCGAAGTTTGGTTTTAGTATTTTGTTGAATAGACCCATATTCATCCAGTGAAAACAAATTTTTTATATTTTCTGGCCCTTCAAGAGTCTACATAATCTCTATAGTTCCCTGAAACCTTCAAATTTTGAATCAGTACTTTTTTGTTAATCAACTTCTAGTGATCGGTCAACCAAAAGTGTAATCCACTCGTACTGGAGGTGGTCACTCCGTTTTTTACGGGTATTTAACAAATAGAAGTGTCAAATAGCGTTCCTCCTTCATTTAGACCCTCTCAAACGTTTATCTGTCTGTTTCTCTTCTAGCATTCCCAGATTTTTCTTTTCTTTTCTTTTCACAATTTCGAAATTTGTTTGCTCTGAAGAATCGCCGCGTGCGGATGGACGGTTGCCTGATGACCTAATTGAGCTGTCTCACGAAGGAACAAAATTGCGAAGAACGAGAATGAGGGGGAGAGTTGGGACAGACCGTACTTGAATACTGTCTAGAAATAAAATAAAGAACACACTGAAAATTGAAAGTATTGTTTGAAACTTTGAATTTCAGGATTCTGGCACGATGCAAGTCTCCAAGTGCTCAAACTCGCGACTTTTGTTGTCCTATTTTTGCTAACGTTGAGTTCGGCTGTCATCGCCAAATCAACATTTATTCTGATGACCTCAGCTATAGGATGGGGTGGCCAGACGATAACAATTTGCAACCAAGTGATATCAGAAGCCACTAAAAATACTGTGAAACTAAAAAACGCCCATGTTGTGAAATGGGTCTGGGCTACGCTACTGGCACTTTCTGCTCCCGAAGCATTATGTTTTGTGAGGTGTGCGAAAACGGGAAGTTTTGATTTTAAGACCTTATTTCCAGATCCATGCACAGAACTATGTTTCGTAATGTGAAACGCCCAACATTCATTCAGTTCGTGTTTGTTCTGATTGTCGAGACGCTTCATAGTATTGGAGTCGGAATTCTCGTATTCCGGATATTTCCAGATTTGGATGCCGTCACAGCTGTTCAGTTGACCAATGCAATGTGTTTTGTTCCTGCTATTCTTTCTCTTATTAGTAGGAAGCCCAGTAAACTATCCTTGGTTCTTGTCATAATTGATATCGCTGCAATTGCTGCTCAATCTAGTGGATTCTGGGCGTACCCGGTATGTTGGTGTGTCCTATGAAAAAAAACAAGTTTGAACTTCATTTCAGATGTTTATGCCGAATCTCCAAAAACATTCGATTGCTATTCCCGTTTCTCTCACCTTGATTTCCCTAGCTTGGTGGCAAAACTTTGTTCACAGAGATTCAGTTTTTCCACCAGTCAGAACACTAGCCAAGTTTGCACAACGACTTTCAGAACGTCGTTCTAAGACCTATGCATTTGTGTCTCTTTGGAAAATCTGTGTCTATGTCGTCTGCTGTTTCCTGTTTGTTTCCAGCCGGATGAAAATAGAGGACATGCTCCAGAAAGATCCATTCGGAGAGAAACTTCTATCGGTGGCTGGACACGATATGAATCAAACTCAAATTGAGAAATTCCAAACAAGAATCAACCAAATGATTGAACAAGCGAATCGAGAAGCAGGATACTACTCCCCACCAAGCAAACCAAAACCACCGAAAAAGCAACCAAAGGCTGATGAGGCTGAGCAAGTTAATGCTGGCGAATACAATATGAAGAGATTCAAGAGATTCGCTGAAGATGCTGGAGACAATCAGGAAGAGGAAGAAGCGCCTGCGGAAGAAGAAGAGTTTTCAAGTTATAACGTAAACATCAAGTTATTATTCTCTCTCTACATAATCCTTTTGTTTCAGATCTATTCAAACTATGTGGAACGAAATCAACTGACAATGGCTTATGACGCATTATGGCTTGTGATATTTCAATTTGGTGCTGTATTTGTATGCTACCATAGTTCAAAGTTCGCCTGCAAAGTGATGATGCAACGAATGGGATTTGCTCTCCCGATGGCTCTCAGTGTGCCGGTTACTGTATTATTAATGTCCACCAACTGCAAACTGAGACAAAACGATCCCTGTCATTTGACTAATGTGCTCACTGTCGAGCTGTTTTGGCAGTGTAATGGAGCTTCAAAGACATTTGCTGACTTCATTCTAACCCCACAAACATGGATCTGGCTGTGCTGGTTGGCCTCTCAATTCTGGATTACTATTCATTTGTGGAATCCTAAACATGAACGATTGGCAAAAAGCGAAAAGTGAGATTTCGAAGCTTTTTTGAGAACTAAGAATTGCAAATGTATTTTTTTCAGACTTTTCATTCTTCCTTATTACATTGGTGCTTTTGTTGATCAGTCTCTTGCATTCAATCGTCGCCGAGACGACAAAGCGAAAATTAAAGCTGAAGACTTGGAATTCGACGCTGAGGACTCTTCTTTAACGTATGAAACTATTCCAGGACTCCAGAGCAAAACTCCTCCAAGTGTTTGCTCTGCAAGTAGCTCGAAAATGGAGAATGGGCTGATTCGAGACAGTGCAAGCTCGGCTGACGCTATCACGAAAATATACGCATGTGCTACAATGTGGCATGAGACTGGTGTTGAGATGACTTGTATGCTCAAATCACTATTCAGGATGGATGAAGACCAATGTGCTCGCCGAAACGCCCAGAAATATCTCAAGGTCATCGATCCTGATTACTACGAGTTCGAAGCTCACATATTCTTTGACGACGCATTCACCCAAAACGAATATGGCGAACCAGAAATCAACAAATTCGTTAAGAAAATCGTTGATGTCATCGATCAAGCTGCTTCAGCTGTTCATCAAACTCAAATGCGTCTAAAGCCTCCAAAGAAAACAAAGACTCCATATGGTGGAAAGTTGACTTATATTATGCCTGGAAAGAATAAGCTGTTCATTCATTTGAAGGACAATAAGAAAATCAGAAACAAAAAGAGATGGAGTCAAGTGATGTATCTTTACTACCTGCTCGGATATAGACTAATGATGAAAGTGGATGATCCATCAAGAAAGGAAATAATATCTGAAAATACCTTCATATTGACACTAGACGGTGACGTTGATTTTACACCACAATCTGTATACCTTCTGGTTGATCTGATGAAAAAGAACAGGAGACTTGGGGCAGCGTGTGGAAGAATTCATCCTCGTGGAGATGGAGCCATGGTTTGGTATCAAAAGTTTGAATATGCAATTGGACATTGGCTGCAAAAGGCAACAGAGCATATGATCGGATGTGTTATGTGTTCTCCCGGATGTTTCTCTCTGTTTAGAGCCTATGCATTGATGGACGATAATGTGGCTAGAAGGTTAGATAATTTAGAAATAGAAACAGAATATTCTTGTTTCAGATATGCATTGACCTCCGAAGAACCGAAACATTTCATCCAATATGATCAAGGAGAGGATCGTTGGTTGTGTACTCTTCTCCTTCAGCGTGGCTACCGTGTGGAATACTGCGCTGCCTCCGATGCCCAAACATTTGCTCCAGAAGGATTCAACGAGTTTTTCAACCAGCGTCGTCGATGGATCCCGTCCACTATTTTTAATATCATGGATCTCTTAAAAGACTACAGAAATGTTGTCAGAGTCAACGAATCAATATCAATCTGGTACATCATCTATCAATTGGTAATGTTGATTTCATCTATTTTGGGTCCTGGAACAATTTTCGTCATGATCATCGGAGCTATCAGTATTTCATTCACCATCGACACAATGATTTCGTTGGTTATTGTTTCTATTCCTGTTATCATATTCATTGTGGTATGCTTGGTCTGTAAACCTGAGCATCAGCTAATCTGTGCACAAACGATTGGAGCGATTTTTGCAATGCTTATGACAGCTGTCATAGTAGGAACATCACTCCAACTCCAGAAAGACGGTCTTCTCAGTCCTCACTCTATGTTCACAGTAGCTGTTGCAACGTCATTTGTAACTGCTGCAATACTCCATCCACTTGAATTCACTTGCATCATTCCTGGAACTATTTACTTCCTGGCTATTCCGTGCATGTACATGTTGCTTCCAATTTATAGTGTTTGTAACATGCATACCGTCTCATGGGGTACCAGAGAAGATCCGATAACGAGCGATAAGAATGGAAATGGAAAGAGAAACGCTGGAAACTTGGAATCTGGAAGTTCAATTCAGAAAAGTGGAAACTGGTGTACAAGAATTTTGTGTTGTGGTAAAGGGTCCGTGGATCCGATGTCTGTGTTAATCAACGACAAACTGAATGAAGTTATCAAGAAGGTTCGTCACAATCTATAACTTAAAATATGTATGATTTTCATTTCCAGGTTGAGCGTTTGGATCGCAAGCACCACCCATCACTGAACCGTCGAGCATCTATTTTGTCCAGTACAGGCGGCACCATTCAAATAGACAAATGTTCCGAAGCTGACGAGGATGAACAAGCAGAGATTGAGGATGCTCTTGAAATGTCAAATCAAAGTCATGCTGCTAAGAAAAATCAAAAGTGGAAACAGGCCCAAAGTGAAGTTTGGTTAGCTGATAAGGCACTAAAAAGAGCAGAACGAGAATATCTGGAACCAGAGGAGGAATCATTTTGGAATGACGTGATTGAGAGATATTTGGCTCCAATCGATATGGAGAAGAATAACAAGGAACGATTGGAAGCGGGATTATTGGGTAACTTTCCAATAAGATGTGGATTACTAATATAAACTTTCAGCCATCCGTAACTCTCACACAGTTTACTTCCTCATGATCAACATCGTTTTTATCATTTCTGTTTTGGTTCTTCAAATTCATAAAGACTGTTTGAATATCGAATGGCCATTGGGACCCAAATACAATCACACCGTCCGTCCGTGCTATGCCAGTCATGATGACAATCAGAAAGAAGAGATTTGGGTCATGACCAGATTACAGTTGGAACCAATTGGATTGGTTTTCTTGCTTTTCTTCGTTAGTATCTTAGTTATTCAGGTGAGTAGAAATGTTTATATAAGTCGAAAATAGTTTTTTTTTCAGTTTTTGGCTATGCTATGCCATCGTTTCGGAACCCTTGCCCACATTATTGCATCAACCGAACTTTTCTGTTTCCGGAAAACAATGGATAGGCTTAGCGAGGTACAGTCACAAAATTCAATTTAAGGTTGTTTTATTCACAAGTTTCAGGATGAATTAGTGGCTCAAAATGCGGTGGAAATAGCTCGAGAGTTGCAAGCAATACGTGGAATCGATGAGAATGCGCACAACATTGATATTGTAAGTTAAAAAATAAGCTCCTAGACTTATTATGAATTGCAGCCGTCGGAAGATCGTGGAATATCCAGACGACGTGTGGTCCAGAACCTTGAATCTTCGAGACGTTCAATGATGAAACGGAAAACTGAGACGCTTGATGCTGCATTCAAGAAGAGGTTTATACATTTTAAAAACTGTTTTAAATACCTAAAAAAAATAATTTTCAGATTCTTTGCACTTTCGAGTGAACAAGCACCAGATCCAGCTGGGTTTTCAGCTAGAGACAATTCAAAAAGATTAACGTTACGAAAAGGGACGATCCGAGCATTGGAGCATCGGAGAGATTCACTGTTTGGAACTCTAGATAATAGAAAGGTATACAAAGCTTGAAGGATTTCTTTCATTTTTTAGCCAATCCGTTTCCAGGAAGATGAAGTAGATGCCACCTCAATGCGTGGTCCAGCCCAACGACGTCTTGAACGACTATTCACGGCTCAACAAGATCAACAGAACCCGAATTCTGATGGGAACCGTCGGAAATCCAATTCCAGGCCATGGGATCAACCTTCAAATTTGAGCGGTGGGGCCGCGTCATCTGGCGACGTTGAGTTGAGAAGATTCTAAACTTCTAGTGCAAAATATATGTTTTTCTCTTGATTTGTCTTGACCGTTACATTCCAATGTCTTTCTCTCTCCCTTTCTCCGCTATTTATTCATGTTATGCATTACTATTTATTAATTGTCCCTGTCTTTCAATTTTTGAATTTTGCTCTACAAATTTCTGAACGTGTTTGCTTCCCGTTTGGCTGCCAATTCCATCACTTACTTACTGTATTAAAACCGTTTTAATAATCAATAAATAAAAAGTTTTCTAAACACAGACACATGCTAAATGCATGTAAATACAAACACATATAATGTAATACGAGGACTAGAATATGCAGTAAAAATTCGGTACAAACAACAAAGAATCGGGTGGAAATTAATAAGTCAGGCATTATGAGCGACCGGGCTCTTCTTTGGCTCATGACCGTAGAGGAAAGTGGCGAAAATGACAATTGTTGCTCCGATGGCGAAGGTGCTGAAAATGTTGGGTTTGTAACTTTAACTATAGATTGTTAGACGAAACAGAGTATTCTTACGTTGTGATAGTCAAATCCCCGAGTACTAGCCAAGAAGTGAATGAGGAAAGGATTATGGAGAGTGAGACTGCAAATCCTTTGAGAATGTTGTCCGCATATTTAACAACAAGAGCGATCACAAGTCCTCCGTACGCCTGGAAATAAAAACGTAGTTTAAAAATTCCATTTTCACTCACCTGCAATAAGACAACAATCCAAATGATTCCGTTGTAGCCTCTCAAAAATCCATCGTTACTGATAGCTTCCCAATCGTAGAGCCAACACACAAACAGTGCTCCGAACACTGAGAAGAACGCCAGTTGAATATTACGAATCCACAAAGAAACCTTCGATGTCTTCAGAATCTTTTCGAAGTAGACACCGGCGAATCCTGATGAGAAACAGGCGGCTAATACGGCTGCTAATCCCATTATGTTATCAGAAGCATCGTGATGTGCTGTCTGTGATGGAGAATCACCGGATGGGTATTGCACAAGAGCCACTCCACCGGTTAAAAGTAATAGGGCGAGCCAGTTGTATCGGTGCAAAGATTTTCCGAGCATTGTCACGGAGAAAAATGCGGTGGTGAGGATTTTCAGTTGGTATGTCACCTGGAATGAAAAATAGACAGTTCTGATTATGGCCCGGCTCCAAGAATGGAAGAAATCACTTAAATATTCAACTTACTTGATAAGTAGCAGCGTCCAATTTTTTCAAGGCAAAGAAAAGAAGATTGTTCTGTATGACATACATTATGGCTGGAACAGCAACCTTGAGCGAATCTGATCTAGTTTGTGGAGTGGCGAAAATCTCCCGGTTCAACTCGGACAACATTCCAGACACTCGATATCCACTATTTCGATAAATCACAAAAATACACGTAATCAGCTTAATAATTTCAGCACATACTACAGCTGTAGAAGAGAGATAGCGAGGGCCTTCAGACTTCTGAAAGCGAATCAAGTGTTCCTTGTCTTACAAATAAACTCTTTACCTGAGTTTGACTGTATCGAAGTGTCAAGACAAGTGCAGTGGTCTGCACGATGAGTACAACCAACGAAATGAGTTTAAGATTTGAACTCGTGTCGTTGGCTCGATTCATGGTTTAACCTGGAATAAGTATTTAAATGGGATGAAAGTTAGGCAAATTAAATCGTATTGTTTTCCGGAAAACTTAAAACCAGACAGCCGAAAAAATAGGTATTTTCTGTTGAACATCCAACTACGGACAGCTTTTCCGCCATTTGCCACGTACAAACGCTACGCGCGTACTGACACAGAGGAGCAATGTTTATACACCGTTGGTATGCCTGCGTCTCTGTCCTTAGCCCGTTAAAAAAATGTTCAAGCAAAAGGTTCAGCGACATAAATGAAAACAGGGAACATCACAAGTAAATAACCTTGACCGAAATAGCTACGCAAAAGCGGCGACGGATGAGAAGAAAAATGGCTGAACACAATTTCAAAACGGGGTAATTTATTGGAAAAAAGCACAGAGGTAACAACAACATTGTAACGAATATATCAACAAAATTAGACTCCAGTGAATAGTCAAATGAGAAACGAATCACTTCGACACCCAGGCTGCGCGTTGAAGATATTTCTCGGTGTCTGCGCAGCGGGTTCCAGCAGTTCTTGACTTTAGAAGTTCCTCACGGAAGTTTACTTCAGGTTCCAGAATCTTCTGAACTCCTTTCTTCAGAGTAACGACGTTGAACTTGGCTTTGCTGGAGAAAAGATAGATTATGGTCTTTAGAGGAAGATTGTGATGAATTTATTTATTGTTTTACTTTTTGTGAATCTACTTTTTCTACACAAATAAAGCAATTTACTATTCACCTTGAAAAAGTTTGTTAAAAAGAAACGCTCACCTATTTTTCATTTTAACTTGAAAGACTCCATCAGTGATCTTCTTTGCTTCTTTTTTCTTATTTCTCTTCTTCAACTTTTTCGCCGCCGACTTTTCCGTTTGCTTCGCCTTCTTCTCCAAAATTTTAGCCATGGCACTCTTTGGTTCTTCATATAATTCGTTCACAACCTTTGAAGTTATCTTCCTCGGCATATCGCCATCTGAATCAGCCTTTTCTTCAGTGATCGGCATCTCTGGCTTCTTAGAAGAAATCTCCATTGGCTCGTCATCATCATCGTCGGAGTACACAACTTCAGTATTTTCAACGCGTGTGTCTTTTGGTTCTTCCTCACCAACTTCCATCGGCTCCTCTTCATAATCTGTTTCCGGCACGTCATCGGTTTCATCGCTTGAATTAAGGAAAACATCTTTCGACCCCTCACTTTTTCGTTCGGTTGACATGTCTTCCGAGAGATCGTCACTAGTTTCGACCGAACAAGCTTTTGGAGAGCCTTGTTTCTTAACTGGAGAAATGTCAGAAGCTTCCTGATTCTTCAAAATTTTTTTCTCCACCAAATCCAGCGCATTCTCTATATTTTCTGGAGTCTCCGTTTTTGGTGCCAATCTTCGTGAAGATCTAAGGGTCATGACTGGAGAACCATCTGGGTTTAGTTTTTCCGGAGAGGCCTTATCTCCTTCCTTTTCATCGGGAATAGTTTGTGAACCTCGTTTAACCGCTTTAACTTGTGTAACTTCAACTTCATCAAATGTTGGCTCCTCTGCCGATTGAGCAGTTTCAGCAGTTTTTGATGCCACTCTTCGTGATGATCTTGGAGTCACTGGCGGAACGTTTTTCTCTTGCTCATTTTCATCTTCAATTTCTGGTTCATCGAACACTTTCTTTGTAGCTCTCGGTCCCGATCCCACACGACGTCTCGGTGTATCCTCGGGCTTCGGAGCTTCATTTTTTTCTACTTCTTTCGGAGATGGCCTCGTTGTGCGATTTCCGCTGCGCAGAGACACTGTAATTGGACTTTTCGAATTTTTCAATCTAATCGAAGTGAAATCACTCACCCATTCTGCTAGATAAAAACTATAAATCAGAAAACGAAGTTGGGGAAAAAACAAGCGATTTTTATAACATTCACAAAGGACGCATGCACCCGAATAGACGCGCAGCTGCGGACTTGAAAATTTTGGCGGAATTTAGAAAAAGGATATTAATCAAATATGCATACTTGTAAAATTCCGGGCCGGGCCTGAGGAAAATTTCAAGGCCCGGAAGGCCCGGTAGCAAAAATTTTTGTCATTTTGAACCGAATTTTGAGCTCTCAATACAATTTTCTATATTTTTTGTGCTTTTTGGATTGTTTGTCTGTTTGATCAAAAAATATTTTTAAAAAACTCGAAAAGAAATTTTTGATCGAAAAAAATCACATATTATTTGTTTCTTCATTTTAGGCTTAGGCTAAAACGCCTTGGCACTTGGAATATGAATATTTGGAACTTTTAAACCGATTCTAGGGTAGGTTTTTCGGAAATGAAGCATTCTCAATCAGCATTTTTTATGTGATTTGCATTTTTCACCTATTTTGGCTTTTGTGAGTTGGGGCACCCAAATTTTTTGAATTTGGCTCCATTTTCGGATGTCCCAGTGGAAAGAAAACAAGGGGTTTTTGCCTAAGCCTA